AGGGCGTAAAAGGTATTTAAAATTACATATAAAATAAAATAAGGAATGAAATAATATTTTATGAGAATAAGTGGCCAGTGAGGTTTAACATAAGTACCATAAGAACTATATGGGTTTTCAAATATTAATTGTTCTGGATTGCTATTATTATGATTAATCTCATATTTTTTGCATAAACTAAGATATGCAATGTCCATTTCTTGCACTAATTTATTCACGATATTGGCAGTACACATGACAAAAATTGTTTTCTTTACGGAGTTTTTTTCAAAAAAATTTGTTTCATTATTTAGTAAAAAACACCAAATATTACTTGCAATGTATTTACATTTTTCCTCCACCAGTATATCATATGTTGGCTTAGAAAGTATTTCCATTCTTTTATTTAGTATATGCAGGGCATTTAATTTTTTTAAAATGTCTATTTCCTCATCTTTATAAGCATCATGGGTGTGTGTGCTTATATTATATTTTGTTTTTGTTTCTCCCTCTTTCCTTGCATCTGGAGAGGAGTTACTATTTGGCTTGCCTATTGTGCGTAGCTCTGGAGTTGTGGTGTCATTCGTATGTGCATCGGGTTCTATTTTTTTACGCCCTTCATTATTTTGTTCGCTACTTACTTGGCTAATCTGTTCATTCTTATGATAATATTCACGGCCATATACAAACTTTATGGGAATGTCTTTGGTATAAAATGATGCTATGCCATCGTGAAGTGGATCTTGAGAAGTTTGAATGGAAGGAGCATACTGATTATATAGTTTTATAAACTCCGCAAAGGGGTAATGTCTAAGGGATATAGATTCAACACAATAAGTAAAGAATTTTCTATATGCACTGGTATCATATAAGAGTCTAGAATCTAAGCGATTTTTAATGGTATGAATATTCCTATCAAGCAAAAAAATTCTCAACTTATTTTTTAAGCAATGTTGAATAATGGGTATAAATTCATTTTGTAAAAAACCATTATGTATTCTTGGGAGGTACGTAAATTTGTTATAATTATTATCATAATAATGATGAGAATTTTTTTTCTTGGTAATGATGTCCAATATTTTATTCATTCTATATTGACATAGTTCTAGCAGTACATAATGAGGCTTCATTTGTTTCAGAAATAAGGATCCTTCTTTACCGCTACACCTTTTTTCATTTATCTGCCCATGTAATATACCATAAATGATGAAATGGAAATTGGGAGTATCATAACTCATGGCATTCTGTGGTAGTGGTGGCATATCAGAAGAACAGTTCTTGTTTTGCATTGTGTAGTGTCTGCATTTTGAATGTGATTTAAGTGTATAATTCGTTTGGCACACATGGTGCATAGGTGTAGATGATTGTGGTGGGTTCTTTATTCGTTGCTTGAACCCCAGGAAATTTATACAAGCGCTACGTATCATCGTTGAGTTGGGTATGTTTTTTTTTTTTTTTTTTTTTTTTTTTTTTTTGAAAGTACACCTATTTGAATCTTATTTTTCAATTTTTTCACCACAAATTATAAAAGCTATTTTTTCCTATTTCTTTTCCCTTCTTATGTGTTTATTGCTTTCCTTAGGGATAGCATAGAGAAGTGGAGGCTGTTGTTTTTTTTTTTGTTCTTCTTTCTCACTTTTGAATATAATTCTAAAATTATTTCAGATTTATAAAGAAATCATTTAGTCATACGGAAAAAAGTTATTTGAAATCATCAGCAGGGAGATAACAACCCATTGGGACTAGTGCATACAAAGCACTTGAAGTGATGACACACAAATTGTTCTTAATGTTACTACGGATAATGCCTTTTTTTCATCACTTTTTTCAAAAAAAAAAAAAAAAGAAGAGACTTAAAAATGCTGGTCTCCTTAAATTATATAATGTACACAACAACCATTTGGCTAATTTGATAATATATTAAAAATATAAAAAAGAGGATACTTTAAAATTGGAAAATTATGTTAAAACAAAACAATGAGCCATTTTTAAAGAAAAAAGTGAAAAACTACATTGTTAGTCATTGTTTTTAATAATGTTATGCAATGATAACAACACCTTTGGAAGTTTCTACGGGTTGCGATTATCACATCAGTGCATATAATTCTTCTCCCTTAGAAAAAAAAAAAAAAAAAACTACATAAATAAAGGTGGGGACACGGTATATATATTACACAAAACATAAAGGTTACATATATAATGTGGTATACGTAACTGAGTGCATTTTTTTTTAAGCTTGTTCTAACGCTCATTTTTGAATAGGAAATATTATAGAAAAAAAATAAAATAAAAAAAAAAAAAAAAAAAAAACATAAACATGATGGAAAGAAGTAAAATTGAAGATTTTAAAATACAAGTTTAAAATTTTTTTTTTACTTTTTTTTTTTTTTTTTTTTTTTTTTTTTTTGCTGGTTCCGTAATTCCCCAGGGGCATGAATAAACAGTTTATTTTTCCCCATTTTTTCTGCTTAATTTTTTTTTAAAAGGAGGGACATATTATGTAAAAGAAAAAAATGGTGGAAACTTCTCCCAACACAGAACTTTTTGCGACATTTCATAGAATGACATGAAACAGGGAAAAAACAAAAGAAAAAATGAATAAATAAATAGAAAGTAAAATGAATAGAAAGAAAAAAAAAAAAAACGAATAGAAAGAAAAACAAATAAATAAATAAAAAATACATATTTCCTTATTTCATATAATGTATATATATAATATATATGCATAAATTGTGTGATCATATGTAACAGTGGAAAGTATACCAAACCATCTTCTCCCCCTCTTCCGTGGTTAGAGAAATAAAGCAAAATCAGACTTAACAAAATGGAATAAAAAAAAGTCAATCGTATGAAAGTTATGATAAATGAAAAAAAGAAACAGATAAATGAAGAGGGGGGAGAAGGACATTAATGATTATAAGTCTTAATTCTTCTTCTTTTTTTTTTTTTTTTTTATATCAAATTCGTCCCAACCCGCATTAGTTTATTTTTTGAAATCACAAAAACATTTTTGAGACAAAGGCGTAACGAAAGAAGCTCAGAATGAATGATAAACAAACATACATTTTGTATTGAAACGTTTGGCTTTTTATATGTTTTTATATTGTAACATTATCTTACTCCTGAATAATCGTATATAAACACACGTACGTAAGTGAATGAATGCCTCAATTGTATGTTGTAGTACTAGTTGGAAATATAGGAAATAAAGAAAATCTAAGAAATCCAATTGTAACAACCATTACAACAATAATAGAAAAACACACAGGGAGTTAAAGAACAAGAAAGGGGGAAAGGAAGGGGAAAAAAAAAAAAAAAAAAAAAAAAAAAAAAACTTAAGGAAAGGAAAGGCTCATTGAAGAAAGAAAAGATGGAAGGAACAAATATCCAGATGAGCTACCCAAATGATAAGGTAGATGTTGAAAATGAGATATTGAAGGAGGAATGCAAGAGTAGAGTTGAAACTAAGGGGAAAATAAATACCAATGAGGAGATCGAAAATGGAAATAATGAAAGTAACAGCAGTGGTGTTATAGACAGGAATACGCTATGGAGTGACCTGTACCTCTCGAAGGCATTTCTGAAAGTTCTGTATGAGAATAAATTTAACCATCCCACGTTTATTCAAAGAGATGTGATACCTCTTGCACTGGAGGGGAAAAGTATTTTGGCTAACTCAGAAACGGGTTCAGGAAAAACACTAGCCTTTGTATTGCCAATATTAGAAAGATTATTACATAGTCCAAATATAAAAATGAGAAATCATAATTCCAGATCTAATTGTATAACAAAGAGTTTAATACTTTTACCAACGAGGGAACTTGCTCTTCAGTGTTACGATGTGGTAAAAAGTATGACCAAATATGTTTCAATTACATATTCTCTTTTTTGTGGAGGAATAGATGTAAAGCAACAAGAATATGAATATAAAAAGAAGAAAGATATATTTATTTGCACTCCAGGAAGAATTTTAGATTTATTACTAAATTCGTCGAGCGATTTTGTAAACTATTTAGAAGTAGTAGTTTTTGATGAAGCTGATAAATTATTGGAGTTAGGTTTTAAGGAGGAATGTTTAAAAGTTTTAGATGTATGTAAGTTTAAGAAGCAAATTTTATTTTTTTCAGCTACATTAACTAGGGATATTAAAGAGTTAGCTAATTTTTCTCTTAAGAACCCTGTTTTTATACAAAGTGGAAATGATAGTAGAAAGGTAGATGAGAAGGGGGAATATATTCCTAGTTGCATTATTAGTAATAAAAAAATGTTAAAGTTTTTTAAAATTTCTGGAAAATTAAATCAAGAATTTGTGAATATTGTAAATGAAAAATATAGAAGAGCAGCGTTATTGCATCTGTGCAGTAATGTATACAAAAATCATGCCATCATTTTTTTTAAGACAAAAAAAGAAACACACGTAATGTATTTAATTTTTTCTTTGTTTAATTTTAAATGTGCAGAATTGCATGGCTCACTAACTCAAAAAAAAAGAATAGAATCAATATTAAAATTTAAAAAGAATGAAGTGGATTTTTTATTATGTACAGAATTAGCATCTAGAGGTTTGGACATTGATCATATCCTTTACGTAATTAATTATAATTTGCCATCGAGTGTCGTTAAATATGTTCATAGAATTGGTAGAACCGCAAGGATAGGAAAAGAAGGTACAGCTAGCACATTATATAGACCAAATGAAAAAGTAGATGTGAAAAAAATAATTAAAGGATTGAAAAAAAATAAAAATTCCAAAATATTTCGGAGAAATATATCAAATGATAGTATTCTGCACTGGGATGAATTACTTAAAAAAAAAAGGAAAAAAATTAAAGAAATAATAATGCAGGAAAAGGAAAATAAAGAAATAGATAAAGCAACCCAATCGATAGAGAAAATTAAAAACATCATTCAGTTTAAGGATGAAATTATGAGTAGACCACCCAGAGAATGGTTTATAACGAATAAAGAAAAAATGCATTTACGAAGGTTAAACATGAAAAGTGAAAAATTAGGTGATAATTCCAAAAGAGGGAATGCAGACGAAAAGGGGGTTAATGATGTCAGAAATAGACGTGGGAAAGACAAAAGGAAGAGAAAAAACAATGAAGACGATGAAGAAGAGATAGGAGAAAAAGAGGAAGAGAAAGAACGAGAAAAGGAAGAAAAAAGAAAGCTAAAGAGTTACCGCTCCATTATAAGGGAACTGAAGCTGAATGTACTTTTTAAGGGCAAAGGCAAATTCGATATGTCAGAAAATGGAAAAAGGTCTAGAAATAATAATTGGGGAAAACATAAAAGTAAGAGTCATAATACTAATACTAGTAATAATGATCGAATTGGCAAAAGCAGCAAGCGTAGCATTAAAAAAGAAAGAAAAAAGAAAAGAGATTAAATAGGGGAGTTATATGTGTTTCTCCATAAAAATTTAAGCAACGAAGTAGGATCAAAAATTAATTTGCAGTTAGTAGGAATAACTCTAATTGCATGTGTGTGTTTGTGTGTTTGTGTGTTTGTGTGTGTGCTTTTTTTCCCTATGCTGGTATGTTTTTTCAAGTTTTTGTGGGATTTCGTATATACAGTTTGAACTTGTTTGTGCAAGTCGCGTAACAAATAAGGAAAGATCCTTTTACGGATTTTTCTTTTATTATTATCCAATGTGTGCGATGATATCATTAAGTTTTAAGTTTTTTGTAAAAAATAACCTTTTTGTATATGTAACACTGAAAAATGTACACATTCACAGTGAATGAGCACTTTAACTGCCAGTGTTGGGGAGGATGAAATTCATTTTTTAAAAATGTTCCAAGTGTCGAAAGGGTGTACCAAAATGGAATTCCTTTTAAATATTGCATATTGAATCCGATTGAATACTTATAAAGTACCTTTGCACAATAGTGTGAACATAAGGAAAATTATGTCATTTTGATTGTCCCCTTGTTCCATAAAAGCATAGAAGACATAACATTAATTATAAATATACGCTATGTATATGTTCACACGTTATATGCACTATATATATGTACATATGTACACGATAGCAAGAAGCATTTTTGTGATATAATTCCTCAATACATGTAATGTAACCTTTTTAATTACGTGGAGAAAAGCTAATCCTGCCTTCATTAACAAGATGCACTCATTTGTTATTTTATTTTTTTTTAGGAAATCTAAAATGATTGTTAAGTTGTCTTTTGTCTTATACAATAAAACAAAAGAATTTTATTGTATTATTTTTATTTTTTTATTTTTTTTTATATATTTTTTTTATTTTATTTTATTTTTTTTTTTTCTGTTAGCTTCTGCTATATATGCATATAAACAATTTTGACTTTAAATACATTTGGGAAAAAAAAAAAAAAAAAAAATAGAACAGAAAAAGAAAGAGCAGAAAAGAACAAATGGGGAAACCACAGGTTGTGCTATTTTTATTCTGTTTTTAAATTTTCATTTATGGAAAGGTGAAATACTAACTTTTTAAAAGAGCACTTTCCTTTTCTTGATTTCACCCATCCAAAAGGCAGAAAAAAAAAAAAAATATATATTAGGACTTAATTGTTAACTTAGAGACTTATGTTATATATGTATAGGCATAATTAATATATGTAAATATATACCCAAAAAATTTCTCAAGCGTTATAAGCTTAAGCGTTTTTTTCTTTTTTTTTTTAAATTAAATAAAATTTTAGGTGGAATTTATTCCTTCACTTTTAGTACTAAAAGGGTGTAAAGGAATGGAAAAATCATGATTTAGTGTTCCTGTATGCTTATATATAAAAAACTTATCATTTGTGTTTTTGCATTGTCATAATTTAACGAAATTAGAGAAGATCTATTTTTGATTTTGCTGCGCTCTGATATCCATTTGGTGGTTTATGAAGTTTATTTTTCTATTTTACAGTTTCGTTTTTTACTATATTGCTTTGCAATTCAAAAGAGTTTTTTTTTTTTTTTTTTCCCTACTACCATTTCAACAATTTTGGTACTAATCTTCAAACTGTGACTCCTAATTTCTCTGATTTTTTTAATTAACAATTTTACGTCTTAATAGAATCACGAATTCGAAAAAAAAAAACATTATTTTTCTGAATTAAGTGTCAAAAGAAATGCAGTACACTGAGTAACATATTCCTCCTGTATTGAAAAAATTATTAACCCCTTAAATTTTTTAAAGGGCGTATAAATTCTTCATGCCAAGGAACAAGTGAATGAATTGGGAAAAAAAAAATGAAAAAAAATTGTATAGGAAAATAACATACATTATGTGTATAATAACATATATATGCTTATTTATATATATGAAAAGAAACACTCATTAGGCCTTGTAAATTTGAATTAACAGGGGAAGGAAAATTAGTTCGTTCCTTTTTCTCTCAATTTACAGCTATCGTATTGTTTATCAGTGGGTGGGACATAAATTAAAATAGAGAGAAATATAAAAAAAAAAAAAAAAAAAGGAAAACGAAAAGGAAAAGGGGAAAGGAAATTGTTGTTTTTATATACAAAAAAATACGGGATGATATAATAACTCTATAATATAAACGTTTAAGTATAATATATATAAAAGTATGAGACAAGCGTCATTTTTAAGAGAAGTGACATTGTCATAAAGTTGCAATTTAAAGGAGTATTTATAATTATACTTCTTATACGAAAAAAAAAAAAAAAAAAAAAAACACTACAACAGTAAAAAAGGAAAATCAGCAAAAAAACAATTAATCAAGCAAGAAAGAAAAATTATCCTATTTTTACAAAAAGAGAGGAAAATGTGGTAATTTTTTTTTTTTTCTTCGTGAATGCATGAAGCGCATTAGGTTTTCTTCAGCTGGCTTTTTTTTTTACCACATAGTGCACGTATATATATAATCTATACAATATGTAAGGTAGGTTTTATATAAAATTTAAAAGAATTTGTGTGAGAAAAGAAGAAAAAAAAAAAAAAAAAAAACTCGCATTTGAGGTAGTACTTAAATCATATTGTAAAAAAAAAAAAAAAAAAAAAAAAAAAAAAAAACATTTACAAAACTGCATTTGTTTATTTATTTATTTGTTTATTTGTTTATTGAGAAAATTTCAAATGGATTGGAAACCAGAGGAGTATAATGCATTTTAAGATGCTGCTGCATATTTTAAGAATCATATATAACAGTAATTCTATGCATAAATGGCACTATATACAATGAACCTTTGCAGAAGGCAATGATACTGCATATCAGCAAGGTGTTAGTGTACTGTTTATATACATATACACCTGTCCGACGTCCAAAAAAAAAAAAAAAAGAAGAAGAAAAAAAATATATATTGAGATACGCAAAAATATACGCTTTCTTATCTGATAAAAGAGAAACTTCCATTGATTATTTTATTTATATTTTTGTTTTATTATCCTTTTGGGTCTAGAGGAGGAAGGGATGAAGAGAGAGAGGAATAATACATTATCAAATGGGAAAGGAAAGAGAAAAAAAAATGATAATAATAAGAATGATGTTGATAGTGAAGTGGTAGATGGGGCGGGGGCCACTAAAGGAGCAGAAGCTTCAGGGCTAAAAAACAAAGAACAAAAATCGGAAACAAATGTTGAGAATTTTAATCCACAGTTGAGTGCAAGAGAACTGAGAAAAATACAGTACTATGAAAAGATGTTTAAGAAAATGGAACAGAAAAGAGAAGAACATAAAAGGGAAGAACATAAAAGGGAAGAACATAAAAACGAGGTAGATAGCAAAGACAAGAAGAAAACCAGCAATGTAAAAAGGACGAAAAAGGAAAGAGAGAGGACCAGTAAGGGAGGAGAAGTAGATGAAATAGAGGCAGCAGCAGAGGTTGGGTCAGAGCTAAGCGCAGAAGGAGAAGAAGTAGGAGAGGGAGAAGACGAAGAAGATGAGGAAGATGAAGAATATGAGGAAGATGAAGAATGTGAAGAAGATGAAGAATATGAGGAAGATGAAGAATATGAGGAAGATGAAGAAGAGGTGAAAAGAAAATGGAAGGAAGGCTTCGGTGCTAAGAAAAATATCGTTAAAGAAAAGTATAAGGTTGAAGGAGAAACTGAGAAGAGGAATAGACAAAATGATGTAGAAAAAACATCAAAGGATACGAAAAATGCAAAAATTGCAGCTCCAAAAAGAATTCAAACGAATCAGAAAGTAAAGGAAAGATGCACGTATACAAATTCATGTGGTAAGGAGAAAGAAGTTGAAACTAATTTGATGACATCCAATTTTGTACTAACGAACTCATCATCTTGTGATGGTTCAGGTGAGAATAAAAATAAATGGAGAAAAATAGAAAATTATGAAATAAGAATGAGAGAAGAGCTAAATACGAACAAATGTATGAATTCTAAAGTTGATGAAATAGGAAACAATAAAGCGATTATGATGAAAGGAAAGAAATGTGTTCAGAATTTAAATATGCTAATGAGTGACAATGAAAGCGTAGAAGAAAAGAAATTGAAGGATAGGAAAAAGGCAATATGTACTGATAGTCAAAACGAACAAAGTAGTGATTGTTCAACGTACATACATAGCAAAACTAAAATTGTAGAAATAAGGAGAGTTAATAAGATGAAAGAAGAAAATAGAAAATGTAGTAGAAACAAAAAGATGAGTCATGAAAGGGAGTACGATTCAGACCATGCTGTAAATTATGATAATTCAGTAAGTGAGATAATGTTATTCGAAATGGAAAAGAAAAGGTTGACACAGGAGAAGACGCAGAAGCTGACGAAAAAAAAGAGTACAAAAAGTGAGAAAAAAAAAAAATGTTCAGAGGTAGAGAAGAAGAAAAAGAGGGTCCTAAAGATTAAGAGAAATTTTTCAGTGAGTTCAAATATAAATGAATATTTTTTTGACTCCAGTTCTATACATCTAGTGAGTGATAACAACGCGAGCGCATATGAAAAAAAATTCGATCATGGAGAGGACGATGAGAAGAAATTCCCAAACTTTAATAATAAAAAAAAAATGTTATTAAATTATTTAACGAACACAAATGATGATGGTGATAACAATAATGATATTAGTCAAGTTGATGGAAATATTGCTAGCAGTAGCAATAATACCGAAAGGGAGAATGTCCATTTTGCTTACTCTGAGAAATTCCTTGAATGGAAAAATAAAAAAAATGACTTTTCATTCTCGCATTCGAACAGCAAAAATATAAAAAGAAACAAATGGCACATTATACATAATTATGATAAACCTTATGTCGAAACAAATGAACAATTTGATATGTATCTTAATGGTAAAGAAAATTTTATAGATGAACATATGAATAGCAAATCAAATAGCACAGAATATTTTGTTCATAGAGAACTAATAACCATGAGGAAAAAATCATTTTGCGAAAAAAGTTTCAATATGAAATCAATTCGGCATAGTAATGTAAATATTATGAATGTTAATAAAAAATATGATGTAAATTGTTGTATTAAAAAATACTTAAATAATATGAAATATACAAATTTAAAAAAATTAAAAAAATTGAACAGAGATAATTTAAAATTATATGTAAAATGTTGTACCAATTTTTTAAACTTTGATAAAATGGATAGCGCCATTTTGTCCATCCGGAAATTTCAGGAAATTATACAAAAGGAATTTAGTGTCGAATCGAAATTCCTTTGATTAAAAAAACTTCTACAAATCTTTTTATCATGAGGGAGGGATATTATATCAAGACTGTTTATACACAGGGGTGGATGGTCGTGGTGGTGGAGATGTGGGGAGTATTATGAGACATAGTTTGTTGTATATGCTTATGCAGCATATACGTAAAGAAAACACATGGTGTAACATTCTCATAGGTGTTATATGAGACAATATATCCGTTCATTTCATTCTGGAATTAGACATATGTTAATATCCAATTATGTTGTGATATGTATTTGATATGAAATGGCAGAAGATCGAGAGAATCAATAAAAATAAAAAGAAAGTAGTCAAATAAAAAAAAATACCTGTTGGAGGATAATAATTTTTTTTATTTTGCTACTTGTGAATGAAAGAATTTTAAATCTTGTTGAATCGGATTGTATATAATTTACTTCATATTTTTTTTTTTTTTTTTTATCATCTGGTTGGTGTGCATGTGCAGCTCATTGCTTTGTGTTGTCCAATGGATTTTCATATTTTATATTTTTTTTTTTGTTTTATCAACGATTATTAATAATTCAGAATATCAAGCTCATACGTACATGAACGTATGTATGCATGTGTAACTAATCGAGCAATCCTTATATAAAAGCTTTCCTGTGCCTGCACGCGCAGTTACACCTACGAGAGGGGTATGTACATATATATATATATATATATATATATATATATATATATGCAATTTTATTATTATTTTTTCCTTTTTAGTTATCTCTAATGAACTCTATTTATTTAAATTTTTTCTCCGTTTTTTTATCACATATATATTTTTTTTTTTTTTTTTTTTTTGTTCATACCATGTTTCATGCTAGATATCATCATGTAGATGGTTGGAAATGCAGTGTCCTTTTCAAGTTCTTGTTAACGTAATTTTTGCCTTTTTTTTATGTATTTATTTTTATCATATACAAATTTATTCAGTTTCCCCATACTTTTTTAATATGTGCATGTTAATACGTATGTGTATAAATGTGCAGGGATGTTAATTCCATGAGTGACAGCAATGGCATCACAACAGAACTGTTTTTACTGCATTGCAAGTTCGCGAAGTGATATGTCTGATCAGTTTGAAGAGTGTGGAGTTTGATTCTTTCACATTAATATATCATGACCATTTGAGACATATTTTCTTTTTTTTTTTCTACTTTAAACCTATTATTTGGATACACGTATTTAAACATACTCATTTAACTGCTAAAAAAAAAAAAAAAAAAAAAAAAAAAAATGGAAGGAAAAAAGGTTACTGTAAATCATTTGATAATATTTTCATACGAATCTAAATGATGTGAAAAAAACTGTTCTTATATATAAGTATGAGTTATGTATGCATTTCTAATGGCATATATAATTTATCACAAAAATGTGCTTAAGGTGCAAAAATGAAGAAAAAAAAAATAATAATAATAAAACAAAGTAGAGCAAAATAGAGCAAAATAGAGCAAAATAGAGCAAAATAGAGCAAAATAGAGCAAAATAGAGCAAAATAGAGCAAAATAGAACAAAATAGAACAAAATAAAACAAAACAAAACAAAACAACATAATAATAAATAAGCGGGAATACAGTGAAATACATGAGAGTCAATTGTATTATCACTAGTCGAAGTTGAAACAATTCGAGTCGTTTTTTACCATGTATATATTTGTCAGATCTAGGTGTGTGTGTGTGGGGTGGTGGTACAAGTAATATAGGATAAGATTTTTCTAAAGTGTACACGTTCTATATCTGGATAGGGAAATAGAGATATGTATGATTAAATATTCATGGGCAAATTACGTTCCCTCTATTCCGAATTGCTAAATATTGAGCCTATTTTTGAAAATCTTCGCGGAGAAAAAAAAAAGAAAAAGGAATGGATGAATGGATGGATGAAATGGTAGGGGGTGGGGGGTGGGGGGGGATATATGGAAAAATTGTTGTATGATAATAAGATGGTAAAAAAATTTCCTAACTTAGGAACCTCCTTTTACCACCACATATGCTACTAACCTGGAAGTTTTTTTTGGCCATGGTAGAGATGCATTTTTTACCATCCTTTAAAACTTGATTAACCAGATTATTGTTCATTTGAAGAAGAGAATGTATATACTTTGAAAGCAGAAAATGATCGTAAATAAGGTTAGACAATTCATATTTGAATACGGAATAATTATTATTGTAGAAGGATAAAATATGATTTCCAATTTGTGGATTAATATTTGAATTTATGTTGTTTCGTGTGAGATATAATTTTCCTTCATTGATTTTTTTTGCAGACATTTGAAGGATAATATTGTCATTTTGTTTAGAATTGCTATACAAGGATGTATTATTATTGTTGGAGTTATTTACATTTTCTAAAGTGGTGGAAAAGGGTGGATGATATTTGTGTATAACTTGTTCATGTTTATGTAAGAAGAGTTCATCTATGTGTTCTTGGTGTGGTGTGATATGTGTCTGTTGATTTAGTGGGGTATGGATAGATTTCATTTTGTAATAATAAAAAAAGAAAAATATATTCATAAGATTGTTAATTTCTCTTCTCCCAGGTTGAGCATATATTAAATTATTATAATTATCTGTTTTAGCTTTTTTAATTTTTTTTTCTATTATATGTTTTTCATAAAACAGGTAAATAATATTGTGTAGCTTTTTTTCATTTAATGAGGTATCATTATCTTTGCTCATTTTTTTGTGTCCATCTAAGTTCATTATTTGGATATTAAATTTTGATGAATATATTTTTGGCAATTTTATAATGTCAGGAAAGTACGAATTTATTTTTTTGGAAATTTTTTTAATTATTTCTATATTTTTTTTTTGATCTTCTCCTACTATTAAGTAATCGGGCTCGTATAATAAAATATCAGCTAGCATTAAATTTGGATATGAAAGTAAAGCAACTGATTTGTCTTTTGTCACATTCCTTATATGTATATGTGTGTTTAATAAATTAATTGACGTAAATGAGTTTATTAAATAATAAAGTGACATGTGTTGTGCAATGTCTGATTGTTTAAATATGTAGAAAGAGTGTCTTTGTTTTATGTATTGTTTAGAATTCATTTGTTGTGCCTCATGCTTTTTTTCTTTCATTTTTTTATTTACTTGTGTGCTTTGCACATTGGACAAATTATCCATCTCGTCTGATAATAATATCCTAAGATCATTTGGTACATTTGATTTATCATTTCTCGATTGACAATTCAAAAAGGAGTACATTTTATGAGACTCCTTAGTGCTAGGTTCAAGGTTGTTCAATTTTTCATCACTTAAGAATTTATTTATTTTAAACAATTTTAACAAATCTTCTAATTTTACATTATTTATAAGTACGTCTATGTATTTTTTTTTTTTTACATACATGTCTATTATTAGAGAAAGGATAATATTTACTGAATGGATAACATTTTGTTTCAAAGTGAAGATATTATTTATATTTGTTAGTGAGTGCAAGTCAGCTATTATTATTATTTTGTTTATATTCACAAGATTTGCTGTTTTACTTTTCTCACACATGTTCTTTATTTTCGTCGCCTCTACATTTATGATTGGGTTCAAGCATCCAATGTAGTTTCCCAGATGTATGTTACCACTAGGCTGTGTATTTTTTTGTTAAAGAAAATGAGGGGAAGATAAGGAAAAATAGGGAAAGTTTGAATATTGGATGTGTATAAAGGAGGGAAGAAGAATAATACAGAATGCAAACGAGGCTAGATACAATAGAACAGGGGGAAGACGTGGAATAATGCACATCACTACATGCTAATATGTACTCTAGTAAAACATAGTTCTGTTTCATCATTTAATAGTCCTGTTCTCAAGGGATGCTAGATTTAAGACATTACCTTAATTCCAGTTAAGAAGGTACGACTACTTTTGAGCTTGTATTTAGATTTAAATTTAAATTTCTGTTTTATTACTTTGTCAGTTTTAAAAAGAAATGTTGGATAGACTTTCTTGTGTCCTCTTCTGCCATTTGCACATAACATACTCTGAAGCATCAGAAGGAAGGATAAAATAAGTACTCGTTCGTTTCTCATTATGTATATCTTCACATATGTACATGTAACATATGCTTCTCACATCAGGAGTGTTCCGAAAATATGTCAACAAGGTCAAATGGAGTAGCCATCTTTTTCAAAAAAGAATAAAAAATAAAGAAAAGCCCCCAAAAGGATAAGTACAAAATGAAGTATATCCACTTCTCATACATTTTAAATGGTATCTATTTTGGTAACAATTTTTTTTTTTTTTTTTTTTTTTTTGTTTGCGCCCCAACTCATTAACATTATATATATATATATATATATATATATATATATATATATACAACTCTTTCACATGCAAAAAAATGTAAAGATTATGGATTGTATACATGTACCATTTAGAGTAAACAAATGTATTTTTATATATATACTAAGCTAATCTCAAAGTCAAAGAGCGGTTCACTGGTTGAGCGGTTGAGAGGGCATTTCAGGGTTGACCTACATGTTTTGCTTTCAACCCTATTTGTTTATATTTAGTGAAAAATGAACATAAGCTTTTCGCTCATAGTAATACAAATCAGATTTACATAATTGTTGTGAATATTTTTTCTGATTCGCATGAAAACATAATTTGTACTAATTTGAAAAAATGAAAATTGCAAAAATTTGCAAAAAAGGATGAAGTATATAATTTAGGGGGAAAAAGAAAAATTCGACCTATTTGGCAGAGGTAGAAATTAAAAAGTTTTCATTTATGCATTCATTTATTTCTTTTTTTTTTTTTTTTTAACCTTTTCAGAAGAGAAATATAATTATTAATTTTTCTATTCATTAAAATATTGTCATTTTTGTGTTAAGCACTTTATGAAAAAGAAAAAAAACTTCATTTTTTGAAATTCTAAATTGGGAAATCAATACAAATGCGGATGTCTTAAAAAAAAAAAAAAAGAAAAAAAAGTGCATTTATAAATACAGTCATACATTCTCATAAGTTTGGGAATAATTTTAAAATTGATAAATAACATATGTGGTATTAAAAATAAAATAATAATGCGTAGTAGTACGAGAAAAACCTTGGTATTTTATACATATGTATATATATTTATATGTATACAAAAATATAAGTATTGTACGATTTTTTCTGGGAGGTGACTCCCTCATGTGAAAAAATTGAGACATGTTGAAAAAGCGTCTTAACAGAAAATACATAATGAATGGTGTTAAATATAGACATAAATATAAATGCCAAGCACATGTATAAAAAAATGCATTTGACATAAACTCATGCTAAATCATAAACATAAAAAATGCATGCATATATATATATCTACTACACATGTCTGCGTAAGGTCATGCAAGCGCAGAGAAATGCATATGCATGGTGGTTAAAAAAAAAAAAAAAACAACCACACAAGAGTTTGGACAAAAAAAAAAGAAAAAAAATTAAAGCTCGAACAAATCATCCAAAGAATATTTCTTAACGTTCATAAAACTTTGCAAATTGTTCATGTATTTTTTTTTAATTTTTTCATTTATTTTGTTGATTATAATTTGTCGCTGGTTTAATTTATGATTTATATTTGTTTGTAAAGACTCCTTATTTTTAAGGAGTTCTCCTCCGCTTTTGGAATTTTTTTCATTCAAATTTTCTTTTAAATCTATATTTTCCGATTTTCCAGATTGTTCAGTACCCCCTGTGGTATTATTCTGAATTAATTTATTGCTACGTTGAGAGTCCTCCACTAATGTGGAAAAGTTGCCAGCACCTGCAGTGGAGTTATTTTCTCTAGATCTCGCAACATCTGTATATATTTGGCTTGCATTTTCTTCGTTCTTTTTTTCATTTATAATTTTGTTTACAAGATCTTGGTTATATAAATTTGTCAGACACAAGTTAATTATATCTGGGGTATAAATAAGTCTGTTGCACTTTTCCAGGTCATGTTCCGTATCCCCATTTTCGTCATCCCTTTGGAGCCCTTCTTTTTGGAGGGATTCCTTTTGAAGACTTACCCTTCCATCAATTTTTTCAGAATTCTCCGATTCGTCAAATTTATAACATCCTTTAATTTTATCATCTTTCTCGTTATTCTCACGCGTCGTATGTACCTTTTCAGAGTACATTTCAGATTTTGTATCAAAGCCATTTTGTTGATTATCATCTCTGGGAGTATTACTTATATCAGTTTCTTTTTTCCTATCTTCGTTTTCTTGGGTCATTTTATTATCTTGGGAAATTTCATTCATGTGAGAATTGCATGAATTGATAACTTTTTTTTTCTTTTGTGTTTCTTTTTTGTCTTGAGTAAATTTATTTTTTAAAGCATAAATATGGGAGTCATAAATTACATGATCAATGAAAGTTAAAAATGATAAGGAAAGAATATTGAGTAATTTATTATCAATATCTATTGATGAAGAAGTATTTTGTTGATTTTCTGTTATATCTTTAATATAACTGTTAAGAATTTGAATTTCCTCCGTGACGCTATTTTCTGTGTTTAGAAAATATTCTGGGTACACTTCATTTACCTGAGATTTGGAACTTAATGGATTTTTATAAAAATCCAGAGGCATATCTGCCTGACAAATATTTTCATAGAATTCTTCCACTGATTCTATTGAACTTTCTCCTTCACTTTCATCCAGTGATTTTTCACTTTTGCTTGAATAAGAAATGTCTATATTAATGTTCTCACTTTTCTCCTTTGATTTATTTTTTTCGATCCCTTTGAGGAAATTGTGTTTAATAAATTCGAATTTGTGTAGGTATTCGATTTCTTGATCTATAATTGAGCTTTGTGTTCTGCTAAAATTGGCAGAATTTGCAACATTTACAACATTTACAACATTTGTAGCATTTACTGGATTTGTAACATTTCCGTAATTTATTGGACTCGTAAGATTTGTAGAATTTTTAGTTTTCCTCTTTTTTCTGGGTTCACCACTTAAAGTTTTATTACTTATCATGTCCTTAGGAAAAATTTTCTGTTTTTTAGATGGCCTTCCTATGCCCCTTTTACTGTTAATATTTGTCTGACTTTGTTCATTTTGTATAAAATTTTGATTATTAATTTTCACATCTAGTGGGGTTATCTGCTTTTTCAAAAGACCATCTTTCAAATTCCTTCCTTCATTTAATTCTTCCTCTTTTTCTCCTTCTTCTTTTGTTTCATTTTTAACATTGGATGGTGTTACTTCATCACCATTCTTTTCTTTCTTCTTCAATGTTTCGCAGTTTTCATTATTTACGTCTTTTATTTCATTTGTATGGTTGACATTGGTAGAATTATTTGCTTCACTCTGGTTATTTTGGTTACTCCCATTTTTATCACAATTATTTAAGTTGATATTTGGGGTTTCAAGGCTGTCGGACTTGTTTCCATTGTTACTTTTTATGTTTGCATTTTGGTTTATCTCTTGTTTTAATTTTTCACTTTCCGTTAACAGGTCCTTTTTAATTTCATTTAACATGTTTAAAATGCTATAATTTTCATCATCGTTATTTTCGATCTCCCTATTTATGTTTTCCCCATTTTGATTTTCCCTATTTATGTTTTCCCCATTTTGATTTTCCCTATTTATGTTTTCCCCATTTTGATTTTCCCCATTTTGATTTTCCCTATTTATATTTTCCCCATTTTGATTTTCCCTATTTATATTTTCCCCATTTTGATTTTCCCTATTTATATTTTCCCCATTTTGATTTTCCCTATTTATATTTTCCCCATTTTTGCTTTCCCCATTTTCATCTTTCTTTGCTACATCCGGCAATTCTCCCACGCTGCTCGTGTGACTATGGCCAAGATCTGTTTCAGGTTTATGGTAATCTCTCGTCAACTTATTTTCATTTTTACTGAAAAATGTTTCGTTCATCCTATATTTTGGAAAGATTTTTGCGTTATTTTCATGGACTCTTTAAAATGAGTAAAGGGATAATGTTAAAAATGCTTGTATATATCTGCATACATACAAGCTCGTATATTATATGTACATGTAACGTACATATATAAACGTACATATAAAGTGTACACATGATGAGCATGTAAAATGTACATGTACATATGCGTGTTTATTTATTTTGTTGATAACACAATGGGAAAACTTCAAAACGATTTAAAATAAAAAAAAAAAAAAAAATGGAAAAATAGGAGGAAAACTTGTTTATTATGTGCTTATTTTGCATGCACTGCGTACGCAAATCGGTACATATGTATATAACATATGCATATACTACATATACATAGCAGATATACATAGATCATATACATATATACATTTTATTTTTAAAGAACAAACAAACGCCATTTCATTTCGCGCATTTTTTTTTTTTTTTTTTGCAATCCTTTAAAATGAAACTATTAAGCTTTAAGGATGAGAAAAAAAAATGGTATAAAAAATGAACACCATATTATAAAGTACAAACATGTACAAACACAGCATGTTCGTTTTTTGCATATTCACATACATTTGTAAAGGAAATATTGAAAGCTCGTTCTATTACGTGTGCAAAAATTTCTGTGTGTCATAAGAAAATCGTCAGTTGAACGGAGGAGGTTTACATTCCACTACTACACCATGTGCCATAAGAATAGTTAAAATGTTTATGTATATGCACATTAGAATACTCGATAGAACAGCATGTTTCATATGAATATTTTTTAAAAATGGTGGAGTGAAACAAAAGTACACTTACATGAAAACAAAGCTGAATTCAGTGTTTCGAAGCTAACATAATTTTTTTACAATTCTGTATAAATACCAAAATAGAAGAGTTGAAAAATAAACTTTGCTTTATTTGGTTATTCAATATCCATACATTTTATATTACAAAAATGTGTCTATATAATTAGAACACGTTAAAATGTCTACAATTTAAATGAAATATTTCGTAAAAGTATAAAAATATCTTGTAAATAAATAATTTTTTTTTTTTTTTTTTTTTTTTTTATCCTAAATTTTTAAAGTGTTATTTAAAATTCACAAAACGTTTCTCCTTTATGATAGGAAAAAATATGGAAATAATAATGGAAAAAAAAAAAAAAAAAAAAAAAAAAAGGAGCATCAATTATAGCATACTAGTTTTGTTTTAATAAACAAATAATTCAGCAAAGTTGTAAAAAGAATTACAAAAATAATGTGTCCATAAGTTACAGTTTATGAATTATCCCCTTCTTTTTAAAATATTCATGAATGACTAACTTCTAGTAGCATGCCAGGAACAAAATCCGGTTGAGTATAAATTTGTACATGTATAAAAACATACATGGCTTTCATGTCAATACTTAGCTTTCCCACAATAACCATATGAGCAGCAGACATTTATTTTTTAATGCGTTTTTATGGAGTTTTTATTTTAGCAAAGGTACTTAAAATAACACCAATTTTGTTTTTTACATTTAAAAAGCGTGTGTATATAGCATCCATTATTTTCCACGTGTCACATGTTGAATATGTTTTTAGGATATAATTAATCAGTGTAGGTATATACATTCGCATTTTTACAATATATATATATATGTATAAAATAATAATAAAATAAAAAAATTGTGCTAAACTTTTCTCTTTATTCTTGCGTGCTTCTCTATTTAGTATAAGAAAATAAATAAAATGTTGCTATATATAAAATTATAGAGAGTTAAATTGTGGCATTTTCTTCCCTATTATAATCTTAAGGGGTTGAATATTTAAAAAAACTCCTGTATTATGAAAAGCTTTTCCATGTAATGAAGTATTTTTTTTTTTCTTTGTTTTTATTATTTTTTATAAATACTCTGAATGTGTTCTTTTCTCCATAGTGCTATTCATATGTGATTATGGTGCTTGTAAGAAAGGTGAATGATGCACTCCTCCTTTAGAAAGAAAGCATAAAAAAAAAAAAAAAAAAAAAAAAAAACGTTGGTTTTGCCACAGTTTTTTTATTTGCTTAAGGAAATAACTTTTGGGAAAGATAGCCATTTTTTTTATAATATAGGATTGAGAAAGACTGTGGTCATAAGAGAATAATAGAGTTCGTACTTTATCATGGAGATAAAAAACAATAAGCGGGCATGGTCTAGTGGCTATGACGCCTGCCTAACACGCAGGAGATCCCGAGTTCGATCCTCGGTGCCCGTAAAAGAAGTATAAAAAAAAAAATGAAAAAAAGGAAGCAGAAATAACAATGGGTGGAAACTGCGGAATATTTTTTTTTCTTTTTTATATTGAGGAAGATTTAAAAGTATGTTGTTGGAAAAAAATTCTTCACTAATTTATATACAAGCACTAAGAATTATTTGGAGAGTTTATGTTTGGATGTAAATTACTTAAAATATTTCATTTTAGGAGTAATAAATGTGATAGGCAACAACACCTGCCATGCAGTTTATATAATTTTGTTATATAAGAAAGTAGTATATATATATATTATTATATGTACTTTTTCACATCGTTTCAATAAAAATCGAGGAACAAATTAAGGAATAAAAAAAGATTATACCGGTTTTGTTTCCATTTGGTAAAAAATAATTCACTGCGTAGAAGGGAAGAACTTTGTAGAATATTCCATGCTGTAAATAATGATTAATTTTTGCTCTTCTTCTGTGTCAACAGGTAAAAACAAAGAAATTACATAGGATATATATGAACATTATGAATAATCGCATGCACATAAAAAACTTTCCATTTTTTCCAAGAAAAGGATACTTAAAAGGAAATATTTTAAAATGGCATCGCTCATTCTTTTAAACTTAAAAAACTTTGTCATTTTTTAGTTATGAACACAATTATGAATATTATAATTGGTAAAATATAATGGACGGAATAAAGTGCTCAAAAAATATGAGTGCTTCATTTTAATAAAAAAAGGCACATTTCATTTATCACAGATAAGGAATACCACAAAATGGAATTTAAGCACAAAATGTCATAAATATATATATATATAAAGCAGCATAAAACAGTTTTCCTTGGGAAGAAATAAATTGGAAATAAGATGACTCATTGTGAAGTTCTACTTTTATAAAGCTTTCAACTTTTCTATAAAAAACATATAATTATGTTACATGAAGAATTAACAATATTTTAACGTGCATTATTTGTTATATATTAAGAACTAATAAAAAGGTTATCCAGAGATATGAAAAAAGTTTATTTGTTGTTATATAATTTGTTAAGTAAGAGTTGTTTTTTTTTTTTTTTTTTTTTCTTATACACGTATACATATTATATAAGGAAATAAAATAACTCAGATAGCGTAATTATATTTTCACTTTGTTAAATAGATTTCTAACACTTTATGACTCAACATAGAAGTATTTTTATTTTATTTATTATATATAATTACAGGACCAGCATTATGTGATAATTATAATTAGGTTTCTTTTTTTTTTTTTTTTTTTGGTGTGATATCTAAGGGGGAAGGAAACGACGCTTATTTCTTGTGCACTTGTAAAATTATGTATATGTAAAATTGTATGCATCCGTATAGTTCTGTTTTTTAAAAAGAGTAGACAAAATGTATGTACCTTTTCATAATTAGGACATATTTAACACATTTTTTTAGATGAATTATAATACGCTATAAAATGGCAGAAGAAGCAAAGAATAAACAAAAATATTATTTACAGATAAAACAGGAAAGGTACTTTTTTTTTTTTTTTTTTTTTCATTATTACAATGTGTTGTTCCTTTATTTAACATATATACCACGTACACACATACACGAAAGCATTTCATTATATGAAGATCCTATTAAGTGCTTATCACCCTGCTAAATATATTATTTATTTTAAGAATATACAATTAAAAGGACATTTTCTAGGTTTCCTGTTCTGAAATGTTATTATGTAAAAAACAATACAAAAAAAAAAAAAAAAAGGGTGACTTTTCAATTTCCATAAGTATAAATATATATACATAGAAATATGAATATTTCGAAAGAGTAATTTTGGCATTTTTACACGATTTCAATTTTATGTATCTCATTGTGCCACCTTCGGGGATAAAAACAATTCATTGCTGTGTTGTGTGTACACACTGGGATTGGTGCTACTAATTGATGATAAGGAAAAGTGTGGAGTATTTAAATAAATTAGCTTAGGAGTTATCATTAAAATTAATTCTTATTGGGGCTAATATGTAATTGTTTTTATATAACAAAAATTATATACTAAATAAGAAATTGCTTCTTTAAAGTATATGTAAATAGGAGAAAAATTTTAAAAAAGTTTGGAATTTTTTTTTTTCTCCCTTTATAATTATCACCTTTTTCCCCTTCGAAATGTTAAATATAATAAATGTTTTTTTTTTCGCATAAAAAAAAAAAAGTTGAAAAATTAAATATTTTTAATATATATATATATATATATTGTCATCATTATTATTAAGAAAATAAATTATATTTTTTTATTTTAAGATACCTTACAAAATTTTACAATTTTTTATTCTATCTTTTCCTCCTCTTTTTTCTTATACATTTTTATGTATAATTACTTTAATTATCCCATTTTTTTTTATATTGTAAAAAAGGTCTCGCCGGGACTCGAACCCGGGTTGGAGGATTCAAAGTCCTCAGTGCTAACCACTACACTACGAAACCATATACGCATAAATGTTCATGCAAAAATATGTTACAGATATCGAGAAATTACTAGCCCTATTTTTCATCATTTAGGCAAAGCGATTGTATAATATTTGCGAAAAATATGTATATTGTGCTTTTCAAATTAATTTTTATTTGTTCCTCCCTATGAATATATATGTAAGCACATTTCGAACAAAAGAGACAAACAAAAAAATATATCTAAATAGTTTTATCACATTAATTTATCAAATGAACGTAATATAACGAGAGAGAGAAGAAAGAAAAATAGCTTCTTTTCATACATACACTCCGGGTGATTTTTATCATCAATGAATTTGTAACAAATTAAATCGTGTAAAGAATTTCATATTATTTATGAAAATACCTCAGTTTTATGTATTACGAGGGAAAAAAAAAAAAAAAAAAAAAAAAAAAAAAAAAAACAGCCAAGATATATCCCAAACTGTTTTTCACACTTTTTATATTTGAAGCAATGGGTTGTTTATTAAGTTGTTTGTCAATAATCCACAAGGTGATTTACACAGAAATTATGGAAATATCAATTTTCAATTTCTTTTTGTCGATTCTGAAAAACAAGTTTGTGTCGTTTTGTGCGTGTAGATACATATCTGTAGAAAAGGTACCTTACACACGCATGGCTACATCGGAACCGTCTGTGTTATTTAAAGATAACATTTTTTTTTACATTCTAAAATTGAAAATTGAGTAACTAGTACAGGGGTGTGCACTAATCTATTGGGGGAAACAATAAAAAGAGGAGCCCAAAAGAGGCAAACAAAAAAGTTGTGACAAAAAAAAAGCGGCAGAAAAAGAGTGATGAAAAAAAAGTGATAAAAAAAAAGTGATGAAAAAAATGTGATGAAAAAAAAGTGATAAAAAAAAAAAAGCCTAAATCTAAATTATTAAACCATTATAAAAAAAAAAAAAAAAAAAAAAAGAGGAAATTCCTTACCTTGCCAACTTCAACTGAAGTTTAAAATGCGAATAAAAAAAAAAAAAAACTCTAGAATATAATTAAATATATAATATTGAGAAAAATTAAAGTCCTATAAAATTTACTTTTCTATTTCCCACATAATTGAAGAGAAAAACACAACTGATGAGAAAAATCAAAGTTAATTGTGCATAGATTTTGCACAAAGGAGCATGAGACATTATTGATATGAGGAAATTTTCCTGATTGGCACTTCATATGGTTAGAGAAATTTTGGGGTAAAACACTTTCATGGAATATATATTTCACTATTTTTATTTTTCCTGAGCCACCCAAAGAACTTAAATGTGTGAAGGAAAATCCTATGAGAACGCTTAAGCTTGTACTTAAAACCCAGTAATAAATATGCAACATTGATATATAGATGTTTTATATTAAATAATGTATGCATGGAATTCCAGATATCTATTTTTTTCGACAATTCTAATGAACTGAATGCAAATTCGTTATATGTTAATTTTGGGTATAAAATAACATCGCTTTCAAGTTTAAAATTTTTATATATATCTTGTCTCCTAGATGGTTCTATATAAGTCTCATGAACTTCTACACGAACATCATTTAATACAGATGGATCTTTAAATATTTCTCCTAATACATTAAATGTTTCATCGTTATTTGTTACTTGCATTACTATATTATTATAACGATATGTAACAAAGTTGCTAAATAAGTGGTGAAAACATTTTATATCTACACATCGAAATGATTCCTCAAACATCTCATAAAATCGATTTATAGTATCATCATCAAAAAGATTTCTATATTCCTCGAATGTGTTGAGAATATTCACAATTTTATCTTTTACAACATTTTCCTTAGTTAATTTTGATTTTACTTTCATGACATGATAATAATAACCTTCATTTATAACTTGTAAAACGTATCTTAGTTCTCGTTCTGTTAATCTTTTTAAAGGTGGGTATATTAAGAATTCATTGAATAATTGAAATTCTACTATTCTGTATAAAGAAAATATATTTCTCTTGGTTCCTATAAATCCTTTTTCACTGCTTGACTTTAATTTTTGCACAGATTGGTTAATATCTAACAACATTTTATTAATAAATGGATTTAAATGGTGATTCATTAAGAATTTATTTTTTCCCTTCATTATTTTTAACCCTTTTTTTATAATATCATTTGGAGAAACAACAGAAAATTTGTTTAATGAAATTATGGCATGTACTATTTTCATTATGACGTGGAAATTTCTATAAGCATTAGCCTTATTAACATACATATTATATGGTCTATTAAAATATCCATATTTTTCTTTATTTAGACCTTTATTCCTTTCATCTACCATTACTGAGGTTAATGGAAGTGGATTCAATTCTTTCTTTTGCAAAAAACTTACGTTGTTTGTTTCATCATTACTGAGTTGCATTTCAAATCCTTTTTCCTTTTCGAATGTCTCAGACATCAAATCATCCTCTGGATTCTGTTCTTCCTTTTCACTGTAGATTTGTTCGTAACTATATGCTGCATCTCCCGTTTTGGAAGTTTCGATAGAACTCATTGAATTGTTTGACCCAGTTATAGTGCTTGTATCAGATGTACCACCACTTCCACTAGATGTGATGGTAGTACTCGATGCTGCATTCTCCAATGTATTGGTAGAAGCTCCAGTTGTTAGACTTTCAAAAGAGTCTTTTGGCAAATCTGAAACTGCACTTACATACGACAAGGTGTCTTCATCCGATTGGGCCACTCCTTCTGTTTTTTTATTCATTAGAGCATCTAGATCACCACTTTCAAATTCTGAATCTGAGCTGTCCAAACCAGAAGAAGTACTGTCCGTCATCAAATCGTAGTCTTCTAGTTTATCTTCCTCTTCTCCTACTTCTTCATTCAAAAGATCTTCTATCAATTTTTCATCTATGTTTTGCTCTTCTAGGATTTTTTCCTCTTGTGTTTTTGGTTTTAAATCATCTTCCTTTACCAATCCAATATCACTAACATTTTGTACATAAGGCTTTCCTGGATTTAAGATTAGCCAATAATATAAATTAAAAGGGTATGTAACAAATGAACACTGAATTTTTTGATAGTAATTACCTATGATTGATTTTGCAATAATATAAAATTGATCGAGAATATTTTCTTTATAAAAAGGTGGGGTGGTGGCTTTATTGGTAAAATTAAAATTGATTCCATTTTCATCATGTGAAAAAGTAAAATCCGTAAATGGAATAGATGGAATATTTGTTTTATCTAAGAATTTTTCTAGGTAAATATAATTCTGCATTGTTTCATTTAAGGCGTCCGCATAACTATTTGGAATGGTTCTGTTGCTCTTTTTACCACCACGAATATATATATCTGAGTTTCGTCCTGTGTTATAATTGGAAGTGTCATTAATTTTTTGGTAATATGTATCTAAATTATTGATTCCTAAATCATCATAAAATAAATCTATTAATAAATAATTTTTATAAAAGTTGTTAATATCATAAGATATAATTTCATAGTATCGATTAATTTTTTCTTTATCCTCTGGTACAAAGACATATGTTTTTATATTATCAACTGCATAACATTCCGTGTGAAAATTAAAATGATCTATTGGATATATTTTAATGTTATTAGTCATTTTCAATTTTTGCATAAATTTTTTAAAATTTTCAAATTCTATTATTGAATTTAGGATAAAGTTTAAATAATTTCTACTGGCTAAGTAGAAGAGTGAGCTATCCATAGAATATGCTAAATCTCCTGTTACAGCATAAAATTTTATGAAAATGTAGAAGTTTCTTAAAAATAAAAAGTTGGTAAATCTCATGTCTGTTAATAGTTTTAAGAATCCAATTAATTGGTGCAAATATTGATCAATCATTGGGTTCATCTTTATTTGATTTAATATATGTTCACTTTTATTTTCTGCATAAATTTCAAAATATTTTTCATCTTTTCGTAGTTCAGATAAATCATAATTATATTTTTTTTGAAGTATTAAACTTATAATTCTATAAATTCGTAATACAAGTTTTTCATTTTTTATAGATGTATTTGGAGCTAGCTTGAAATTGTTTAACATGATTCGAACATTTTCTTGACTATATGTATATCTTATAATAGGATATTTAAACTTGTGGAATACATTAGAAAAAATTAATATGTCCTCCAATTTTATGTATACTGATGGATATATGGCATTAAGAGATTCAGCTTTTTCTAGAATTTCAAAAAAATTCGTGTATCGCATTATATTTAATAATCTACTTCCTTTAACTCGTTTTCCTAATGACATTAACACTTTTCTTTTTGTAAAACCAAAAAGTCTCTTCACATTTAATAGTTTTAAGTATAAATATTTCATGGGTGTTTTATAAAATTTTTTCCTTTCATCTAAGAATTTTTCTAAAGTTAAGTATTTTTTCCAAGAGTATTTATTATCTTTTTTTTCTATTCTTAATAATGACATTATTAATAGCAAATGTTTAACAGCCTCGTTTGAATAAAACAATTTGAACATGTCTTCAATGGATACATTCTCTTTTTTAAAAAATAAATGTGTACCACACAAAATTTTTATCAAATTTTTCTCTTGAATTGCTGCATATTTTGTTTTCTCATTTTGTACAAGGTTAATATTCCTTACATTCTTCATATCAATGGTATTTCCTGTTATATTATTAATAACTTCTCCTATACCTTTTACATTATCTTTTATAAAGGAATTAAAATCATAGTATAAAAGGAACATGCATTTTGCTGGTAAATGTGGAAATTTTTCTTTGTTCGGTATTATTCCATGTTTTGATTCTATTTCCTCTATAACTTTATTCCTTTCTTCTTCTCTTGATTCTGCTTCTTGCAGTAAATATTTTGTGTTCTGAACAAGTTCATCATTAATTGGAAGTTGAAATGGCTTTTCATTTTCTTTCTCTACATTTATTTGCTCCTGTTCTTTTTCACCCATTATCTCCTTTTTCTTAATATTCTCATTCTTATCATCATTTTTGTCTTCATTTTCATATTCCTTTTTCTTCTCTTTGAGTAAATTCATCGTATAGGACTCATAATTATGAGCATATTCAGTGACTGGGTAATAAACTTCTATCAGTTTTTGTTGATATAATTTATATGTTTCACTTATTGGTATTTCATGTTTTTCAATATTTTTATAAATAGAATATAATGAAGACATTACAACAATAATAGTAGCTTCTTCTGTGTTGAAAAAGTTTGCCTTATTTAAAACATTTTCTAAAAATATTTTAAACATTTTAGAGAATGTTCTCTGGTTCAGATTAAATCTGTATTTTTGAACACGTCTTATAAAAATATTTTCAGATCTATCCTTAGCTTGACGTGATTTTTCCATGAATATACTATGCACCTCATAGAACTCAGTAGGACCCATATTTAATAATGCTCTATTCCATGATACTCCTCGGTAGAAGTATTGCTTAACGGCCCCAACCATGGAGGACAGCTAAAAAAAAAAAAAAACATAACAATGTGGTAGCAGTGTGGTAGCATTGTGGTAACACTGTGACAATAATATGACAGTAAAGCATGAATTATAATGAAAGATAGACGTAAAACTGGATACACCACACAGATTGGATTATTTCAAAGGTGTTATATTTTTTCACAGGTGTGACTATAGACTCATATCTATCACATGGAGGAAAAAAAAAATAAAATAAAATAAAAAGAAGGTCGACTTACAATATGTGCGCTAAAACGATCAACTCCTGAAGCCCATAGAACGTGATAAATTAAATCAACTACCAAAACATCATCATCTTCCTTTAGACACATATAACAACCACTCAATTTTCCTTCAAATGTGTTAAAATAAGATCCTACAACGAGTTTTCCATTGTTACTGTTTGAAGGTTCAAATTTAATATAAGGGACTTGAAAAGATAAAGGATTTCTATAATCTTTCATATGTACTAATCTTGAAAAAGTATCTTTTTTGTTTTTATCATCAAATAAGAATTTAAATAGGAAACCATCTTTATTGTGTAAATATAAATCATTATTTTTCATAGAATAACTACTAAAAACTAGGGAATTTTTTTTATCAGTGTTTACTTCGTCTATTACTGTATGAATTTCTTTAATAATAATTTTCTCAATTTCTTCGCTATAATTTAATTCTGCTAAATCGACATTTTCTGATTTTTTTATAATATCTACAACATTTTTTAAATGATCATATAAACATAAATCTTTAGAATCTAGAATAACTTTAAAAAAGTTAACTAGATTATCTATTATATCGTTACTTACCAATATATCATTATAATTTAAAAAGAGAGGAATTAACAGATTAATAAAAATATTCAATGGGAATAATGATTTTTTTACTTCAAAATCGTTGTATGAATTTATCTGATTTAGATTTTTATCTATTTCCAAAGTATCTTTTTTAAGAACATTATATTTTTCACCAAAATTTACTAGATTTGCGATAATTCCTGTTGAACCCACTATTATTAATTTCATTGCAGCATTTAATTGTTTTTTTAGCTGTTCATCAAAATATAAACTCGTATAGGGAAATTTAAGGGATGGCTTATAATGAAGAAGTCTTATCTTAATAAGGGACAAGGTAAATTCAATGCTACCTTTATTGATTCTTTTAATATTTCTTTTTATAAATGGTTTCCTAATAATATCAGAAGAAATTCTTTGTAAATATAATTCATACATTTGATCCTCATAGATGTATCTAAATTCTGATTCTACATCTGTGTGAAAAAATTCCTTAGGCGGCATTTTACTGATGTAATTTATGTTCACATAAAGGAGTGTGTAAATTTTTGCTAATAAATTTGCAACTGCTAATCGCAGGTATGATTCTTCATAATAAAGTACTTTTCTTGTGATCTTAAGAATCATCAGGATTTTTTTGAATGTTGATGTGTTGAATTGGGGTTCCTTATCGAGGTTAGCTTCCTTTGTCTACAAAAAAGCACAGGGGTTGTTATGACGAATGTAGAGATATGGAGAAGTGGCAACACAATTGTACTACACAATGGTTATGTAAAAAATAGTAACGTAGAAAAATGGAGGAATCTAGGTTATTACATTCATTCCACTTTTCATTTAAAAGCGATTTTTATATCATGAAAACTTACACTTATAATGTTCATGTTTTCCATAGAGTCTATCACATATTTAAACAAAGAATTACTAAATTCAAAGAATCCTGTACCCATATTTTTCTCAAATAAGTTGTTCAAAATGGGGGTTAAATTTTTTCCACTCAAATGTTGAGTAACATTTACATAAGATAATTTCCAAATCTTAGAAACCAAAATTAAGGCGTCTCCATATAGAAGTTTCGAGGCATAGGGCTGAAGTTCTGGGTACTTCATTACGTTGACTAAAAACGTGAGAAGTGGAAGAAACAATTGGGGGAATCGCAATGAGAGGGGAGAACAAAGTAAAACATAATATATACACACATATATAGGTATATATATGATGAGAAATGTATAGACATGGGTTATATTCCAATGGAGCGCACAAACGGATGTATACATGCACGCATGTGATATGCAAAAGCACAAACGAATCGATCACCAATAAGAGAAGATATACATATATATATGTACAAGCTTATATCTCTAGTGTGAAGGCTTTGTTTCATCACTTACTCTTTAAAATGTGATTATACAACTTTCTGTAGGATATTCGAACCAGGCGTCTAATATTTCTATAAACTAAGAAGACTATTTTACTCAATTGAGTAATACAAAAGGATGATAAGGCAAAGGCAAAAGCTCCACGGAATGGTATAACTAGTGGATAAAAAAATAATAAAAATGATTTAAAAACATAAGACATGATAACCCCGAAAGTATTATTCATTATTAGTTTATCAAAAGATGCTATGTTATTGTATAGATAAGCATTTGAAAAACAAAGATCTATGAGTTCGTGATTTATAACTCCAATAATTCCTCTGAGACTTTGAACGAATGATACTGACATAAATGTTCTTGCCAATAAAAGACCATCACTTTTTAATGCATCCACCATACCCCAGTAAGCATCAGCTGAGAACATATTTTTTAATGGAAAAAAAAAAAATTATGTGTTAAGTTGCATCAAATAGTTGATCTTTTTCTTGCACATATATATATATATATATATATATATATATATATATATATATATATATATATATATATATATACATATACATATACATATATTTATTGTATTATCTTTCTAACATTTCGCTTTTTTGTATATTAGAAGGGCGTGATCCATTTCATTTTTTAAAGAGTCATCTATTTCAAAATGTGGACAATCAAAATAGGTCATTAGCTGTTTCCTGAATACATCGTGCTTTTTCTCTATACAAAAATGAAAACAGAGTTGTGTAGGAATATAATTAGATGCGATGAGAGGGACCTTTTGGAAGGTGTTACCCTATCCGAATTCACGCTTGATGTGTAGCATATGACACAGTATTGGCTATATAGTTAACTATGTTGTTAGCAATGTCGTTTACTATATCATTTTATTTTGCTTAATTTTACTTAATTTTGCCTAATTTTACTTAGCTTTATTTAATTCTATGCAGCTTCATATAATTTTATTATAGATTTTCATTACTTGACTCATGCGCCCTAGATATTAACTTAACTATACTTTTAACATTTTTCTTATTTAACACTGTTAAATAAAAAAAATAGTTAGTACGAGAGAGGGATTCATATATAGCAACATTCTTGTGGAAATTTCCCTCTGTAGAACAAAAAAAAATAAAATAAGTAGTATTGGTGTGATGCATTATTTTTATTTTTTATTTTTGTGTGTGTACCACTTTGCATGACGCGTACGATATAATATGAGAAAACGCTATATATACACAGGAATTCCTCTAATCTTATGCTTGTATACATTTCTTGACATGTCTAAACATTTGTATATTTTTTTTTTTTTTTTTTTTTTTTTCACTCCTTACGTTTCATCAGTCCCCTATATAATATAGTATTGATCAACTTGGCTACATAATACTGGTTAAATATAGAACTAGCCTTTAACGATAAAAATGAATGTTCATTGTAATTAAGAGCGCTATTAATTTTAACATCATGTTTTCCTTCCGCTTCTCTGTTTTTAAAAGCAATTACTGTAAAATAATTAAAATAATTGTAAAAATAAAAAATGTTATGAGAGGTTGTGTGTATTTAAGCATAATACACCTCTTTGTGCGTATTAACTAAGGTCCATTATTTTATAAAATATAAACCATTCGTTTCTCCACAACTTTTTTTGTAGCGTGTTTATATAATGATAAAGAAAAATGGTGTTATACAATATGAACATGTTCAATAAGCCACGCATATTATGGTGAATACATAAAAAAAAAAAAAAAAAAAAAAAAAAAACAGGAAGATAGACTTCGTACACTACTAAGAAAAAAAATTTGCTTAAGTATTTCTAATTAAAAATAATGAATTTGTAATTATAAATGCATCTCCATTTATACACACTTTGGTAAAATGAGGATATAGAGCGAAACTGTCACATATATATACATTCATATAATCTTGACAAATTAACTCTATATATCACATATAAAAGTCATCGTCCCTTTTAACGCATTTGTTACCTGAGTTGCTGTCATTTTTACGTGGGGGGAAAACTTTAAGGTTCTTGTTTTCTATTTCTTTACATTTTAATATTAATACATTAAAGAATAAACAAAAAGATGAAATGCAAAACCAATATTTTTTCATTGCAGAAACAGGAAAAAAAGTAAAAGTGTAGAATTCCAGCGTATTATATTTATACGCGCAGATTTTTTCAATATTTTTCTAAGTGTTACATAAGGTAAGAAACTTTAATTTGGAGCAACAAAAAAAAAGGGTGTAACAAATGTACACATTTGCGTGCATGTATAGATGTAAAAGCTATTATGGATACATAAATTCATGAATGGTGAAATAAAATAAAATTAATACACTGATACGGAAAAAAATGTCTAGGGTGTAAAAATATGTTCCAAATATTAGGGACGCCTGTTTGCAAAAGCAATGTTCAGGTTTAATTTTTTTTTTTTTTTTTTTTTTTTTTTAAAACTCACACATTCTTTTTCATTGTTATGATCAAGGGAAAATTGGAAATCAATAAACACTAAAACCACACATGCATGCAAATGTAAAAAATATATAAAAATAAAAAATAAGAAAAAGTATGAAAAAAATAGGAAAAAATAAGGAAAAAATTAACAACTACTAAGATTAGAACAAATTAAAATACAAAAATTAATTAGAAACATAAAGTAAAAAAAATAAGAATAAGTAACCGTTTTCAGAATTTTTAAAATGCATACAACTATTTGTATATATATATGTATATATATATATATATATATATAATACATAAACGTTTGCACGTGTGTATATTTTTGCGAGTGTGTATCCGCTTTAAAAAAATTTCCTAAATGGTACACATTTTTAGTTACAAACAAATAATAAGTGCTAAGAGAAAAAAAAACAAACATATATAGTTGTATATGCACATATATATACAACACATGTATGCACACCATACGTACATATGTACACATTAGATCATTTCACGTGTAGAGCACTTTTTTTTTTTTTTTCTTTTAAATCCCTCGGATTAGGAATATGAAGAATCTTTTGAAATTTCCAATTAATCTAGAAAAATTGGAAAATAACAAAAAAAAAAAAAAAAAAAACATACATATGTATATGTATATATATATATATATATATATATATATATATATCAAGCAAATGCTCCTTAGTTGATGAAAGTATTCCTATGATTTAACATATTTTTTTTTAAAAAACCTTTGTTGCATAACCAATGTTTCATGAAAAAAAAATTGTGAAAAAGGGATCATAAATAATAATATGCATTTAAGTGCAATACGAATTTTTCGAAAAAATATTTACACAACTTTTTAATTATTTTTTTTTTTTTAAACACAAAATTTTTTAAATATGTTTTGTTCCATGGGGAATATTTCACAATGTTTTTAAAATTAACCCATTTTTTTTTTTTTTTTTTAAACACAAAATTTTTTAAATATTTTTTGTTCCATGGCGAATATTTCACAATGTTTTTAAAATTAACCCATTTTTTTTTTTTTTTAAATGCTTGTAAACTCCAGCACATCACAATATTTCCATGTGATCAGAGGTTCAATGTCTTTCATTACTAGTGTCATGATTGTATATATCACCTTAAATGTGCATATATTTTCCTTTAGGCCACAACACTATCCTTGGTTATTTCATGAATTAGAGAAAACCTTGAAATGATTGAGTATGATAATATATAGGTGATGAATGTCCTTTTTATGAGATTCAATGTTTTTTATTCACAATGTAATACATAAAAAAAAAAAAAAAATTTCAAGTAACAGTTTGTTCTTCTATTGAATTTTAAAGTTAAAAAAAAAGAAAAGAAAAAAAAAAAAAAAAGGTCTTTTCACCATTTCTCATTTTTAAAATAATGTATTTTTAAATACCTAAAGTTTGAAGCAAAAGCTTTATGCACATATACATAAATTTATTTATGTATTCGTCATGTACCCATTATATAACATTTTAAAGGGGCCTTTTCACATTTCCTATAATGTCATTCTTGTGAGAATTTATATTCCCCCTTGAGAAGTACGTGAATAAACCTAATTTTTTATATACCTAGGTGTTTTTATAAAAATGTTAATTATGCACTATGATACTATTAAGTGCTGCTCTTAAGCTATATACCTTTTAATAAATACCAGTTGATGAAATCGTTCATTCATTTAACATTCTCAACGATGAATGGTGTATGCACATTTCCGTCACTTAACGAAGTAAGAGTTAGATGTCTGTATGTCTTTCTTGTCTTTCTTGTCTTTCTTGTCTTTCTTGTCTTTCTTGTCTTTCTTGTCTTTCTTGTCTTTTTTTTTTTTATAAAAAGAAAGGGAGTTGCACCATAGAATCGTGCTGTTATATTATATCATAACTACTATCATTCTCTTTTTTTATTTTTTGAATTATCCTACAAGTATGTAATAAACTACCTAAAAAATCGGTTTTACAAAATATCGATTAGTTGTAAGGCAACAATAACAATGCGCATTTCATTTCGTTTTTTTTCTTTTTTTAATAACATCCAAAACTTGTACTTACATTTACTTTGGACTTAAAGGGAAATGTTAAAATTAAGCAATTTTGTGAAAATGTTTGTACTTAGAACAATTTGCAGTTTTGAATCAGTTAGTAATTCCCTAAAGAGTTCATTTGTGAAATGATATCTGATCACCTATTTGTTCTGTCCATTTATTGTTATATATGCTTATACAAATAGTTTTTATTCATAATAGGTGAATTTAATTCGTTATTGTTAAATCTGTTGCAGGGAGTCAACTGTCTGTTGATTTACACATATGGTAGAAAAACACTTTAACTGATGTATAAGATATTCTCTTTTATTTTTTTACATATAAGAAGCGCGAGCTCTTGTCCATTACTAATAATTGGAGCTCTTACAAAGTTAGGTTACTTTTTTTGTAACTGATAAAATCAAAGGAATCATGGGTGTAAAAAATGTTACTTTTGCTTAGGATAAAAAAAAAAAAAAAAGAAAAAGAAAAAGAAGAGAATTACTTAAACGTTTTCGTTTTGCTTTATTTTATTTTACTAAATCTGGAGGTAATATAACATAGTAACAATCGAAAAAGAAAAGAAAACAAAATTAATTTAATGATGTTTCTTTTTAAGGTCGTTCATTTGGTTGTACAAAATATAGTAAAATATATATATTTATATTTACACAAATTAGCTAATTTTTAATGCGTTAAAATGCTTTACCATATACATTGATCCACGTATGTATGTATATATATATTTTTGAGCCCTGTTTAGATGTCCGCAGGGATCTGCTTAAAAAAAAAAATAAATAAAAGAATTTCTACACATGCAAATTTGTGAGAAATTTCGGTTTACATTTTGCTTTGATTTTTGAAGAAACGTTAAGATAAATCATTCTTTTCAGGCATACTCTTCTTTTAATTATTTGATTACGAAGACAAATTTTGAAATAAGCAATCAAACTGAAAACTTGAGGCTCATAAAGCATTAAACTGGTAAACACGAATTTATTTCAAGGTATCATCCCAAAACTTATCTCTGTTCGTGTGATGTAGTAGTAGTATGTATAATTTTTGCTGTAATTTTCGCTTTTATTTTTCATACAATTAGAACAATATTTAGTATTTAATCAACACTTTTTTTGTTATAATAGATGTGGAAAAGTTTAACAGAAAGAACTATACATAACATGCATAGATAGACCCCATGTATATTGCGATAAAAAAAAAAAAAAAAAAAATTAGAGATGATGTTTTAAAGAAATTTTACATTTTTGCAACGTGATGGATGCATAAAAAAAGTATATTTACTCATTCATATGTTTTAAAATTGGTTTGTTATAGAGAAAATTTACTTTTTTTTTATAAATGTACGTATGCATCTATATGCTACAGGAATGTATTTATTTATGCATGATACATTTTGCTGATAGTTGTTGCGTCTACTTCGTATTTGCAATTTATAAAATTTAGTTTTACTTTTTGTGAATATTTAAAATGAAATTAAAAGATGTGTATTTTGAAAAAAAAAGAGCGGAATGAAGATAAGATACAAGGTCTGATAAATGTTAAAGCAAATTCCATCATATTGTTCTAACAAGATATTTTTTTAATATGCACCTGACATTAGAACATAAAACATATATAATGTACATATAGACTTGTTTATTTATAACATGGGGGGAGGGGACCTCTTTTGTACATGGAACAAAATTTTCATACATTATTACACTTTCTATTTTTTAGAGGTATAGTTTCATTTGATAACTATAAATTAGATTCTTATAATTTGATTTACAAATGTTGTGTGTTCTAACGGATAGATTTGACCGATTAATAAGGTAGCACAAAGATACTACTTTTAACCTGCTTAGGTTTATTACAAAATATCCAAAAAAAATTAGCATAGGAATTTGTATATTTTTTAATAAAAGCATATAATTAATTCGCCATGAACCAAAATCTTTTTTTTTTTTTTTTTTTTTTTTCTTATGCTACTTGATTTACATATATAGAGTTACTTTTAATAAAAAATAGAATAAAGTTATTTTTTCCCTTTAAAAATATCATACACTCTATTATATTTTTCACAGAATTATAGGCTTCAAACATGTCATATATATCTGGTATATGGACATGTAACATTTTTACATGTGTTTTTGGGTTTATTATGTACAACTAATTTTGTTGTATATGTGTGGATATGTAAATTTATAATATGTAAACTTTTTTTAAATTCTGCGCTGTGATTTTGTTTTTTTTTTAAAATTCATAAAAGTAATGATATTTCTGCTTCAATGAGAAAAATACATAAGAATAAAAAGAGTTCGTACTCAAGGAAAAGAAAAAAAAGAAAAAAAATTCGTAAATATAAAATATGCATTATGTGTTGTTATTTTCTTTATTACCTTTTTTATTACATTTTTTATGAAAAAATAGAACTGATAATAAATACATTCATATAAAAAGACAAAAATCAGCATTTAATTATATAAAAAAGGAAAAAAAAAAAAAAAAAAAACCGAAAATAAAATAATAAATAAAAAACACTTTTTTTTTTCTTTTATTTTTCTTTTCATAAATTAAAAAGCATTGAAAATAACTATACATATATGCACAATTATCATGTACGCAATCAAATATGTAATATCATTATAAAAAGAGAATTAATAGAAATAATTGAACATATAATATCATAAAATTATATAATTTTTATTTTTCATGTAAGCAAAAATAAAAAAAAATATATACATATATATATAGAGAGCGAGAGAGAGAAAATTCATAAAATTTTAATATATAAAATAGAAATTTATAAATAGGTGTACACATAAAATTTTCGAAATAACACAACTTAGGATAGATAAAAAAAAAATGTAACAAAAATATATTTCCATACTTCTCGTCATCTCTAAATCTCAGCAAATAACAGTAACATAAGTCTTACACATAAATTTTCGTATCACATTATATTGTATGATATAGAGTATGTCTCTACGTATAACAATTTCTATCGTTCATACTCCCATATGGAATAGAAAGGTTGGTATCTTTGATTCATAAGCCGCATGGTATAACCACCATTTCATGTGCTTGTATTCTCTTTTTCATGTGTATACATAAATATATATGTATGTATGAATGTATGTATATATATACACATAAACATGCACAAACACTAATGCTCATTTTTCTTCATCCATCAAAATTATATACATGTCTTCATTATCATAAAGATATGCCTTAAAGTCCTTTTACTCTCTTTTCTTTCTTCGTTTAATAATATCCGTGATATTTAAGTTTTTGGAAGATTTCCTACAATTAAAAAAGCGTGAAAGTGAATATAAAGTCGTACATGCTTACATGGAATGATAAAAAAGAGAGAGATAAAAAAAAAAAAAAAAACATTTCCTCAAAAATGATGAAATGAGACAAAAGTTTTATATAATGTATCATTAATTATATACATTAGCTTCTTTCTTATTACCTTTTTACCAACGATGTAGGATAAATATAACATCACATTAAATAACAACAATCCAAGAAAAACATTAAGGGCATAGCTGCATGAACATTCACCTACGACAGTTGGTTTCATCATATAGTCACCAAAGGTGTCATATAAGGTAGCAGCAACTTTAGGGTCATAGTTTGATGGGTCACTCATTTTGAAAAGATGATGAGAGAAATTATATAAGCTAAATTAAAAATTTTGTTATTAGGATTGGACTGATGTATAATCCTTAACTTCAGCGTTTAATAATGTAATAAATAAAAAAAAAAATTTCAACTAATAGTAATATTGAAGCCTTTTATTTTATTTTTTCTGCTGCAAAAGGAAATGAAATGGTAATCGTATAAATATATAAGTATACAAGAAAATAATTTTAATACAATTAATATTTGCAGTATTTTGTAATTAGAAACATGGATAATGTCATCATATCCATAAATATATATTTTTACAATTTCCACATGTAATACCTACATATATATATATATATATTATTATACATGTAAAAAAAGGGTATTCTGATAAGTATCACATTACATATATATTTTTTTTAAAATAGTTTTTACTTATTCCATAAAAAACATAAATATATATATATATATAATCTTAAAATAAATTATAATGAAATAATATATATTTTTACCTATATTTCCTAAATGTTTTAATTTGAAAGTCTCATTTATAATTTTAAAATAATTATATGAATTAATTAAAATTATAAAATTGTTAATATTATGATGAAATTTTAAGATTACTATATTATTTCCCAAAAAAAAAATTTTTATAAAAAGAAAATAACAATGTTGAGTAAAATTTTATTATAATTTCAAATATTTATATAAAACATTTCCTTCATATTAAATATTTTTGTATTATTTAAGGACAATTTTTTTTTACATATTTTATTTTTTAGTTTGTTTCTTTATAAAATTTACTCCTAAAATAAATTTTTTTTTTTTTTTTTGTTGAAAATTAAAAAAAGCACAATATATGCATGTATTATTTTTGTTTTCATTTATAATTAAAATTAGTTAAAGATCAATAAAAAAATATATATATTTTATTAGCATAAAATTTTCAACATCTTGGTCGTTTTTGATTATTTCTTTGTTTACTAATTCAAGTATTTCCCTCAATAGTTAGAAAATGTTTGTATTTTTAGTTTTTATTATACTAGAGTAGATATTCACTACTTCATCACTTGTATTTTATATTGTTACTGTATTTTATTTATTTACATTTTTTTTGTAGTTACATATATATCCATATTATATATTTAGCAACTCGCGTTTTTAAATAAATGCACTTACATCTCTATTTTTTTTTTTTTTTAAAATTAGAAGAAAATAAGGGGAATATATTATAACCATGTTATTATTTTATTGGTGCTATATTTATTAAATACAGTGTAAATAAATAATATAATTGTAATTAGGGACTTATAAAATATGCGCATATGTATGCAGACAGAATTAATTATATGTATAAAAAAAAAAAAAAATGTATTATATATGCTATAAAGGATTATTTATTTTTTTTTTTTTTTTTGTTAAAGATTTCCTTTTGGATTATCCGATTTTTTATAGTATTCTTTTTTTAGGTTTATAGAAAAATAACTATTTATTTTTTTAATTTTATCTTTAATTTTTTTTTTTTTTTTTCTTTTGTTAAATTGCTGATTAACATTTGGTAGCAGGGGAAAGAAAAAAAAATAAAGAAATCTTTTGCTGTATTATTTTGCTTTAAGTTTTTTATTTTGCAGGGTTTATAATTTTACTTAAATAAATTTGATGGGGGAGAAATTATGTATTTTTTTTTTTTTTTTTTTTTTTTTCATGTACAAAAAAAGTTATAAAAAATTACTACAGACATTTCAAGGAATAAGAAAATAAATTTATAAAGAAAAAAATCTTTATATTTTTTTAAAACGTAATGATAACGTATAAATTATAACGTTTAAGGTTGTTCCAATTCAATGTGCATTACATAACATATTTACTACTATCATTTACATATTATGTCTATACGGCATAAACATATATATGTATATATATATCAATAAATTCGTTCACGTAATGTCTAAAGATCAAGCACATATATTAGATTTAAGAAAAGAAAAATGTTGTAAAAAAAAAAAAAAAAAAAATATATATTTTTTTGTTAAATTTTTGTCATCCATATTAGACAAAGTGACGTACAGGAATATATATATTTTTTTCATTTTTTACAACCCCCCCCACGTTCAATACAATTTTGCAACTTAAATATAACATGTGGTCCCAGAATCTTGTAGAAACAAATTCCTGAAAAAGGGTAATTTTTTTTTTTTATTCATTTTTAATAAGTATATAAAAATATATACTTTGATAAGATTTTTTAACCTAATAATCTAATTTGTTGTAATTTAGTAAAAAATTTGTTAACTAGTTTTATTAAAAAATAAATGAATAGTATTGTTATTTTTTTTTAATATAACAGACCGTTTAAAATGACATTACGTGACCCTAACGGACGTATATATATATATATATATATATAATATTAATATACCAATATGTAGCACATTTAATTTTAGTATGCAAAATATATATATAGTGCCTTATAATATATCAAAAGGTTCGCATTTTACCTGTAATTCGTACACAGGTTGTTATGTGATAGTTACTTTTACATGTACAGCCAAAACATTAATAGACACAAAAATAAGACTCTAAAGAAAAATAGCGATTCTTTTAATTTTTTTTTTAATTTATTCTGTTTTATGTAAAAAATATTGTGCTTCTTTCTTTCTTTTTTTTTTTGGATAAAATAAATTTCTTTCTGCATACCAACGCTTCTTCAAAATAAAAATGAAAGACTTTTGTTGTATATATTTTTATCTGCTAATTCTTCGATTGTTATAAATACTTATTACATTCTCGCCAATTTTCCAAACATGTAAAAATTTATTAACTTTTATTTTTTTTTCTATATGTAAAGACCATGGGTATATGACATGTTGCACAATTCAGTAGAATAGAGCTTTATCTATTTTGAAAAAAAAAAAAAAAACGATAAAATAAATTTCGACTATATTTATAACTCCTTCTTTTTATATCATTAATGAGACTTTTCCTCAATTCCTGAGGACACTGTTCAATCAATTCTATTTTCATAAAAAGAATTTCAGTAGAAATACAATAGAAAGGTTACATAATAATTAAGACATGTAAATCATTTGAAAGAGGGCACGAATTCTTTGAGTATTTTTTTTTTTTTTTTTGTATTTTTTATTGCTACCTTTTATTATCACATTTTTAATACAATAATGTGTGTCGTTTCTCATTAGAAAGGCATAATAATAAAAGCACAAGAGTGATAGATATCCTTATTATTTTTAGCCTAGCTTATCTTTAAGATTTCATTATTTTTTTGAACCGAATGCTGTAGGCATGCCATTTAAAGAATGCTTTACAACATTACGCTCGTCCCTGCTTTTACTATTTAGTGAAAAATAGAAATTTATATTTTCTTTATTTTTACAACTTGCTGTATTTTTAATAAGCAAATATATATACACAAATATGTGTGTGAACTATTTATTTATTTTTGAAGGGCAAACATTTTTTAAATGGTCCATAATTTACAAATATAAAGAAGAACATAAACAAACATTCATAAACCTTTAAGCATTTTAGATAGCAATGGGGAAAGGTGTAACTAAAAATAAAAAATTATATAAGGAAAAAGAAAAAAGCAAGAAAATAATTCAAATCAGAAATGTAATTGTACTTGTTATTATTTATGCACATGGTCGAATAAACTTTATGTTTTTTAGTAAAGCTGGGTTCTAAGAAAACAGGTATCTGCAATATATATATATATATATATATATATATATATATATAAATGCTAATGTACGTGGTTTAACATATATTTACATATGTATATATATTAGAAGAGGTTTGTACTAACGTTACAAGTAGCTAAATATGCAAATTAGAAGAATTACAGAAATCAAATGCTTTCCATAATTATTTTATTCATATCGTTTTTAAGACGTATTTATTTCCCCCACACACACACACATCAGATTCTTTATTTTTATTTTTTTTTTTCTCAAAATGTGGAATAAAAAAAATACCGGAAGATATTATTCCGTTTTTCCATTTTATGTAAATTTATAACATATTCAAAGAAACTTAATGAGGTAAAAAAATAAAAAATCATAGTGTTGCGTTGTTGTTTAAGTAAAACAAGCATATCCTTTCTGATATAAAATGAAATTTTATGTTAGCTTTAGAACGAATTTTAATTTTCACATCTTTACGTAAGGTACACATTTTATAAAAATAAAAATATATATTTCTTTTAGATTATATTCATATGGGAACATTAGATATGTAACACTCTTACACTTTTAGGAACACGAAGAAGGGAACTCCTCAAATGAGTATTTATAAATATTATAAATTTTTTTTTTTTTTTTTTTAGCACACTTACCCCAATGTCTTCACATTCACAGCATGAGTCACAAGTAGCAATTTTTTCCTTACACATAAATAATTATAGAATAAATGAATTGATTCAAGAAAAACAAAAAACAAAAAGTAGCATAATATAACAACTCAAAATTGCAATATAATAACAGATGAATGGAGAAATATGTAAAACGTAGTAATGTGACATGTTTCTTAAAGATATATCAGTTACAAACTAATATAGCCTTGAATATATTTATTAATTATACTTAAAGAGTAGTTATCAAATACAAATATAAATATTAAATTTAATAATTGTGTTAGAACTGTTTTTAAATGTTAAAATAGTGTGTACTAATAGAAAGGATATAATGGAAGGATGAATGATAAGCTCTGTGCAAAAAGAAATAAAAGAAAAAATAAATAATGTATTAAAAAATAAAAAAAAAAGCAATAATATAATTTAATTTTTTCGAATTTAAATAAAATATACAATTTAATTGTAATGAAAGTAATACGTTTCATAATGATAACAAAATTTGGATTGATGAACTAGATATAAAAATATTGTGTATGACAAATTAAATGACAATAAGAATGTTATAATGCTTTATTAAATAAAGAACAAACAAAAGAATGTAAAAAATATTTATTCTTTTATTTTTTTTTATTTAAGTATTTACTTTTTTTTTCGAAAAATTTAAACCATGATGTTTAAATATGTGTGCAACTGTTTAGATATATATACATGCACGTAAGTAAAAAAAAAAAAAAAAAAAAAAATGTTAGTGTAACAATAGAACAAATTGTTTTTGTTCTATTTTAAATTAGTTCTATATAGAGAACAAGCAAAAAAAAAAAAAAAAAAAAAAAAAAAAACACATTATTACATTCCATTTTATGAGTTCAATTCATTAGAAAAAACAGTGATTTTTTTTTTTTTTTTTTCTTTTAATTAATTATTTTTTAATAATTAAATGAAAATTTCTCAGTGCTAATTCTAATCTCTGATACACTATGGCACCTACTTTACGAAGTTGAAAGTATGTGAAACAAAGGTGCTTAAGCATTAAGCCCAAGTTTTGTTTCTAAAGAAAAATAGTATTAGAACATATTTACTCTGATCAGTGAGCTTCTATGTTTTGTTTTGTTTTTTTTTTTTTTCTTTGGCTAAAATTTTATATTAATATTTACTCTTTTCCTATGAAGAAAAAGCAATTTTTACAAACGGAAAGATCAAATGACTATTTTTTTTTTTTTTTTTTTTTTTTTTTTGATTACACAAATGAATGATTTTATGCATACAAATTTTCTTAAAATTTCCTTATGGTGTTCTTTTACCTAAAAGAACCTTTGTATTATTATTGACTTAGCAGATATATTGAAGAATTTAATAAGAGAATTTTTTTTTTTTTTTTTTTTTCTTCTTTTCTAGATCTACTCAAAATTATTGAGTTGTAAGTTATGATAATTGTTTAAAGTTTTTATGAGAATTTTTTTTTTTTAAGTTATTACTATTTATTTGTGAACATTTAACCCTGAATCTTTTATCATGCGAATATAGAAAGAAAGATAAAAAAAAATATAAAAGATTTCTCCATGTTATATATGTGTTGAACGTGTGAATATTACGAGATAATTTATTTCAGCTTTAAACAGGTTATCATAGATTGAATTAATTACACAAAATTTTATTTTTTTTCTCGCCAAACAAGTGTGCATCTACATGTAATCACATACACATTTGTAGTTATATCCTTCTGGTGTATTTACTTCATTTTCCTTTTTTTTGAATTCGAATATATATTTTCCAGAGGGGTTAGGCATTGCAGAGATAATTATTAGAAAGATAAAATTGTTATAATTTTTAAACTCTTTAAAAAGTGCATATATATGTGTATATGAAAAACTAAAAGCAAATGCTTGAAATAGGGGTACTATATAATGTACTGAATAATTCCATAAAGGAAAAAAAAAAAAAAGAGGAAAAAAAAAGGGATTTCTTTAAAATTGCATAACGATGCTCCAGATATCTACAATTTGGAGATTGTCAAAAAACACGAGATGGATAACGTGTTGTGGAATCATTCTGTTTCTTACAGGTAGAATAACATAAATGGAAGAAGTAGTAGTTATTTATGAAGATGAATAGTTTGATTCCCTTACGAATTAACATCTTAATGACATTCTATTTTTAAATTACGTAAAACCACTATTTCTCAGTATATTTCAATCTCCATTTCAATTGGCCTTTTTACACACACAAATAAACCTTGTAGGTACAAGTCTGGAAAATGTGATAAGTAAATCAAACAAATATAAAAAGGAAAAAGCTATTTATCCTATTAATTCTAATTGGTGGGAAAAAAATGAGTTAAAAAACAGAAACAGGAAAAATAAAAATTTGAAAAAGCATAACTTGTTACCTGAAGAGAAGGTTGACAAAAAAGATGGAACAGTTGATGTTAAGGATAGTGCAGAATCATGGATATTTAAAAACAAATCTCTTGTAGATTCAAGAGAAAAGATCATTTCAGGGAATCCATCATATCCGGCTTATATTAAAAAAAGCAATACACATGGATTTGATATTCATTCTGGTTTTAATGAGAGGATAATAGGGAACGGATTTAATGGAAGTAAAAATTCTTTTATACAAAATGTGGACAATGGCAATATTGAAAACGATTTTCTTGATCATTTCGAATTAATAGGTACAGATGGAGAAATAATATTTTCATTCGAACCATACTATGTAGACATTTATTCTTGCAGTGAAATTCTTCATTTTATAAATAATAAGAACATTACTAATTTTGGAGAGAATTATGACCATAATAACTCTTATGATAAGAATGCATTAACAAAGGATCTAAGGATTCAAAATTTGTATAATCAAGTGAAATTACCAATTACACATTGTATTTCTGAAAAAGTTAAGATTCTAAACAAAATACATAATTTAGAATTACCCAACAGGAAAGACCATGAAAATGTTTCGGGTGCAGAAAATTCTATATCATATTACTTATTGGTAAGTGAGTATACGGAATGCTTAAAAAAACATAGTGTGGATATTAACAGGGAAATACTAAAGGTTAAGAAAAGCATAGAAGATGAATATGGAAAAAAGTACTGTCCTAATGAGTGCAATTCGAGTGTTTATTATGAAAACATACATTTGTTTTTAATGTTCTTAAATAATAATGCAGATGTATTGTATAATTCTATTATTAGTGATGCTACAGAATTTTTAAATTCTAGCACAGGTGCTATTACAATTATAGAAAAAATAATAGGATTCAATTCTGTTATCAACTCAATAAAAATAATACAATATGAGTTTAATAACATTATAAAAAATTTCAATTATCACATAAAAAATATAAAGAATTCTGTAGAAAAAATAAAAGCATGTGATAAAACGGAAAATTCTACAATTTTTAATAAAGAGACTTTAGTAGAAAGAAGTTTTGATTTAGCTAAAAATATGTCTATCTACACATTTAATAATGAAATGTTTAACAGGATTAAATCATTATACGATTTAAAAAAAAGTAAATTTATGGAATTATTTGTTCTTTTAAAAGAGATTTTAGAGGATAAAATTAATTCATTTGCTGAATCAGTTGCATTCCAGAATAAGTATGATTCGATAGCTAATGACATAGAATTTACATTAGCTTTTACAAAAGATTTACATAGTAAAAACTCCAAAAATATAAAAATGTATGAAGGGAATCAAGGTTTAGAAGCTATAATAGTTAGAAATAAATTTAAAGAAAAATTATTAACATTAGACAGATATATAGAAAAAATCGAGGACTCATATAACATCATTAAATCGAAATATGTAATTATTATGTCAGCAAAATCACTGATAGGAGAACTTAAAAGTGAATTTAAATCTTCATTATTTGAGGAAGGTAAATTCAATGATTTAACAAGAATAATGGAAACAATAATTAACAAAATTAATGAAATAAATGAAGGTGTTGATATTATACATAAGAATTACTACAATTTTAAACTTATAGAAGTGCAAATAGAAAATATTAGCACATCTGTTAATGGTTACATAAACGAAATAAATGTATTAAAATCTAAAGGTTCAACTAATGGACATATTAGAGAAGAAATTGTACATAAAATGCTATATATAAGTGAAAATATAAATAATTTAAAAAAAATTACAGCGCTGGAAGAAAAGGCGGATGAAAATATTGCACGTATTGATGAATTAATTATGAAAACTTCACTAGATATTAATGAAATTATAAATAAAAAAAGTGGTGCTTACAATAACATAAAAATGATTATTAAACATTTATACAGAGGTGATTTAAAAAAATTTTTGGATGAAATGTCATTGAAGATTGATAAATATAGAAATAATATTAGTCAAGGAAGTTCTACAGATGAATTGGATAATGTCCTAAATGATATAAAAGATGATTATGAGAAAATGAAATCTGTTAAATGTGATAGTATATCCGAATCACTACAAAACATAACAAATGATCTGAATATTATTTTAGATGCTAAAGAGGAAATTATAAAAATGCAAATTGGTGATATGAACGAAAAATTAAAAAATTCTTTACAACAATTTAAAAGTGCTTATGACAAATTAAAAGTTAGCATAATAGAATATAAGAATGAAAAGGGGAAAATTGAAGAACATAAAACTACTATAATGAATAAAGAAAAGACATTTTTTGATAAATCTTATGATAAAGATGATGATATGTTAGAGGGAAAGGATGCTTATGAAAATTTTGTAAAATATAAGGATAATTTTGTGAAGAGGAGAAGTAAATTATTCGAAGAATTTCATATAGCAAAAGAAGCTTTGAAAAAATCCAAAGTTTATTTATTATCATATGTCGTTATACCCGAAAAGTATAACATAATCAATGATGCGAAAAATAAAGACCTTCATGATTTAACAAAAGAAATTAATAACAAAGACATCGATAAGAAGATACAAGAATATGAAGAAGAATTTAGCAACAATAACAAATTATGTGATAATATAATAAAAGAAATTGAAACATCAAATAAAAATTATAATAATCTGAAACTTATAAACAGATCCATTAAGGAATGCTCAATGGACAATGAACTAATCGATCAATTGATTAAGAAAAAGAATGCATTAAGGGAAGGTATACTATCCGAATTAAAAGAATTAGATGCTGTTATTGATATGGAGCAGAATATGAAAGAAAAATTAAAAGTAAAATTAAACGGTGCTAATAATAATGTTGATGATAAGCTTAAAAATGACGTTTTAACTGAATTAAAAACAAAAATCAACAATATATTAGATTTCTATAAAAATTCCAAGGAAAAATATAAGGAGTTAAGCGAAACAGACTTAATCAAAATAAAGAATAATGATGAATGGATGAGCGCTAAGAAATTGTTATCTGATTTAAATATCGAATATGAAGTATTAAAAAAACAAGTGGATGATTTAATAAATAACACAAATAGTAATGTTATAAAATGGATTGATAATAAAATACAGGAAAAAAACAAAGAAATAGATGAAAAGGTGGTGAAACATGTAAATTCTTTTGATGATATAATTGCAAAATCTAAATTGTATACTTTTATTACACATATTGATCATTACAAAAATGAGGATAATAAAGAAAAAGCAAAAACATTTAATACGGAATTAGAAGGGTTTGTTCAAAAAATTAACACACAAAAGGAAGAATTGAAGAAAATTAAAGAAAAATCTACTCAATATCTTGCACAAGCGAATATAAAGAAAAGTGAAAATACAGAACTCAAGGATAAAAAAAAGGCCATAAAAGACATTTATGAACAAATTAGCAAAGTATATGAGGAATTGAACAGCACACTGGGAAAAATAGTCACATTACAAGATTTAGAGAAGATAGAATTAAAAGTTGAAAAGAACGAAATTGATGACCTATACAAACAGATAACCGATGAAGAGAAAAAGTCTGAAGAATATATGAAAGAAATTGAATCCTGTAAAAAAGTTATAGATGAAAAAAAAAGTGAAGAATCGAATGAGAAACTTTTGAATACAGATTTTTTTAAGTTCTCTGAATTTTATAATAAAGCATCAAGTAGTCATAGTACAATTACAACTCATTTGAACGAACTTAAAAGTGTAATTCAGAAGTATAATGAGAATGAAAAAATTAGTGAAGTAAGAGGCATTAAAAAAAAAACAGTTGATTGTTTGAGACTCATTTTAACGAATAATAGCACTTTGCATGGAGCGTTAGAAGATATTCAGAATGTGAAGGACGTGTTATTAGAAGTGAACTTTACAGATATTATAAATATTACAGAAAATGATTACAAAGAAGTTGAAAGATACTCCAATTTGATGAAAACTGAACATGAAAAATCAGAGGCTCTAATTAAAGAATTAGACGCAAAATATACTAATGTAACAAATAAAAAAAATGAAATAAATAAAAACTTATCTAATCAACATATCGATGAATTTATGAAGGAAATAATGCAATACAGAGATGAAGTAGTAAAAAAAAAAAAAGAAATGGATACATTTTTAAAAAATTCCAGTGAGTATATGGAGAAAGCTTTAGTACATTATCATAATGCATATAGAAGAAAAAATAAAATACTAATTTTGAGAGAAAAAGGGGGATCTAATTTTCAAGATGTTGATATTGATAAAATAAATAATAGTGTAAACGAGAGTAAGAAATTATCAGATGATGTTGTGGCTAAGGAAGGACATATGAAAGAGCACGGCAATCGTTACATACAACATGAACAAAATATAATTACTCTTTTAAAGGAAGCTTCTGTTATGCAAATAAAAATACAGCACGAAAAGGAAAAAGATAAAGTAACCTCTATAATGAAAGAAATCAATGAATTGCAATCATATATCGAGAGAAAAGTGAATGAATCAGAGTATAAATTAGAAGAGTGTAAGAAACAATCGGTGATTAGCGCAGGAGCAGATATATTGGATAATGATATGTCGAAGGATGCATACATAAGTGTGAAGTTTAATTTAGAACAAATCGAATATTATTTATTACATTTAAAGGATATAAAAGAAAGCGCAAAAAACATTTTATCAAATTCTACTAAATTAAATGATTCTATACAAGGAGGATTGTCTACAATAGAAGGAAATGATTCTTTGGATATATTGAAAACGGAGGAATCTCCTTTTATGGAAAATTTAAAAAAGATTGAAAATGAGAAAAAACTAATGGACGATGAAAAAACTAATGTAGATATGGTACACGAAAGAGTTATTAAAATAGAAAACGAGTTAGAAAAATCAAAGAAAAGATACGAAGAAGGTATTTTGAAAAAAATTAAGGAGAGAGCAGATAATAAGAAAAAAATGATCGAATCAACTATTGAATCCTTAAAACTTATAGAGCCACATTTTACTGAGATGTATAATGAACTATACTTGAAAGAATATAACATTAAGGAAAAATTTTTGGGTTATCAAAATGAAATGCAAAAATTATATGATGAATTTAATGAGTCGTATAAAAAAATTGAAACAAATGCAACAACGGTTGCACAAGACAGTGTAAAGTATGATAATGCAAAGAAACTAAGGGAAGAAGCCCAAGCAGCAGAAATGATTACTAACAGTAAAGAAGAAAATGCCAAGATGAATTTAAATAAATGGAAACAGCATGAATTTATGAATTTTATACTTCAGACGAATGAATATTTAGATAAAATTATGAAGGCATGCGAAGAAGATAATACAAAAATGAGTCAAGAGAATGCACAAATAGAAAAAATTATAAAAAAAATTCGAAAATTAAAAAATGAAAAGAGTGCAATCAAGAGTTTGCAAGAAGTAAAAATGAAAAATAACGAAATAAAAATTGATACAGAGAAGTGTAACAAAAATAAATCCCATAATACTTTTGGAAAAATGATTAAATCATCGAATTTTATGGGTATTAAAATATTCACAAACTTAGGATTTGAGTTAACCCCTGAAATGAATATAGAAACCATTTCACAAACAAATTCAGAATTAAAATATGAATCTGAGGTGGAAATAAAACCAGACAATGATGTCAAGTTAGATTATTACAAGAATTTACAAGTTGCCTATGGATATATACAGAAAATATTCAAATATTCTGAGCACACAGCCAGAAAACAAGAAGAAATTGATGGATGGATAAAAGAAGGAAATAATATATATCATGATATTAAAACATCGAATGAATTAGAAACTATACTGAAATATACAAAATATAAGGGAAATGTTACATTAAATAATATTAATGATGTCTTGAGCAAATCTACTCAATTAAGAGGACTTAAATGCCATATTGAGAACTATAACAATATTTTAGAAAATTCAGAAATTACAAAATTTAAGCAATTAAGCGATGATTATAATAAGGAGAAGGATGATTACTTAATCAAATTGAAAATGGATGAAATAGATAAGGAATTCAAAAGTATCATGATAAATGTAGAAAGTTTAGAAAAAGAGTTTGAAAAAGTTCGAGAACAAGAATCACACAGCGAAATTATTAACGATGAGAATTCTCAAATTGTTGAGATTCATAAAAAAATAGATAATTTAAATAGTAGAGTTATACCAATTGTTAATAGTCTTAATAAATTGCTAATAAAAGGAAAATCATGTGAGATGTCATTTTATGCTTCCATAACTGGTAATATAAATGCTGAAATTTCTAGTGACGCAAGAGTTATGAATAACTTAAAGGAAAATTCCGAAAAGGATATAGAATACATAAAGAAAAAGTTTAATATCATTAATGATGATATTCGTGCATTAAATAAAAATTTTCAATCCAGTAGATTAAATAATTACCAGTTATCAAATTTGGAAGAAGCAATTAAGCATTCTAATGATTTAAATGCAAAAGAAAAAGAGGCAACTGAAATAATTAATGATATGAAAAAAGAATTCATAGATGTGAGTAGAGAGGTAGAAATGAATTCTTTAAATGATAGTATAAAAAAGATCATAGAACAATTCGTAAAAGTGAAAGATAAAATAAAACAAGTTAAGGATATTTATAAAAATATCAATATAGTAAAATTGAGAGATATGGATGATAATTTAGATAAATATCTAGAAGTAGCAAAGTTTTTTAGAAACATATTAGACACTCAAAATAACAAATTTTCGCAGAATCATGAGGTACTAAAGGATGTCGAAAAGAATATAACAGAAAATGTAGAGGAACTAAAATCTATTATTAATGTGTACACATTACAATCTATTGAAAAGTTCAACAGGTTAAATAAGAGCATTGAGGTTAATATGCAAAAGTTTCATGAAATAGAAGAAGTTAGTAATAATGATGAAAAACAAGTGAAAGCATGTATAGAAAATATTTCCCATATTATAAACAGAGGTAACAATTTGTTTACTGATTTAAATGATTATGATGTTACAAGCAATAGTGTATTGAAAGAAGATAAGGAAATAACAAATACTAGAAAGGATTATATTGCAAAAATTAAAGAAAAAGTAAATAATATGATAAAAGAACTTCAAAATCTTTTAGATGAAAATATTGAGAAAAATAAGTCACGTGAACAGATTATTGAATATTTAAGCAGATCTATAAGAGAATTGTGGAAAAGTGTAAATGATGTAAAAATAATTTATTCACAAAAATTTCCAGAAAATGATGATTATTTTCAATTAAACAATTATCTAAACGATATAAAAGATATTATGAATGAAATAGTTGTAGATGGAAGTATAGAAGAATATATAAATAAAGTTTCTCAAAATATTCAAGAACAAATAGACCATGTACAAAAATATCCTAATATTGAATATATAATGAAAACAAAGGAAAATATGTTATCCTACAATGAAGTCTCAAATAATATATTACAATCATTGAATTCTGCCCTGGATAAAATCGCATTAAAAAAACATGACATGGATAATATATTCAGTGTAATATCTGTAAATATGAAAAATAGTCTATATATGAATACGAAAAAATATATTAATGAGGCAGATGATATATTTAACAAATTAAAAATGGATAAACATAAGTTGGAAGCTTTTATAAATAATATTAGGCAGAAAATAATACAACTAGAGGAGGAGAAAGGCAAGCTCAAAGCTAACCGTGTAAGTGATGATTTAAATGGAAATACTAAGAATGCCATTAGTGATGAAGATGATGAACTATCAAATGAGTTTATAGCAGATTCAGGGGTTAATAGAAATCAAGATGAACAAAATAGTGTAACTACTGATTCAGAAGAAGGTTTTAACGATTCTTTCCATACTATGCAAGGATTAAATAAATATAATAAGAATATTGATAAAAGTTCATACAATTCTCAGGAAGGAGATTCTGATAGTGGAAGTAGTAATTCAAGAGGAAAAAATTCAGGTAAAAGAAATTTCTATGCTGGAGGATTTATGCTTGTATTTATTATTTGTTCAGTTGCTGGATTTACAATCACTAATTATAAACAATATGAAATAGAAGAAGCCGATTTGGAACCAAATGATTATCTCGAAAATGACATAGATATTAATGAACGAGAAAAGGAGGAGTTTATTGAATTCACTATTAATGAAAGTGAAGAATATGACTAAATGAAGTGTGTAAAAAAAAAAAAAATAATAGATATGATGTGTCTATGTTTGTAATTTTTTCGTTTGTACATGTTGGGATGCTTCTTTATATTTACATATACAAAAGAATTCTCACTTTTTAACGAATCATATGAAAAAAAAAAAAAAAAAAAAAAAAAAAAATGACTAAATAATGAAATGAAGACACATTGATACAGAGCTAATGTAGTTATACATGGGGGGAGGGAAAAAAAAAGAGAACAATTCATGTGCCTCCTTTTCATATCCATATTATATGTACCTGTCAGAATATTATTATTGAAATGGATTGAAGTGATTAAAAAGTACGCAGCATGTAGTATTCAGGTGTGATGGCGAAAAATAATTGTTGCTTCATTTTGTATTGAGGGGAAATGCTGTGTAAGCAATTTAGACACACGTGCGGACACAGCTATGGATTTTTTTTTCAAATTACTTAAAGGTTTAATTCATTCATAGTATATTTCTTTAATGTATTTTATTGTGATAACATTATGACGCAAGTTGTTGTACTTTGTAATGATTGTATTTTTTTGTTATAATTTTACTAATTTTTTTTTTAGCATTTTACAGCATAAAATTTTATGCAATCCTGACTCCCCATTTGTTACCATTTTTTTTTGGTTTTTTTTATATATAATACTTAACTAATTAAACTCATGATATATTTCAAAAGACTAAAATTGATAAAAAAAAATTAAAAAAAAAGCTAAAAGCGTATACGTAATATATGTTTAAATATTTTTAACAAATTATGTATATTTAAAATAATTCGTTTTTGTTTTAAACGAAGTACAAAAAGTTAGTGATGCGTATTTGCATGCGTAACAATAAAAATTGCGTAAAGTTCATGTTTAGCATATTTTCAATTATAGAGGCGTTATACTGTTAAATTGGTACATTTTTCATTTAAATTTTATAGTTTGAAAGGGTGTCATACTTTATACATGCTAAAACTGTAGCATTCATCTAGTTGGTTTTTCTATGAGGACTTGAAGGTTATACATTTTAATTTTTCTCTGCATTGATTATATGAACCAAAAAAAAAAAAAAAAGAAAAGGGATAAATTTGTAATTTCATATATGTTTAGAAAAGAATAGATTAAACAAACTGAATTAAAAATATACTATGAACAATATGATGTGTATTTTTTTTAGTGTGTTCTTTTCAAACACTTTCCATCAATTTTTTAGATCATTAATTCAGAACAACATTTTGAAATATATTCCCTTTATTGTTTTTTCTGTCTTTCAATGATTTTAAAAATTACGTGAAATTTGAGAACTTTTTTTTTTTATTTTTTTATTTGATAGTGTAAAATGCCATGAACCGACAAAAAAAAAAAAAAATAAAAATATTTGTAACGTGTTCTGTATTAAAGAATTAATAAATAAATTTTATTTCATTTTGTTTTTCCTTATTTTGTGTTATTTTTAAATGAATGTGTGCTACCTGGATTTTTTCCAATAGCAGAATTAAATAGATGATATAAAAAAACGTGAAAAAACTGATATCGTTTATTGCAAACCGCATGCAATACTTCCCCATGTGGGGATTAATGTAAAATTAAATATAGAACTAGAATAGATAATATACAATTATTATTTTAAAAATTAATACTATAAAAATTCAAATAGATATGTTTACTGACAATATATACTTAAGTTATGTGTTCGAAAAAACAGAGAAAAATATTTTTTTTCTTCTTTAATAATTTTACAAAACCATATCTTTTCCACATTAAAAATATGCTCTTTGAACAAATAATAAAAAAAAAAAAAAACTGGATAAAAGAAATATGTATATCTTAATTTATGTATAATACATACTAAAATACATACACACAAAAAAAAAAAAAAAAAAAAAAACATTTAAAAATAATTCCCTTTAATGTTTTTTTAGAATTGTAAGAGTTACAACTTTAAACATTAAAGCTTTTACAATTTAAAAATTTCTTAGGTTTTAACAGAGATGTTTATATTCTCCCATTTCAAACAAATTTATTTTGATTTTTTGCACGCCACCCATGTGCTTATGAGTAAAATCAATAAATTTCAATGTGTGGAAATACAGAAACTGCCAGTATTTTATTGCTCTTCCAACTTGTGCATGCTTCTTCTGTTAATGTATTAGAAGTCTTTTTAAGGAATTAATTCGGTAAGAATATTGTAAAATTGACACAATAATATAACAACATATTCATATAAATAATTTGTGCGTGTAGGGCCATTTACATTTATCCGTGTATATTAGGTCCTCTTTGATAAAAGTACATTTCGTCTTTCTAAAACCCATGCATTCCACTGTTTCTTGCTTATCCAGGTGTTTATAAAATTTCCCACCCATTCGTTAAATATCAAGCGTTTTTCATCTTTCCATTCTTTCCATTTAATGTGTTTATTTTTTAAAGTTAATTCATTTTTTGATGCTACCCAATTGTCCCATTGTTCCCTTTCTTTTTCGATCCTAGTTTTCCAAATTAAATATTTTTTTCTTTTTTTTGTATTTAACCATTTGGTCAAATTGACATTATCCCAATCTTCCCACATTTCGTATTCATCACTTTTCCATTCACTCATTTCCCAATTAAAATTATTTAAGGATTTCCATTGGGTCCAATCATAGTTAAGCCATTCATTTAATTTGCATTCATTATCATTTATCCATTTTACCCAATCCTCTTCCATTAGCTTTTTTCCATTTGTTCTTATCCACGTTTTCCAGTCAGTTTCATCCCACATGTAACATTTTTTGTAAAGGTCAGTATTATATTCTATATCCAAATTATGGTTGTAATTCATCCATTTAGTTTGCATATCAGTTATCCATTTTTCAAATTCTCCATCCTTTTGTTTCATCCATTCACTTGCTTTATTATCCAAGGACATATTGAAAAAATGCCATTGTTCTTCCAACTGTCGCATCCATTTATTCCATTCATTAACTTTCCATTCTTCTGTAATTTCGTCATTTTTTGATTCATTACTGTTTACACCTTTTTCATTGTCCTCGTTATCTTTATATTCTGATTTTAATTTATTAAAATCGACGATCTTTTCCTTTTTGTTTTGATTTTTATCTTCTTGCAATTCTTTCACAATACTCATTATTTTTTCATTTATTTTGTCCATCGTTTGTCCAACTGTTTCGAGAAAATCTTGTCCAGTTTTTTCAAGTTTCGGAAGTATGATGGATTCCTGTTTCGGAAGTATTGTTGATTCCTGTTTCGGCAGTATTGTTGATTCCTGTTTTGGAAGCACCTTTTGATTTCTCTTTGGTTCCATAGACATCCCTTGTTTTACTGTTCCGGTTGTTTCACGTTTTGCAACTTTTGCTGTTGGACGTTTTGTGACTTTGGCTGTTGTACCTTTTTTACCCCCGGCAGTTACACGTTTTGATGTTTTCCTTGTTTCAACCTTTTCTACTACTACTGCATCTGTATCACGTTTTAGTTTATCATCAACTTGTGGCATTGAATATATTTTTGCATCATGTTCGACTTTCATATGTGTGCTATGTTTGCTTTCTTGATTTAGATCATTACTATTTTGATCTTTTTTCTCTTTTATATCTTCACTTATGCTATTATCATTTATTAGGAGTGGTACATCTCCTTTAGTACCATTCATATGTTTATCATTACATTCTTCTTTGATCATACTATTTGCATTTTCTTTTATATCACAACCTTTTGACTCATTTTCATTTATATTTTGCTCCACTTCTTTAGGAAGATTGTTATTTAATTCTTTGTCTTTAATATTATTATTGACCTCTGCTATTAAACCACGGTCTACCTCTGCTGCAGCAGTATCAGCTTCTCTTTTATCATCATCTTCCTCTTCATCATCGTCGTCTTCGTTGTCATCGTCCTCTTCTTCATCCTCTTCATCATCATCATCGTCATCATCCTCACTATCATCAACTTCATCAGCTTCATCAATTTCATCGACTTCATTTATTAAATTACCCTTTTTTCCATTTTCATGAATACAACGTGCATCTTCGTTGGAATTTTTTAACATTTTAATAGCTACTCCTAGAATTATACTAAGATATCGCAATGAATAGGTCCTACATTTTTCCAGATAAGTTCTTATCGTGTCCATAAATTCTTTCCTTGCTTCTTTTGTATTGTTAAAGTCATATTTTATTAGTAATATAATTTCCTTTGCATTCTGAAGAGCAGACTAAAATTTTTAAAATTGAAGGGGAAAAAAGAAAAAAAAAAAAAATGTACTTTTTTAGTAAATTGAAAAAGATAAATTAAATTGCATGGATATGCATGCGTGTATTGTATAGAATAAACATGTACTTATACATATACACATACACTTTTGCTTGCTCCTTTTCACTTACTGGATAATAATGTTTTGCTAAAATCCTAATGCATATAATGCAAAGCGCAATGTATAAACAAGAAACAAAAAAATTTTCGTGTATAGCTGAAAATATATGACTCTTCGTATTTGTCTCTAAAGACGAGACAACGTTGTTTGCATTATAGTTCTGTACCTCCTCAATCTGCTCCATATTTTTGCATATTTTTTTTTAATCTGGAAACTAAGCTGCCTCAATAAAATAGGTTTGTAGCGTATTTAAATATGATCCGTAATTCTCTTTGCATGGTATTCATGTTTCGTATGTGTGACTTTATTTGTACGAAAAAATGCGACTAATGCTACTTGTGTGTCACGGGAAAAATGATAAAAAAGGTGATGAAAAACTAAAAAAAGCATTAATGAAATTATAACTATCGAATGTTTCTGTAACTACTATTTTGCTTTAGTTCATATCATAAGGAGCTATTACTACAAAATGAAACTTGTGAATTGATAATGATGTAAATGAATTAATAAATGCAATTGTTTTTTTTCGAAACTGTTTTAATGAAAGACAAAAAGGAAATATATATATATATATATATATATGTAAAGCTTTGGTTATAAAATATAGTTTTGTGTAACATGTGTTCATTTACGTGGCATTGTACATTTTTAACAATTTCAGCACATGTTTTTAATTAACGTAATTTATTCCCTTACTTGCATTATAATAAAATTTAAAAAACATGTTTATGGTCATAGAAAATGTCAATCCACTTGTAAAAGCTTTGACATTTGCATACATGTGCATACTACATTATATATAAAAATATATGCAACCTAAGTAATTTTATTTATAAGGTCAATAATACATGAAAAATAATTCCTGAATAGTAAAAAATTTTATGTATTCATTTGAACGTGTAATCATATATTATATATACATAGAAAGTATAAGCTTGTTTTTCTTTGTTGATGGATTATTTTCAATCATAAGGTAGTATTTTTTAATTATTTTTTGGAATATCATTCTGTTATTTTATATATAGAACAAGACCCCTTTTAAGAAAAATCGCTGGAAGGAGAATTATACAAAATAAATATAACATATATATATATATATTATTTAAAAGTTTATTAAAAATAAATATAAAAGAAAAAAATATAAATAATTAAAGAAAATATAAAAATTGAAAAAAATATAAAAAAAACAGATCTATCGGCTTGTACATATATATGGCTACGCACTTTTTATTTAATATGAACATTGTTAAAAATGCAGAGGGGGGGGGGGTAGGCCTAGAGTTTTTCTATATAAATATTTTAAAAATATTTAAAAGATAATTTAAATGCTGTTCTTAAATAATTCATATAGTTTATCATTTATTTCCATAGTTATATATACATGTTAGTTTTTTTTTTTCCCTCTTTATATTTGTTAGATTTAAATTTTTTTTTTTGCTCTAAAAATATTTAAAAGGGGATTTAATTTTAGAATATGCAAATCATGAACCTGGATATGAAAGTTAATCAACCTCAAAATAAAATAAAAATAGCAATTAGGCAATTTTTTCCTGCCTTCATTATTTCAGTACTTCATGCCCTCATTACTTCACTATTTCCTGTCCGCATTACTTTACTATTTCCTGCTCTCATTACTTCAGTACTTCCTTTTTTTTTTTTTTCACTATTACCATGGTACATTTGTGACTATTTGAAAAGGGAAAGAAAAGAAAAGACATTTTATAAATAGAGAAAATTTTTTTGTATTGTTATGCATCATATATTATTTTTGGTATTATATATTATTATAAGAAATTTTAATTTTTCTGCCATTTGTGAAAGTAGTAATACAAAATGGATGGTACATTTGATAAACGCATTTTTTTTATGTAAGAAAATAAATGTATTTTATATAAAGCAGAAATGCCATTAAGCGAGAAACGAATTTATGGATATTATTTAATATCATACCAAAAATTAAATGAAAGGGAGAACATTAATACTATATAAATGGATGATATTTTAAAAAGAGTACAAAATATTTTAGGTATTAAATGGAAATAAATGAGAGGAAAATACCTCTTTGAAATAGCATAATAATATATGTCGTTTAAAAATAATTGGGAAAAAATAATAATATTCATAACAAACTGTTAATGAGTGGTTAAAATTAAATGCAATTATTATTAGACAAAATAATATATGGGCGGATAAAATGTAATATGGATATATTTTATTAAGTGACTTTTATTTCACACAATTGCAGATTATTCGTCCAATTTATTAGGACTTTTAAATGGAATTTAATTTTTTATGCGGGGTTACTAATAAATGAATGTGTACTCTTGTTATATTATTTTGTTTTGTATTACTTTATTTTGTATCGCTTTGTTTTGTATCACTTTGTTTTGTATCGCTTTGTTTTGTGTCACTTTGTTTTGTTTTTTTTTATTTTATTTTGTTTACTTTCTTTTATTCTACTTTTTTTTTTTTTTTTTCCTTCCTTTGCTATTTCGAATAATTGCAATCCAAACAATCGCGGTGATGCTTTGAAAAGTTTCAAGCATAAGAAAAAAAAATATATATTTATCCTCATACGCACTCAATTCTTAAAACAACGTGTTCGTAAATGTAACGTTATTTACATAGTTAGAATCTAAGTGTCTAAAGACAAAAACGTTAAGGAGAAAGTTGGTTTTTGTTATACATTTATTACATGAAAGGATAGATAAAAAAAAAAAAAAATAATTATTAACTATTAATTATTAAAAAAAATACAATTTTTCCATACGAAAAAAAGTTTATGTAAAACAAATTCAACCTTAAAATTGCTATATGCACAATAACATAAAATTGTAAGGGAAAACTATTGCATTGTTATGTATAAATGCAAGGTTCTATTTTATGCGAAGAATATATTTTAAGCTTATATTTTTGCATACACATTTAATGTTTTGAGTGGTAATTGATGGCTCCCCTCCTCCTTTTCAACTATAAATGGTGTTCGTAACGAGGCAAAAAAAGTATGTAGTATTGTGTAAAAGAAGGGACGATAATATGTGTATTAAATTGAATCTTTTAATGCGTTCCATCTTGTTGAACAATTTTCGTTAATGTTTACGTGTATATAGTTCTTTTAACTATTAATTGAATTTCTCTTCGATAATAAAATAAGTAATACATAGAAAAGTTTTTATACATTTCATATGATTATTTTACTCGGAAGAACTATACTTAAGAAAAAGCATTTTGTTTCTGCTCATTCCACAAATTCCATTTTTTTCCTGCTATCCACGAGTTCATAAATGATTCCATCCATTCATTAAACAAAGTTTTCCTTTCATCTTTCCATTTCCTCCATATTTGGCACTCACTATTTTCATATAAATTATATTTAGTAGAGACCCATCTTATCCACTGTTCTTTTTCTTTGGACACTCTTAAATTCCACTTATTCCAATTATTTTTTGCCCTTTCAGATAATGGTTCAGGCAAGGTTAAATCTTTAAATTTTTGCCAATATTCAAATTCGTTACGCCTCCAATCTTTTAATAACCATGTACATATTTTTTCGTTTTTCCATTGCTCCCATTGTTTTACAACCCAAGTAACATAATGACAACGACTTTCACGCATCCATTTATTGTAATCCATTTCCATAAATGTTTTTCCATCGTTTTTCATCCAACTTTCCCATTTATTTTCATCCCAGTTTTGTGAATTTTTTAAAACATAGGATTTAAATTTTGTATCCATATTTTCGTTATGATGTGTCCACTTGCTTTCCATAAAATTTAGCCATTCTTTCCATTTTAACGATTTTTCATCAAGCCATTTTTGTTTATCATTTTCCAGATCTGAATTGAAAATTTTCCAGTCTACTTGCAATTTCATAAACCACTTTTTCCAAGCGCGATTTTTCAATTCTTCAGACTTTTCAATCAACCCTTGTTCAAGTGCTATTTTTTTGAGTGATTCTTGATTTTTCGCGTTTTGTTCTTCTTTATCTTTTTTTTTCTATAAAGTGACATAAGGGTAGTTATTTATAAAGTATATATTTGTAAATGGGTTCAAAAGATATCACATTAATTTTCTGTGTTTGACATATACACGGTTCATAAATTTATATATATTTGTATACTCTTTTATTTATTTACTCATTTGTACATTTATTGCCAATTTTTTGAAATTTTTTTTTTTCTGAAATTTATTCTTTCAGTTATTTTATTATTTTTTTACCTGTGACAAATGCGTTACCAAAAGAAGAATAATTCCCAGGGTTACCATGGCGACAAATATGTGTTGACCAATGGAAAAGTTGTTACTGCCTGATAATATGCTTTCGTCATTTATGTTTTCCAGATTTGTATTCAAAGATGTAGCTGTGCCAAGGCTGTTTATATTATCATTTGGCTCCATGTTGTTTTAAATGTAGTAAAATATATATATATATATCTAATAATAAATAATGTAAAAAAATGTGACAAAATTAAAAGAAATGTTAGAAAATGCTAGAATTTTGAAAAAATTACACTTGACAGATGCTTGTGCAATTAATTGGGTATTATTGGTAAATGCACAGGTTTATAGAATATCCCTGTATTTTTAAATATTCTGTTTGATGTACGAAAATCACACACTAAATTTGAACGAACAAAACAGTTAAAAACTTTTTGCAAACAACATATAATGTTACACAGAATTTTCAGTCATTATGTAATTACATGTACATATGTAGAAAATGGAATCGAAAAATGAAATGAAAAATAAGGGCAACAAACGGTCAATACCAAAAGTTAAATCTTTGAAACGCCTCTTATATTTTTTTTTAATTATTTTCTGAATAAATTAAGTTACGAATTCTATAAGGCATAGAAAATTGTAACTGCTATATTATTTATGTATTTATTCAAACTTAAATGTTTTCCCATAATAATTTATATTATGAGTTTTTTTTTTGGTTAAAGAATTTGGTTTGAAAAATTAAAAATGAGGTGGGTACATATCTCTTTATTATGATTCTGCATGCAAAGCAGTACCATATACTTTAGGGATACACGTGGTGCATACATTTTTTGGCTATATATACGTAAACAATAACATTCCATCTCGCCCCTTTACATATTTTTATTTAGATGCTAGAATATGGTTAATATATTTTCTTTACTTTTTAAGCAGTGTTACACAATAATTTATTTTTATTCACTTGTAGAGGGATAACAAATGAGACATTTTTACTTAATGAGGATTACATCTGTTTCTCCTTAAAATTTGTATTATTTTTAAGCTTGTGTGTTATTTTATACGTAAAAAGTTTATTTTTTTATATCTACATATAAAAATGATTCTCTAATCTATTGAAATGGAAAATAAAAAGAAAAAATATTAAAAGTTGTATTTCCCAATACATGAAAAATAAACCGTAAAAAAAAAAAAAAAAAAAAAAAAAAAAAAAAGTTATGGATAAAACAATATATTAGTTAATCTAAATAAATTAGAACACATTCATATACAGAATAAATAAGTTACTTTGTTATTATTTAATCATATTTTATAACTTTAAACTATTTGGACAGTCATTGTTGTGTTTGATTTAGGATTCTATATTTTTTACTCGTTCTTACAACTTTGTTAAGCTTTTTCCAAGCTGCTCCTTTAATCCCCTTTTTTCTCTTTAATCGTTTTTTAGAATTTCCTTGATTATTTTTTAAAACGAAAAAAAAATTGAAAAACTTAGTACTATTTGAATTATTTTTGCTTAAAGCACACCTAAACTGTTTATTATAATTGCTAGTGTAACACGCTTCAATGAAGGTTAGAATTTTTTTTCATTTTTAGAGTCCATTGTTTTAAAGAAACATATTGTTTCCATTCAACGAAATAGAATAAATATATTTTTTTAATTGTATGAAAATCATTATTTTTATATATGTCTAAATTTGGCGATCTTACACTTTAGATATATTTTTTAGATTTAATTACTTGTTCTGTTCACTATATATAATTTGAAATGCAAAAAAAAAGTTAAAAAACAAAAAACATTTTGAAGTTTATTAAAAGCTTAACCGTTTAAGATTGCATAGAAAAGAGAAAAATGAAAAAAATGATAGAAATTATTGACTTTTTTACCGTGCTGTCTTATTATTAGCTACGCATATAGAACAAAATGTATTGTTTGGTAAAATGTGATCATCCAGAAGGTTAATAATTAAGAAATTTATGTGATTTGAAATATTTGTTTATTATACACTAATTACATAATTTAACAATCGCAGTTTTGAATCATACTTTTTTGTGCATAAAGCTTGAGGGTATATATATATAGTGTGGGTACGAGGGAATATTACTATATCCTGTTTTTAGTAACTATGAACTATATATATATACAATTAGAAGCTGAATTGAACCCAGGAATAAATTCAAATCATTACTAAAAGGATTTAATGTCAATCCTTTTTTTTTTTTTTTTTTTTTTTTTTTTTTATAATTGATATAACTGATGAAAATTTTCCTAAAAAAAAAAAATTAAAATTTTTTTAAAAAAAAAAAAGGTTACAAAAAAAAAAAAAAAAAAAAAAAAAAAAAAAAAAGAGATCATAAGCATATAAATGAACAGGCGTGAACGGAAATGAATAGAAGTAAAATGAGAACGTATTTCAAAATGTACAGTTTCTTAAAATGTTTATACAAAATTAAAAATATATATAAAAACTCAGAAATGCAATAACTTCAATATAACGGAATGCATATATAAAAACATAAAAATTTGTAACTAATATTTTCGTAATTTTGCTGCTGCAATATAGTAAGTAAAAAAAGTATATTTAGTCATCTACGTTGTTCTCGTTTTAATGGTAAGTATAGGGGGTCCAACGATTAGTGACTAATATATATAACCATAATTACTATGAAAAAGCATTTAAAATAATGTTCTTATTATCCTTATATATTTTTTGTACAACAATTTTATGCATTTTCAAATTAATTCATATAATGTTGAGGATGAGGAAGATGATGAGAATGAGGAAGTGGAAGAGGATGAGGAAGAGCATGAGGGTGAAAATGATCATGATCTTCTTCTTTTTTTTTTTTTTTATTATCGGTGGGTTCTGATAATTTTTGATCCTCAGATTCTCTGTACTTTTTAAACAAACGTTTACACTTACTATATTTATACCATACATAAATGATGGATAAGACAAAAATTATAGTTGATAAAACAGTAGCCCATACTATATCGAACAAAGCAAATAAAGCTAAAAGAATAGAACTGGATACAATGGGGGACATGACTGTTAATTTATCTTTAACATCATCTAAAAATCCTCTTTCTTTATTTTCTTCTCCTTCTTGTTCCTCAGCATTATGGGCTTCTATTATAATGTTTAATATTTCTGTTTCATACATTGCATCTGATCTTTTTACAGCTTTAATTATACGTTTTATTAAATATACTAATAAACCTTTTGGCTTTCTTTTTTTTTTTTTCAATAGATTACCTGGTTGAGCTAATTTCTTTAACTTTCGTGAAGATTTACCATGTGACTTATGGCCTTGAGATTTCATCAATTGCTTATTAAATTCTTTGTAGTTATAGGGCATTTCATGAATATTTATTTCATTCTTAAATGGATTAGATTGTTTTTCAAATTTATCAAAATATTCTACTGCGCGACCAGTTGGTTCTTCATTCACACCACGAATATATGAATCGAATTCCTTTCCCATACGTGGATCATAACCTAATGGTTCTTGCATTCTCATTGCATTTCTTTGAGGATTATAAAAATCGGGACCATTAGTAGCAACATTAGCAGCAGCGGCGGCGGCAGCGGCAGCAGCATTTTGAGCAATTCTGCGCTTTTTCTTTGAGGCAAAATATTTATTTCCCTTTTTATGATCAATACTTTGTTTGCTTGGCTTATTAAGTTGCTTTTCATAATCTTCAAACGTGAGTGAATTACCTAATCCCATTTGAAAATTTCCACCAATCATAACGGGACTATACAGTTTTTGTATGTTGTCATCAGGTGCCATTCCCCAGTATCCATTATCCATATTATTATCACCTGGATATTCATTATATTGATCTCTATAATAATCACCTGGATTATTACTCATTTGTTTTGGATTACCCATATCAGGTCTATCATAGGGGGGGGGCCTATGATGCATTTCTTGAGTTCCAGGAGGGCCATAATATTCTCCCTGATATGGTGAAATTTCGGATAATAATCTGGCATTTCCTTTTCCATAAAATTCAATATCTAATGCGCTTGATGCCTAAGATTTTAAATAATTATATAAAATACGTTAAAAAAAAGTGTACGCGTACATATATATATATATATATATATATATATATATGCATGTATTATATTTCTATAGATTGGTAAAATATAGAATTCAAATAAAAAGGATACACAGTTAAAAACGTGTGTTCATTTTTTTATTTTATTCATCATATCTTACGTTATCAGCATAATGGAATGAACATATTAAAACGGAGAAAGTAAAAACTTTGATATAGGAAATCATGCTTGTGTTTTCCTTCATTTTATTTATTTTTCAAAGTCGTCAGTTTTTTTTGTAACAATAATAATAAATACAGTAATAATAATGACAATAATAATTACAATAACAACAATAATAATAAATACTAATACTGTAATAACACGTTGTTAATATGTATAATGGTTAAATATTATTATTAAATTCATAACATACAAATTTTGTATTCTTTCACAATTGGAAATTGTTTTAAAGAAAATGAATTTATTTTTATATTTGAATTAATTACATAATAACTTAAATGTCATTTCTTAAATTACAAAAGAGTTCCCGAATAAAAATTACATTTAATCGTAAAAATTAAAAATATTACTATTATTATTATGCAATATATTATATTTTTCTATTTTTACATAATAAAAATAAGGTTACAAAAATGTAAATTAACTATTGGTGTGATTAATATAATTGAGTCGAACCTTAAATGTAAAAAATAAAAAAAGTACATTATTTAAAGTAATATTTAATTTATTGTAACTAAAATAAAAAATATATTTTCTATAAATTATTTAATTATATATATTTTTTATATGCATAATAAATTGAAAATTATGTAAATGTAAAGGGAAAATTTAAATTAACATACACTAAAAATATAGATAAATAAATGCATAAGGTTTAAATAACGGACCTTTGAGAATATTATTTTACTTTTACTTTAACCACTAGGAAAAAGATTTTTCAAATTATTATAATTAAAGAGCATGTGAAACGATAATTAATTTTTTAGAAATAATTCCATAAAAAAAAATAAAATTTATTTTTTATTATCTTACGAAATATGACATTAAAACTATTAATTTTTTAAATAACGCAAGCTGTGCAATAACTACAAAATACTTTGAAGTATTTTATTTTTATTGCGAAAGCGGATGGAAAAGATTTTCCAAAATATGTAAGCACTGTTAATTTTTATTTTTGTTTTCCTCTACTTTTTTTACATTTTTTAATTTTATTGTACATTTAAAACTATATCATTTTAATTAATAAGATTAAGAAAATATATTTTTCTTGGGGTAGAGGAAGGGTAACATAATAATATATTTTTGCATTATCACGTACAAATTAAAAAAATTGTTATTCGGATAAAAAAAACTTGAATAATAATATATAGGATACATGCAAAAAAGGAAAAATATTAAAAGGATAAAAATGTAAATTATCTAAATTTAATTTTATAAAAATATTTGCGCTAAAAGGGAATAATCTAAAAATAAAAAAAAATATTTTTTTATTTAAAAAAAAAAAAAAAAATGGAAAAATTAAGATATTTGGTGGATAATAACAAAATTTTATATATATTACTGAATAAAAGTAGGATGGATTTAAATATCGTAAAATAATTTAAAATTTTATGATCTTAAATGTTATTCTTAGGTGTAAACATATCGAATGTATTAATAAAATTTTATAATGATATATATTTTTTAAAGAAGTTGTTTTATAGAACCGTAATTTTAGAATTATAGAAAGGCTTAATATTATTGTTATTATTATTTCTATTATTATTATTTACTACCATTATTATAATTATTTGTTTTAGATAGGAACATAGTTGTGATACATAATAGAATGATAAATGAAAAAATTGTCAACACTGTTGTTACGGATGATAGTATTTTTTTATTTTTCCATTTAAAAAATTTCCGCATATTCTTATCAAGGTTTTATATTAATATTTTGTTAGTTCATGTAAATTAAATAAAAATACCGCGATTTGTGAAAAGCAAAAAAAATTGTTCATTAGGATTTAAAAAATTATATAATAAAAAATTAAGAAAAAAAAAAAAAAAGAAGAATTTTGTTAAAACATTTTGAAAAAAAAAAAAATTTTAAATTAGGGAAAGAAATTTAATAATATACCTTTAAAAATTATTATTTATGTTGGAAAGGGAAAAAAAAATTCATTAAAATTTTTTAATATAGGGAACAAGCTATGGAAAGAAAATTGTATAAAAATACACACATAATTAAACGATGTATTTTAACAATTAAAATGACAATGTGGAATGAATATGTTAGAAAGTCTTTACATTTATTTTAAAAAAAGTAACAAAAAATTTTTTTTCTGTAATTTTATTGTAGGATATGTACCAAATATATTCTTTTGTTTATCATATAAGATATGTTATATATTAATTTTTCTTCATTCTCAAACAACAATCACCGAATTTTTTTTTTAAAATACATATGTATATGGAAAATTTTTGCTAAATTCAATGTTCTACAATATATTTTTAAAAAAATATTATAATCATAATTGGGAAATGATTTTTAGAACTTTCTAAGAATAGTGAAAAGGTGTAATTATAATTAAATGGAACATACATTGTTATTCTGACCAACTTTTGATACAAACTGGACAAGCGTAACAATTGTTACTTTTGCAAAGTTGCACTAATATCATTTTTTCATTACACTATTTTGCAGAATCAGTATTAGCCTAACTCATTGATCTAATTATTTTACCTTCACACTAGGTATATCGAATTATTCATCCTTATAGCCTTTGGCATCTTAAATATGAACATTTAACACAAAAACCAAATTAAAATATACTATTCGCATGTATAGTTATATATATAAATATACTGCCGAATGAATATCTCCAATGAAATAGCATTCGCATCGTCAAAGCTCTAATGCTCAGTAAGAAATGTAAACTTAAATAATCCATTTAAAACATTTTGGTGCTATAAATATTAAATGGACTTTTTAAATGATCGTTTAAAATTTATTAAGTTCAATGTATATTATGAATAATTCTTTTTTAATATATGTTAATCGAGATCCAGAGCAGCAAGTGAAACATAATATGACAAGAAATGAATTTCGAATATTTTATACATAGATAAAACATTAATTAATAATTAAAAAACTAAACAAAAGTAAGCAAAACTAAACAAAACAAAAAAAAAAAAAAAAAAAATCTATTTTTGTAACACTATAAAAACGTTACATAAAAGAGTAAAATTTAACACAAACTATATACTTTTATATTTGCATAATTATAGCAAGTTTTGCTATATGGACACAATACAAAAAAAGAGGAATTTTAATTTTATTTATGACCTACTTTATAATAAATTTAAGAATTAAAACTTTTCATAATCGCATTTGATTGTGATTATATTAAATTTACTAAACCTTTTTCCATTATGATTGTGCATCCTTTTCACAGTTTTGTATTCATCCTTTATATGAGAAATTAACTAGAATGTAGCAATACGCATAAGATAAATTAGATTTTTTGTAATTTTCATATTTTTTTATTTGTCCACGTATATATTTGTCTTTCTTTATATCTATTTTGTTCATTTATTCCCCTTTTCTGTCATGTCTCCCTATAATCGACATGAAATGTTTTCTAATTAAATTGAAGGCCGGTGTAATAAACATTATTCCGCTTACTTACATTTTGCTAATTAATTACTTAAAGCAATTTTTGGACAAATTAAATTTGTCTACATTTTTTTATCAAAAACTCCCACTGTTTCTCTTTTATCCAATTTTTAATAAATTTATTTCTCCAGTTATTAAATAAAAAGTAGTGGTCTCCTTTCCATTGTAACCATTTACTATTCTTAATGTGATTAATATATTCTTCTTTATCTTGTATCCAATTTTCCCATTGTTCTGTTTTCCATTTACTTATTTTTGTAGATAGGCTTATAAAAGATTGTATTTTATCACTATATGAGGGATTTCCAGATTCTAATTTTTCCATATAATACTGTTCTTCAAATGTTGAATTAGTCATTAACCATAACATCATTTGTTCTGTTTTCCACTGATCCCATTTATCTTCTATTTTTGTGTCTATATCATATTCAACATCGTTTATCCATCTGTGCCAATCCATTCCCATAAATTTTTTCCAATCAGAATTAATCCATTCTATCCAATCATTTTCATTCCATGAAAATGATTTAAGATAAATAATAGACTTATATAATTTATCCATTACTTGATCATAATTTGACCATTTATTTTGCATTTTTTGAATCCATTCATCCCATTCATTATTTTTTTCTTGTAAAAGATCCTCCGTATCATTTTTCAGAAAGGATGTAAAATTATGCCATTCTTCATTTAAAGTTAACTTCCAATTTTCCCAATCCTCATTTAATTGGTCATGCCACTCATTGTCCCATTCAGGATTATAAGCATTTATAGTATTTACAGGAGCTAGGTTAGTGGGATATTCATTTTCTGCTTCACTGTTAGCCAAGGTCCTTTCATGGTGAGGGGACTAAATAAAAATTTGTAATTTATTTAAAATGCACATATTATTGTAGGTAATATGAATTTAAAATGTTAAACATAATTAGGGAGTTTTTTTTTTTTTTTTTTTTCTTTTGTATGCATTTATTTAGAAGTAATTTTTATCTTACTATAGAAATATTTCTTAAAAGAAAAACAGATGATATAACACATGTAGTGAAATATTTCGAAATTAACATTTTTTTAAATTTGTATATTTGTATTTTATTAGAAGATTAATTTAGTTTCTACTACTAATAAATTGAGAAATTTTTCTTTTTTGATGCTTTGTTTAATTATTGAATTATTTATTTATTCATTTATATGTTTATATATTTTTTTGCTTTTGTGTATTTAAGCACATGTGTATATATATGTACATTTATTCGTTTATTTTTATTTGACTAAAGTGAATTGATATTTTGATTATAATGAGCTGTTATAAAATATAAACGTATAGTTACCACGAAAATAAAAGAAGTGATGATGAAGTTTAAAATCATTAACAATTTATTCTTTTAACTTAGAAATGATTTCAGGAGGACTAAGAACAACAAATACAGGGTAAAAAAGGAAAAACATGAATATATTTTGCTTTTTTTTTTTTTTTACTTTTTTTTATAAATTGTGCTCTAGGAAAAAATTAAATAATAAAACATTTTATAAATTTGTAGGGTTGCACTTCGTACTGACTTTTTTTTTTTTTTTTTTTTTTCTTTTTAGGATTATTAGAAACGTACCTCTACTTGTTACAGATATATTCTACACTTGCTCATTTGAAAATTTATGTACGTAACGTTTTTTATGTACAAAATTATCACTTTTTTTTTAAAGAAATTTATGAATTATTTTATTTAATCTTTTCTTCATTTTTTCGTGATATATAAGACTTTCTTTTTTTTTTTTATATATATTTTTTGCTCTGAATTTCATAAAATTAATGTAAAAACCATGAAAAAATTAAAAGGAACAGAACAAGAACAAAAAAAAAAACAAAAAAAAAATTAAAATAATTTGATGAAAAACAGTTGAATCTAAATTCTTAAACAGATTAAAAGAATGATTTTAATATGTTTTTTTTTTTTTTTGCCGTTTGATATATATGCTTCTCATGTGTGACATTAATAAGAATGCTAATAAAGTTGATTTAACAAATTTGTTAGATAGAAGGACGTGAATTTTTATTCCTTTTATATATGAACTGTTAATTATATATATGCTTTTTTTTTTTTTTTTTTTTTTTACATGAAAAGTATGGCAAACAGAAAACTATTTTTGCTTATATCTTTATTAGCGCATTTAAACTCATCATATGGTAGTTAACACAAATACACTAAAATGTAATAACCAACCAGTATTTTGTTAGAGGGGTTGTATTATATTTCGTTCGGAATAAAAAAAAAATATAGGAAATGGTTTAAAATGATAATAACGAGAACAAAACTTAAGAAAGTTAGGGAATTTTTTTTTTAAATAATCTATTAAAAATGAAAAAATGGACATTTCTTGGTCTTTATTAACTGAGTAAATAAAATAATAAAATTACTGCATCTATAAAATTAGTATAAAATAGACGTAATTTTAAATAATATAAATTATTTAAGCAAAATGGGTCTTGAATGATTATGACATTATATATTTCGAAGGCAGTTACATTTTTGAGCACACATTAATGTATTAACACATTGTATAAAATTTTTTAGACATAATTAATTAAAAGTACACGATAGAAGAGAAGCAAAAATAAGGATATAGAATTATAAGAAAGTTTTTTCTAAAAGAAAGGAAAAGGAGTTTATAAATATATAAAACTGAAACCTCTCTTTTTTATGTGTTATGTGAAGATGAGAGAGATGTAAATGGAGATATTGGTTTTCCTCCTATTATCATTGTTCATTAGTTAATTACATTTAGCTATAATAAAAAGAGAGAAAACATCTTTTTAGGAAATACATTAATATATATTGCCATAATCACACATTAGAGAATTCGTGTTGCTTTATAAAATAGTAGTGATTTTATGCATGTTGTTTCATTTGTCATAATTTATTCTTAGTAACCCAACATACTTATTCTGCTTTATATTATTAAGAAAGTGTATGAAAAAAAAAAAAAATAAGAAAAACTGCATATCAATTATTTTCATTTTATTAAATTTAAAAGGTTGAAATGAAAAAATTTTGAACGCTGTTAAGAACATTTACTGTTAAAGAGGAACGATGTTTTTAGCGCATATTGACAATCTTTCGAATATAAAATAAGTTTAAATGTGATAAGACCTAGATTCTAAGGTTTTTTACTATCAAAAATGCTTAAAAAACATTTCTTGAAATAGAGAGCTAATTGACAGTTAAAATAGTGAAAGATGTAAATTAATAACAATATATTTTCGTCCTTTCCTTGTTATATGTACATTATTTATATTAAATTTTAAATATTTTAATTGTAATGGAGTAAGAAAGCGTATTTTCAATAGTACAATTGTATATTTACTATTTATTTTATGTAGGATAAAATTTAAAATATTTCCTTTATTCTTTGTAATCACAATTTATAATATAATTAAAGGGAGTCTTATAACGTCTGATACTATTTCGTTAGACAGTTATGTTCGTTCTATTTTACGTGCACTTCTACATATAAATTAAGACAAAACACACTTTGTTAAAATCATATACATTATTAATAATTACACATGATGAATATTTTTATATATGCACATAATGAAAATATATAGATATATATGTTATATTGCAAAAATATGTTTTAAGAAACTAAATTAATTTTATGAAAAGCATATGTGTATATGAATATCAACTGTACATATTTATTTAATGCTTAAGGTGTTTACATTTCATTATAATTAATGTAAGATCTTTAGTCAATTCCTAATTTAAAAACTTGTTATTTTATTCATTCTATCATAAACATATTTCTTTTTTTTTTTTTTTTTTTTTCTGCTATAATATTTGTTTTCTTCTTTAAATATATAGAAACTATATATATTATACATTTTTCATCTAACTGTAAAAATATGCATGGATAAAACTTATAATTTTGTTTCACTAACCTATATATTTATCTGTGTTCTTCCAAAAATAATATAATTTTGCATATATTATAATGGAAGATCTTATAATTTTATATAATTTACAATTATATAAAAATATAGAAACTCCTATTGTACTTATAGCAAATGTTATTGAATCTGATAAATATGTTAGGTCTTTTGTGTTACCATTTTTTTCTTTTTACTTTTTAAGTTTTTTTGCGTATTCACTAGATAAATTGTTTACAGCTTTATTGGCACTTTTTTTTATGCTTTTTTTTTGAGAATCGTTTGTTGTATTTTGTAACTCCTTTAAAAAAGAGATAGCAATGTCTTCTAATGCTTCTATGTATTTTAAATCAATTGGGAGTATTGTTTCATCCAACATTTCTTTTGGTTTTCCTACATTTTTCGGCGCTCCATTATTCTTTTCTGTTTTATCAACATCTAATAGTTCTTCAAATTGGTCAGTTCTTTTTTGTTCTTCAGATTTTTCAGCTTCTACAGCTTCTACAGCTTCTTCAGCTTCCTCAGCTTCTACAGCTTCTACTGGTTCTTCACCTTCTACTGGTTCTTCACCTTCTACTACTTCTTCACCTTCTACTGGTTCTTCACCTTCTACTACTTCTTCACCTTCTACTACTTCTTCACCTTCTACTACTTCTTCACCTTCTGCTGGTTCTTCACCTTCTACTACTTCTTCACCTTCTACTAATTCTTCACCTTCTACTAATTCTTCACCTTCTACTAATTCTTCACCTTCTACAGGTTCTTCACCTTCAACAACTTCATCATCTTCAGTCCCCATTTCTTCAAAATTATCTGATGATTCTTCAGAGTTATCATTTTCTTCATTGTCATCGTTTACTAATATTCTGGAAACCTTCAAATTTAATACTTCATTAGCGTTATTTCCTTCACCCGATGATTTTTTAGTTAAATTCTGTAAATTAAAAAAGTATAAGAGTTTGAAATTCATGTATGTGTTTGTGAATGTGTTATATAATAATAAAAAATCTGTTGTTAAAATTTATAAAACATAAAAAAAATATATATAATACGAAAAAAAAGTACAGATTAGTTTTTTTATTTATTTATTTTTTTCTTCAATGTCTTACGGAACTAGACCCATTTCGTGCAGTAATTGCGAGAAATAGTAAGCATATTTCCACGAAAAAGAAAAAAAGAGTTGTTTTTCCTCTTTTGATATACTTTATTAAAGATTCCATATTTCCAAATTAAAAATTGTGCGGTACTGTTTCTATCTATCTATTTATATATTAAAAGTATCGCTGTTACAAAATGCCGTTGGAATTTTTTTCTAATTGCATTAATTAAAAAGATAATTTTCTAATTATAGAAAAATTAAAAACTAAATAATTTAAAAATAAAAAAAAGGGAAAATCATTTATTATATAATTTATAATGTAATATAAATTATATATACACAAATAATATATATACTTATGTATGAAAAAATAATTTTTAGTTTTTGACTAAATAAGCAATAGGATTAAATTAATTTCTTTTTTCTATTTTTTGGAGGTTGTCAAGAAAAAATTAATTATTTTTTTTTTTAAATTAAAAGAGAAAAAATGGGAAATTTACAAAACAACAAATAAAATTAAATAGAAAAAATGTTCGATAAAATGATATTACTAAACCCTTTTTATGCATATATGCATAATTGTTTTTACATTACTAAAAAAATATATAGCAAACGTTTAAATAAAAATAGAAGAAAATCACGGGAAAAAAAAAATATAGGTAGGAAGTATAATAAGAAGAATGTATAAATAGAAAAAAAGAATTTTATAATATTAAATAATTATTTATATATTTCACTTAATTATGGGATAATTCTGGAATATTTTTAAAATTATCCATTTTGCTAGAAAAGGGTTACGGGTGTACAACACTGTATATATCTTAATTGTGATGAATTAAAAGGAAATTTTAAAAAAGAAAAAAAGTGTCGATCGATATGTACTTTCTCCTCTGTTACCTAAAATTTATGTGGTACCTGTTCTTCTATATTCTATTGATGAAAAGGTACTATTTTTCTTGCTATAGCAAATAAAATATATAATGCTACTTAACGGTGCAGGGAAGGGAAAAAAATCAAATAAAAAAAATTAGGGGAAAAAACTAGAATTTACCTAAAGTTAAAGAAATATTGAATGATTTTTCTGGAAGTTACAAAAAAAAAAAAAAAAAAAAAAAAAAAAGACTTATAAAACTAAGCATAAAAAGCAACAGTTCCTTTATTTTTCTATTGAATTAATAATGTAAAAAAAAAAAATATAATAATACATAAGGATTAAGATTAAATATGCATGTATATAATGCTTAACGTTTTTATAATTATTTGTTCATGTATTTTATCTAAGTGGCAAACTTTTATCCTAAGAATGAATGGGTTTGTCAATTTTTTTTTTTTTTTTTTTATTAATGCATATAAAATAAGGTTTCAATTATGTCATTTAGAACAAACTGTAATTAAGTAAGAAGTTACAAAAATAATACATAGTATAAAGAAACAAAGTCAAAAAAAAAACATCACGTATATATATTAGCGGTTGAAAACGAGTAATATGTTCTAAATAGATCATTGAATTTGACCTTTTAAGAATTTTATTTTTATTTTAGTTATATATATTTATCGTGGAATACTGTAAGAAGGATAAATACATTTTAACAAAAAAAAAAATACTTGGTTTTCTTGGCTAAAATGAAGAATTATGAATTTTTTTGTACTGATACTTCAGAATGGACTCACAAAAAAAGGAACAAAAAGGGTTACACAAAGTTTACGTTCTCAATGTATGTAACTATACTGATACTAGCATTACTATGTCTTTTTTTACAGGTAAAATTAAAAGTCAATTTTATTAGTACTTTATTATTTTATTTTTTTTTTAATACATTACCTTATTCTTGTATGTTATTAAATATTAACACTAGCAATTAATAAGCAGTTTTATTTTTTTTTATATAACCATTATTTTAAAATTTTTTATAGAATAAATGTGCACACGGAGATAACACAATATTTGAATCACAATGGAGAAATAATGGATGTTCAAGAATATTATCTGAAACTTTTTTTGAAAAAATGAAACGACGTAATACATTACACAATGATAGAGATTATATTGAAGGGCATGATATTGAAAATGAATCATTGTATAACCCCAGTGATTGTAGTGAAACAAATTTAACTGTTTTCTTAGATGATGAGTGTGGATCTAAATGTGAGTCAACATGTGAATTGGAAAATGAACTTGAATGTGAGTCACAATATGCATCCGAAAATGATCTTGAATGTGAGTCACAATATGCATCGGAAAATGAACTTGAATGTGAGTCACAATATGAATCTATGCGTGAAGTAAATCAGCATAATAATGAAAATAAAGAATTTTTTAGTGGAAGAAAGAATGATAACATATGTAATAAGGAAAGTCAACAACATCATTATGATGAAAAGTGTATTAATTATAAAAATACCAAAGAAGAAAAGCACCAGGGGGTGCATGAAATTCATAATAATGTCGTAAATGAACAAATACCAACGTATGATAACAGATTTGAATCACATCAGAGTTTAACAAGTGAATATCCAGAAAGTGAAGTATCATTCATGTATAATAGTAAAAATATAAAATCGACAAAAGACCAAAAAACTGATAGTGCATTTTTTAGAAAGCACAAAAAATCTTATGAAAAAAGTAATACGGGTAGTACCATTTCTATAAATAAAACGTTTTCCTTATCCAATGAATATTTTAATGGAATTTTTGGAAATTTAGGTAATATGGTGCACAACATCGATATTCTTAACACATTTTCTCTTTACAATACGCAAGAAAGAATTAAATTATTTAACTCACTCAAATCTTTAATGTTATATTGGAATAAATTATCTAGTTCTTGTGGGATATCAGATAATTACAAAAATAAGCAATGGCTTAAAGTCTATAATATTGTTACAGAAATTCTATTATTAAAAGAGGAAATGTTTTATAAGAATTTAGGATATTTTTTTTACACCACGATGTGGCCTAAAGAAGAATATGCTAATTTTATAAGAAAAGTAAAACTCGAATGGGATAATATGAATGAAAAGGTAGTTGTTGGAATGAAAGAATATTTAGATCGAAAAGCACGTATGTGTAAGAAAAAATCTGGTTGATATTTTTTAAAGAAAAGGAAACTGAAGCTTGATGATATATATATATATAAGTATCCCACATGCATAAAATATATTAGTTAAAAATATATGCGTTAATTGTTGCATGAACACTTGTGTAACAATGTTGACGCACAGAATTTTGGGATATATTTTCATGTGATGTAAGTTTACATGTATACGCACGTCGAAGGACAGTGTTTACTTATGCTAAATTTGTTCATTAATAAATATACATGAAATAAATAAATTTATTTTTATTTATTATCCTATCTCATTTAAATACACAAAATTAAATGAATTCTTCTTTTTTGTTTTTTTTAAATAATTTAAAGTATAAATGTTATACATGCACATTTGTACATAGATATTACAGATATGTAAGCGCCCATTCTTTTATATGTCTACATTAGCTTTTAAATGAATTTTTATGTTTTTTTTTTTTTACCTTTTTTTTTCGTCCTGACTTTATTGAGAATATTTCCTTATTTGTTAATTTTAGAAAATTGCTTTACAAACTTACAAATGAATGCTTTTTAAGTTTTCACTTAAGCAGCATACATAATATAGGGTACAAAGAACATATGTAGAAATAGCACATATAAAAATGAATAAAAAAATGTTTTATGAATTAATGCATCACGTGAGTTAAAGAAAAAAAAGGACATTCATATTATATATAATTTATGTGGAATCTTTTATGTTTAAATGACAGAATATGCTGTTTCTTTAATAAATTAAGACACAAAAAGAAAATGGAAGGTATATCAAGTTAAAAAAAGTATGGAAGAAATTGTTAAGGGAAAAGACATGGGAAAAAATATACATAATATATTAAATATTAAAATATGTTATCTACATCAAAGCTGTATCACCAAACGAAAAAAAAAAAAAAAAAAAAAAAAAAAAAAAGGTTGTGTCTCAATATGTGCAATTAAAATATTTAACTTTTAATAAACAAATGTAACAAAATAGGTCGAGCCAATTTAAAAGGAGTTTTTAAAAGTTAGATTTATTTTTTGCGGGAAATAAAAAAGCATGACCTAAAGTTTACGAATCAAAAATCATTCAATGCATAAATTGAAACAAATAAAATTTTGAAATTTCAAAACAAATGGTATTACAAGGTAAAAAAAAAAAAATTCAATAAAAACAAAATAGAATGAAATAAAAAGAAATATTTAATCTATCTATATTCTAAAATGAATTAAAAAAAATTAATACCTTGAAAGTGTCAGTATAATATCAATAGGTTTGAATATACCAGGAGTGTAAATAATTTTTTTTTTTAATAATTAAATGTTTTAAGAAAATAAATGAAAAAAACAATCACTTATATATATAAATATACCCTACGAAAAAATTTAGTTTCTCTGGATTGATTACATATAAGTTTTTAGGGGTATTTAAAAATTACTTCATTGCTTTTAGGGGTACACGTGAAGTATTTTTAATTCGATCCATGAGTTTCTGGCATTTATGTGTTTTATACTTATAGTAAATTGCCATTAAAATTCCTAATATTTGAAATGTACAAATTCCCAATAGTGAGCCAGACAATGCAAACATAATTATAATGAACACGTTAAGTATGAATGGCAAGTACATTCTATTTCTTTTCAGAGTACTGGAAATATTTCGAGGTTTGTATTCATCAACATAATACCTGTTATAATTTTCCAATAAATTTAATATTTCTGACTCAAGCTTTGAATCCATTTTTTTAAAAAATTTTACAATATGTGGATCATTGATTTTTCCTATATTAGCCTGGTTTCTGAATTTATGAAGACATCTTTTTTGTCTTATTAATTTATATTTGTCTTCCAAACAATTGTTATGTTTTAAATTATCACTTGAATCTTCAAAATGTATATCATTTTCTAGGCCCCTGAGTGAATGAGATGCATCTTCATTTACACTTTCACATGAATTATAAAAGTTGTCAAAATCATTATTTTTCTTTAATGTATCAAATAAATTGTCCATATTTTCACCAAGTATGAATTCCTTATCTGACTTTTGAAATTTTTTATCACACCTCAATTCATCATGCAGATTTAATACTTTGTCATTATTCACTAACGTGTCAATTTTTCTTCTATAATTATAATGTTTATCATCTATCATATCTATAATTCTTTCTTTTAAATGTTCATTTTTATCTAGAGATTTATCTTCTACATTTTGCCTTCTCAATATGCTAGCTCTTTCATCGAAATTCCCCTTTGGATTTACATTCTTATACCATATATTATCATTGGACGATGTCTAAGAATTATTATTATTGTATTGCGTTAAAGAGAGAAATATATATGTGTGTATATGGGAATTTTTATTTATTTATTTTTATATAATAATGGTTTTTCATTCATCTAAAATGAAAAACATGAAGTATTTAAAATGTATCACATAATTTTTAAATTCAATTGACATCATACTTCGAAAGAATATGCTCCTGTAATTATTAATAAGGCAAAAGTAAATCCATTGATGAAAGATAGCATACTTGTAATTTTTTTTTTTTTTTTTTTTTTTTTTTTTTTTTATACTTAAATGTAATTTCTTTAAAATTGAAAACCCGTTCTAAAACTAAAAGGAAGGGTTTTGGAATAAATATGTTTTTTGTAGAATTTAATAGAACGTAGTAACTGTATTTTTTGTATATATATATATTATATATTTTTTACAATTTATCTTTTAGAAATTCAAAAAATCATTTGCCTTAATAAGAATTCGACAAAATTTAGTAGAACAATATATATTAGAGAATTGAAAGGGAAAAGGTACATTTTTATAAAAAATATTTGTTTATGCATAATTTAAAAATTTTAAACGAAATATTATTCTTCAAGGTAATATTCGTTTATATAATTATTAATAGTTTCTATGTAGAATGTGAAAAATACAAAATAATTTAGGCTTTGTGTCCGAAATTCCTTATTTTACTAGAATAGAATTAAATCTGTATTCTTTAAAAGGGGAATATAAATATATGAAATAAAATACGCAAAAATAATTGCAAATTATGACGCAATTTTGACATAATAATAGCGCGTATATTATTTTAAAAGAACAATATATGTTTTATATTATTCCTAAAATTTAAACTGAGAAGAGGAAAAAATAAAAATAGATTAAAATATAATTAAAAAAACATATATTTTTAGGAGAAGCATTCAATTAAAACTATAAACAAACACTTAATAGTGGAATGCTTCATGGGGAATATATCTATTGTAGTAAATGGAAATTTCAATATTTTATACGACAAACTCAAGTACTTGAGTTAGTTTAGGATTTATATTAATAATTTAATTGTGGTTATGAGAAAATGCGGTTAAACATTTGCGAATAAACGTTTATATCAAGTTACTTCATAGAAAAATGTTCCTTTACTTTAGCTGTTCGAAATATACGATTAAATAAGTTCATCTTTTGCGTTTTATTTTTTAGCCTTTTTCTTTTTATTAGATATATGTACAATTTTAAAATGTACATATATGTTTGCGTGTATATACTTTTCTTAGCAATTTAAAAGATGTTTAAAGAATGATGCACGAACTTTTTTCCATACACATACAGCATTATAATCTCATTATACTAGTAATATTATGTCTTATTTGTGAGTAATTTTGGGGGTTACATTATAAAACAATATAGGAACCTATTATGATATAAAGTATGCGAAAACTGCAGGGTTATAATTATAGAATATTTTATTTCAGAAAAAAATTTAAAAGAACAAATCACCAATAAATCATTCAGTCATTTAGGGATTAAATTACTTTGCACTCTTTTGTAATAGTATGGTATGTAAATATATCATTTCATTTTAAAATATATATGGTTTTTACATTAACATGTATTGCTGTGCAATATAACACGTATATATTTCTTCATGCAGCTGGAAATGTAAGACAGCTACTTTGGATTATATATATCATAGTTATTTTATATATTTTCTGTTTTCTAAAAGTGTTCTACAAAAACATAAAAGGAAATTTTAATTTACAGATTAATGTTACAAATATATTTACACTTAAGTTAGTACACAACTTTATGTTATTAGTTAATTTTTTTTTTTTTTTTTCAAAATAATTTTTATTGTATATATATATATATATATTTACTTCATAGATTAATAAATAATGTATATGGCAGAATACATCAATGAACTTTTGTTCATATTAATAAAAATATATACATGGATGTTTTCCATTCCATTTCGATACATTTTTTAGAAAGGTTAAAAAATAATTATGTCTAACAAACATGGGCTAAATGAATAACACAATTTTGAAATAAATTAAAGTGTTTATATATATATATATATAGTTGGTGGCAATTTCTATTATTTAAAAGGATATGCACTGAAAAATTAGTGGAAATGAGGTTATATATATATTTGAATACGAACTTATAAGTTGCTCCCATTACAGATCATATAAATTCTGATATTCAGAATAGCAGTAATTCTTAAAAGGAATGTTTATATAATTATAAATTAATTTGAGGAAATATTTTTAAGGAGTCTTAAAAATAATGGTGTAAATATAGTCCAATGATTTTTAATGGTTAAATTTTTTATTACTTTAATTATGTTTTTCTTTTATGTAAATAAGGAAATTTAAAGAATATATACAAATGATTTTTTCTGAATGCATATTTGACTAATTTTTAGTGAGCTATATTTGCATATAATAAAGAACTTTATAAAAGACATGAAAAATATGTGTTTTTTAGAAGGATAAAACTTTTTCTACCAAATGAAAATTGCTAATATTTAGGTATTACTTTTTTAACAAAATATAAGATATTTTCTATTTATCAAAATTCGTATGAATTTTTACCATTTTTCTGAATGATACAAACCTAATGTAGCAATATTTTGTCTTATTGCTATTCGATATTACATGTTTTTCCTCTTTTTCTCGTATAATTTGAAACGAACACATATATTTTACTTTGTTCTCTGATTTATTAAAATAGTTTTTGTGTATAGTGTATAGCTTAAATGTGAATATATGGGTAGAAATATTTAATTATAAAACTTATTTCCATTTCAAAGAATTATAGTAGTTCTCAAACTTCGTACATATTGGAAACCCAATATGCTTTAAAATATTTGCAACAGCGTTTCCTAATAGGGGATTAACGCTATATAGAATAATTATTTCATTAAAATAATTAATTTAGAGAAATTTTTTAAAAGAAAATTTGCGAATACATTTTATTATGTATAAATATTTTAAATATGTATTCTTTATTATCATTTTTATTGTTAAATTAAAAAATTCATAATTATCCAAAAATTACATAAAACTGATAATTGGTTTGATAGGGTAGTTTTTTGAATTACTTATTTTTGCTTTATTTATTTTTTTTTTTTATTGTGAATTTTTCTATCTATTATTTCATTTATAATTTTAAGACTTATTTTATTTTACTATGAAAAAAAAAGAAAATGTATCAAGCAAGTGTTATTTATTTTCATAAAAATTTTACGTAAACAAATTAGAAATTATTTTTTTATTCAAGTTCATATATTTAACCTCATTTTTTTTTTTACATATTTTAATTGAAAAAATATTCAACATTTTATTTAATTTGTATTGGAATATATATACATGTATTACAATATAACATGATTGAGAATGATTAATGCTATTTTAAATTTAGATAAAATGTACTCATAGGCAATAAAATGCACTGTTCTAAATATTATATGTTAAAAAATGCATGTATATATTTAATTTTTATACGCGACATATTAATATTGTTTTAATGTAGTAAGTAGCACTTAAGCGACGACAATATAAATTATAAATAAGACACAAGCATTTAATTATGCCTAAGCTAAATTAACAATTCATATACCGGTACTATTATTTTAGGAAGGAACAAATATTATTTTCTTGTTATATTATCTCAGATCTGGAATTACATTTATGGGTTTATTCTAATTTTTTTTTTTTTTTTTGAGGATTTTAGATTTTACTTCAGAATATTGTTAGTTTAAAAATTTTATTTATCAATTTTGATTATTTAAATATTTAAATCTCTTTGAAAATATTTTTATATTAACATAAAATTAAAAAAATAGACTGAAATGTTTTTTAATCAATTTCTGTGATTTTCTTTTCTTGTCCAAGTTTTCCGCACATATTTTATTCTAATAAAGCGAAAACTGTAGCATTATAAGTTGTAATTATATATATATATATTTGTAAAAATAATGTATGTTTTATGAAAAAATTACTACAAAAAATATAAATATTTTATTACTCAAAGAGTGGAAAACCATAAAGGATTTTTCAAAGAGGAGGGAATTATCTACGTCTGATTTTATCATGAAATTTTTTTTTCTCATTTTGTCAATTTGGTCGTTGTGTTGCACTAATAAAGACGTAAGACTATTAAATATGTGCTAATTTTTTACATTTTTTTTTTTTTTTGTATTTCATACTATGTTATCTTATGTTCATAAAAAGAATATTTATTTATACAAGTAATTTTGAACACGCATGTGGATACATATATTTACATTTATTTTAGAACACCTGTAAGAAATATTCTGGTAAGAGTATCGAAGGAAAACTTTTATATTTAAGAGATGGAAGAATATTAACTGAAGGTGCACAAAGTAATATATATTCTAAGTGTAATAATGAAAACGTAAAATTATCAAATGACATGAAAAGTAAAGACGAGGAAGACCAAAAAAATGTGACTAATGTGAAGGGATGTTTTGGAAGTACAAACATAGTCACGCATGCAATGTTACCAGAGGAGAAAAAATATTTCAATAATAAAAAAAATAATGTTAATATCACTAAAAAAACATTTAACAAATCAAAAAAAGATGATGATATTATTACACCTTTACTTTTAGCGGAATTGATGTTGAGGGAACCAGGAAAAGGAATTGATATAATAATGCTTTATGTGGGAGCATTTTTAAAATATTCATATGGTCGCTATTTTTAAGCACACACGGTGTATATAACTTTAAGTATTAGGGAAATATTATACTATGAAAGCAATAAGGGGAGATTTGTGCTATATAAAAAGGATGTTATTCGACGTAATATTTTACACAAGACATTTATCATTATAAAGCGTTGCATTTAATATGCACATTGCTTTTAGTATTATATTACAAGTATACTAGATATGAATGTTATTAATATATTGTATATATTTTATTATTTTGTTTTTTTGGCGCATTTACGTACCCATATATTTAACATCATTTATATATAACCATTTAAAAGTGTAGGATTTTTTTTTTTAATATCCTCTTTTTTTAAGATGTATATATATTCAATTTCATGGTTTTACGCTTGTGAGCAAATGTATATATTGAATTATTTTTAACATAGCTATCAAATTTGTAAATCTGAAAATTATAAGTATTCATCACATTGTTTCGTATAGGTATATCTATTTATACACCTAATGGCGAAAAAATGAAAAAAAAGTTGAAAACTATCCCATCCTTTATATATTTTTAGAATATATATTTTTTAAAACATATATATTTTTAAGAATTCTTTCCTTTATTTGAGTCGTGTCTGTAAAATCACATTAAATATATTTTTACTTCAAGAATATTAGCGAGGGTATAAAAGGTAGGCCATTGTTAAAACCTCTGTAATTATATATCACAAAAGAACTCAATCGGGTAAGGTAAACTAATTCATTATACATATCTATACGGTTATTTAAACAGGACAACAATGAATTATATTTATATGCTTAAAATGTGTTTTAAAGGATTTTTAAATATAAAAGTTTTCAATCATTAAGAAAGAAAAAATTGAAATAAAAAAAAATTATAAATAATAAACCTAAAATTATATTTTGATTTGATTTTTTTTAGTCTATTGAAATTTTAAAAAATTTTACTATTTTATACGGCATATTACTAAGATTGGGAAGAAAAATGTAATTTTATTGTCTGTTAAAACAATATGTGATAAAAAAGATGCATGTAACATTGATCGGAGTCAAATATGCATAATGCTTGTTTTCTTTATGAATTATATTTGCCACTAGCAATGATGATTTTTTGTGGGGATCATTTTTACATGGGTTTACTCTATGCGTACATAATAATTAATTTCTATATAAATGATAAAATATACAATTTTATTACTATTTTATAATAAAAAAATAATATAATAAAATTTTTTTCTAATGAATGAATTAAAATTAATTCATCTGTGCTGTAAAATACAATATTATTATTATTCACCTACCACGCGCGTGGTAGCGGAGCATTCATATTTCTGATATGAAAAAGAACATCATCATATATGTAAATAGATGGTTCATAATTTTATCAACATTCTTTTTTTATAATTAATACAAATTTTTAAGAGAATATTTCTTAAAACGTAAAAAAAAAAAAAGAAAAAAAATTATGTATCTTAGTACGAGGGAAAAATTATAAGATGAATCTATTTTATAGTTTCCTTTTACTTTTGTTTAGAATTAAAAAAAAAAACAATAATTTAATATGCAATCACATTTATCATTAAAATAATAAAATAAAACAATACATAATGTAATGTTTTGTTATACATATTAAATATTCTTACTTGTAATCCTTAGTAGCATATATTATTTTTTTTTTCTGTAACACAAGAATTAATCTATGAGCTTGGTATTTTTGGGTGGTACATTTTTTTTTATTTTTTTTGCGTTTATCTTTTTTGCTACTGTAATTACAATATAGAATGTTTATCCATTTTATCATTTTGTTCTACTTAATTAAATTTTATGCCTTTTTGTTTTTTAAATATTATGAAATTTATAGCCTATGATTATGGTTAACAAATAATTAGATTTATGCTAAAGTAAAAATAATAATAATTAATAAAAATAGAATACTTGCTATGATATATATAAATCAATTTATGTAATATAACCACGAAATATTTGAATTATATATATATATATATATATATATTTATAGAGAATAAAGTTGAAACTATTTACGAGAAAATAAAGATTCTACATAATAACATTTTCTTCATTAGCATTTTGTATCAATAGAGTTGGCACTGTTGAACTTCAAAAATAAAAAGTTAATTATTTTTTTTTATTTAGAAAAAATAGAGTATAAAGGGCATAGGGGGATATAATGTTGGATTTACTATCATTAAACATGTTTATAACAAAAAAAAGAAAACGCAAAGACAAAGACAAAGCAATCTATTATAATAAAGGATGAATCCTGAATAAATTTTATATATAATAAAATGAAAAGAAGTATATATTTTTGTTTTGTTAAGTTTTTTCTATGTAAAATTTTAGTATACACAGTTTTATATCCTCATAATGTATGACATAAAAAAGAAAAAAATATTCACATACGCATATCTTGTATTAGATTCTTTTATAAACACAATTTTAATATAATTTTTTTTATTTAATATTTATTGTTTAAATTATAACTTTACCTTTAGATTACCTTTGCTATTTATCCTGAAAACGAAATAAAGCAAGATGGCTCGTTAAAACTTGAAACAAGAATATCGCCAGTTGATCATTGGGGAAAAAGGGAACAGGGTTCAAAAGAATTGGGAAACTGTACAAAATTAAAGAATAAATATTCGCAGAATGAAGAAAAAGAAAGGAAGGAAGTGAACATAAGGCCCTTGAAGGAAAGAATTTTTATAGATGCATTGAAAAGGAAGTTTATGTTAAATGAACTAAAGAGTTCATTATTGCTTAGACCAAATATAATAGAATCAAAGTTAAGAAGACTGGAAAAAACGTTGATAGGAAATAATTTAATATCAGAATCCAAAATGAATGAAGTAAAGGAAGTTTTATCTGAAAGTGAATCAATGGAAACAAGAAATATCATGAAGGTGTTAAAAGAAAATTTATTAAATAACCAATTAATAAGAAATTTAATGTTAAAAGAAATAGAAGATATTCTATTAGGAAATGAATTGTGTACAGAATTCATTTTAAACGTATTAAATAAAAAAATCCTGAATAACAGAGTAGCTTATTTGTCTGTTTTAAATGAGTATGAAAAAATTATATTAGACAACAATTTAATTGAAGAATCAAAATTAAAAGTTTTAAAAGATGTTCTGTTAAGTGATAAACCAATAACAGAACCACAATTATATGAATTAAAATTGTTGTTACTTAATACATTATATAATATTTCTAATTCGACTAATAATGAAAAAACAGAAGACAAGCATTTCAGCAATGATGTTCCTAAATCAAACACTTATAGTTTTTCTCAAAATTATGTTTCTCCAAGGGGCATTAACTTAACTCATCATAATAACATTTTGCCAGATGTTTACTATGTCAGAAGTAATAATACACCATTAAGAACGGAACCATACAATATAAGTGATATAGTAAAAAGAAATAATATAAAAAACAGAGAGAATATATCTATAAGAAGCAACTCAACAAAGAGAATTGGTTCAAAATATCAAAATGTTGTAATGAAAAAAGATGACATAATAAAGACGAGCAATCTAGCAAACAAAAAATTATTTTTTCCAAAAAATGATGTTATAGAAAATATTAGGGGAATAAATAGAAGGAAAGTATTACCAAAAAATTATTTATTAAAGAAAACTGATGTTGCAGATACTGAGAAATACACAACAAAGTATCGTTCCGAGGATAAAATTGTTACGATCATCAAGCCAAATGACAAGTTATCGAAAAATGATTCTGCAGACAAATCGGATAAAAGTAAGATTGAAGAAGTCAAGAAAAGAAAACAATGGACAATAGAAATACATATGTGTGATAAGAAAAGAAAAGATGATATGATAAAGGGAGGGGAAAAGAAAACTGTAACAAGCATTTATATGTGTGATAAAAACAAAAAAAGTAAATTAATTGATACCCATGATTCTATAAAAAAAGGGGATGAAAAAAAAGAAGAAAATATTAGAACAGAAAAGAAGTTCACTATAGATATACATATGAATGAAAAGAAGAAGAGAAAACCACTCGTAAAAAAAAAAACATGGGTAATTAAAACCATTATGAAACGTGATATTTCAAAGAGGCTTAATATATTAAGAGAATTATATAACTCGAATGAAATTGATGTAGATATGAGGGATGACGTATACGGAAAGATAGAAAAAGAACTTTTCCAAAATGTCCTTACATATGTTAAAATAAAACCTAATACAAGAAAGAGACTATTTAAAAGACTTGCTATTTATGCATTAACACCAGTACTTGCAATATCTGGAATTATAGGCTTTTCAATAGGGCTTCATATAGCACTGGGTGTAGATCTTTTCTTGGATTCTACAGCAGTCGGATTGAAAGAAACTGCCGGGAAAATTGCAGAAGCTGCACCTGAAATTTTAAATGATGTGGGAACTTGTGCCGTAGAGGTACTGGAGAGTGGTGCAACAAGCATATCTTTATGGGGCCTTTTTGCCGATATTGTAACGACTGGCTTATCATGCGTTGCTAAAACTACAGCAAAAGCGGTAAATATCGTTGCTGAAGCTTCACTTGATGGCATGGCTGCAGGTACTGCATATGGTACAACTTATGGTGTTATGCAATACTTATTTCCTCCATTAATTGGTATATCCTTTTCAGTCCTTATACTCATTCTTTATAGAGTAATCTTATTTCTATATAAAAAAGGTAAGCTGGAAGGTTTTGGCAGATTCGTAAGAAGGTGTAAGAATTTAACAAAGAGGAAATATAATAAATTTAAGAGAATAACAAAATGGTAAATAACTTATCTAACCTTAGTGCACATATAAAAAATAAAACATATGCACTAACTTTGCAATGTTTTAAAATAGTTTTGCGCCATAAGTTATGATATATATATATTTACTGTTTATGACTTTTATTTTCTAATTTCCACATTTGTTATTCTTGTTATTTTGAATTAATAATACGCAATATTAAATGATTTTCGTTGTTAACATATATGTATATATACAGTTCAGGCATTATCTTATATATCATTGCTTTAATGACATTTATTATATATATTTTTTTTTTTTTACAATGTCATTTCTGCTGAATGTGTATATATATATATCAACAATTTAAAAACATTTTTTAGTTAATTAATTCCTTCCATTTTTATGTCAAATCGATAATTGAACTGTTTTATATAAATTACAAACTGCTTTGCTTATTATTTAATTTTTGTTTTTTAATTTTGTTTTTGTCATTTAATTTTAATTAGTTTTATTGCTAATAGCTAAGAATAAATTTTGAGTGTCACTATTATATATGCTTTTCTGTGAATTAATACTTAAATTAATTCAATATTTAATAATTAATTATTTGACAATACAGCTCAGTTATTTCCTACTGTAGAGGTGCTTTTTATGATTAACATGAAGTTAAATCTATTCTATATTTCTATTATTATATTATTGTAAGATAAATTGCACACTTACGTTAGCCAATATTTAGGGTGAACAAAAGCAAATGGGTAAATATTCATTATATCGAAGGTTATATTAAAAAAAATATATGCTTTATTTGCAAATAAGAATATGCATTCCATTGTCTACATGGCATTTTTTCTCAATGATATATTAATGGTTCAAGTTTTACTTACAGTTTTATGATTTTTCTAATTATACTGTTAAAGAAATTCATAATGTTGTTACATTCTTTGCATAAAAATACATATTTTCTTACATGTGGGTGATATTTACATTTTTTTTCCAATTGTTCGTAATGATTATAAGTTCATGAAGGCATTTATTTCATATCTTAGTGAGAAAATAAATAACGGGTTATTATATGCTATTAATATTATGGTAACGATAAATTTTAAAATAATAAAGACATAACACAGCAGAATGGTATAATAAATATGTGATCAGTTTGTGAAACTAAATTCTTTTTATAAGCCTACTCTTATCTAATTGATAATTCATTTCTGTATATATTTAAGTAAATTGCTTTATTGAGGTATAATAAAAGTTTATTTATTTTTCTTTTAAATAAAGTTTCTTAGATGGGGAAATTTTTACAAAAATAATATTAATATATATCAATTAACTAATGAAAGAAAAAAAGAAAAAATGAAATCTTTAAATTTTACGATTTCGCAAAGTGATGCCACACAATTACATATTTTGTCTCGGTAATAATGTTAATAACTGATGAAAATTAATACATTTTAAAACGTAAACATTTTGTTATAAAAATAGATATATAAATCATTTGAAATAATAAAATTTGAAGCAATAAATTTATTCATGTGAAAAATTGTAAAATAGTTGAGTTCATTTTTATATCCTTTAAGGATTCTTTGCACATCTATGTCTTAACTAATTAAATCATAAATGGTCATATACAGTAATGCAACATTTATATTAAATAGTAGAAAAATATAAACTTTTGTGTAAAAATGATATTTTGAGAACCAGATAGGTAAAATGTATAAAAATAAGGCAAAAAAATAAAATAAAATAAAATAAAATAAGCCGAATAATAATTTTTTCCTTTGCATATATCAGAACTGATTTTTACTTAGTAAAATCTCATAGAATAAACACACAGGGAAATAGATATAAACGAGGTATTTTCCATTTTAATTCATTATAATGCGCAAGGTAAAAGGAATAAAAAATAAGAAATAAGCGAATAAGCAAAAAATTAATGTCTGATTTTAATAATTTCATTCTTACAAAGAACAAACTTATAAATTCTTTTGTACGGTCACAAATGCATTAATACAAACTAAGTATATTATTTTTATAAATAAAACTATGAAACTTTTGAATACACTATCAGCGTTAATGTATTGATGAATTTATTTTCCTTATTTTTAAAATAACATTTGAGGTAACATACATTTAACATCCTCATGTACCCATACTGTAATGCAAAGAAGAGAAATCAATGCATATATATTTTTTTTGTAAATAATTTATCAGGTATATTTAATTAGGAGTTAAAGATTTATTTAAATGCAATTAAACCTTAATGATACACATTTAGTTCTAAATTAACTTTGAGAACTTTTACAATCTACAGCACATATAACATTACAAGAAACGCAGAAAATAATATCCAAAAGGCATTTCATTTTTTTGGAGTTTCAGTATATTATTCATATTTAATTCTTATGAAATTTGAAAAATTAATTAAAAAACTAATAAATACTTGTAGTTGATAAAATGTTATGGGACAACTATTCATTTCGTAATTATATTATTGCGTCCTGAAAAATAAAGAACCTGCGAAATACCTATCGCTCAATAATATTTATTGTATAGATTAAATCAATTTATTTTCAATTTACGTTCATTATATTTTTGATGCACCATATATAACGTATTATTTTTCATTTTTTTCTATTTTGGAAAGTTTTATTGTCAAAATTTTTACAACATTGTGCAAAATAAATCTTGGTATTTTTTCTTTATTTTATGTGTGATGGTCGACAGCAAATCAATTTTTAAAATATTATATATATGAATTTTGTGCTTAATGGACAACTGTAATTCACACTTAATGCAAATAAAATGTAACCATGGAAATTCAAAACAATTAAGCATAATGCCTATTTCTATAACTTTTAAGGTTTACAATATTTCCAAAGTGTAAAATTAAAAATATTTTTTTCACACTCATTTTTTTACAGAATAAAAGTACAAAAAGAATACATAATTACAGATAGACCCTTTTATCTGCATTTCTCGTTCATTTGTTATTTTTTTTATATATTTACATCAATTTAATTTTTAATGACAATCTAAATGTATTATGTACTGTTAGCAAAAATGCAATACACTTTATTCAATTTAACTCCTTTAATTTTTAATGAAATAATTATTAATTCAAGAATAAATTTTTACATTTTTCACTTTAAATATGAATTATTAATATTTCTACAATAGCAAAAAAGGGAAAAAAAAAAAAAAATTTGTGCATATATTTATACCAAGAAAAAATTTCCATGTATCTCTTTTATGTATTTATGACAACTTTTCTAATTTTGTGTCATTAAAGCAGGGTTGTTTAATTAACCTTGTATAATATAATCTATTGTAAAAAATAATATGTTTCCACATATTAGAATACCATTGTAATACTAATTCTAATTTAAAAAAAAATTCTATTTAAAAATGTATATTTCATATTCGAATAAATGTATTGCTTATAGAAGGAGCAAATAAAAAATTTCTGAAAATGTTTAGACTTTAAGATTTACAAAAAGAATATAACACAACACACATCTTTATAAGAATACAGTTATTTTTTGTATAGTTTTTCCCATGTGTTTATTATTTTATTCATGTTTCCTTTATATATTGCCGAATTAAAAGTGACCATTTAAACATGGCAGATAATTATGAAGTATATTTTAGCTTTTTATTAATATCATTACATATAAACTTCGATTTATATAATAAACTATTATATGAAAAACAAAAGGAGGAAAAAAAAAAAAATTCTTTTCTGAAAAATAAGTATTTTATTTATATTTAAATTTTATTTACTCCATTTTATTTTTAGTTTAGACATGTGAAGACGTTTCCTACATATAAAAGCAAGTTAGAAGAAATTGAACGTTTTTCTAGCATATCATATTATACTACAGATCCTATTGCTACAAGCTGCAAGAGTAATGGTGAAGCATATGTAATTCCAATTCTATTCACGGACTTGTGCATAAAACTTAATAAATATTTTCATTATTATACTAATCTTAAAGCAATTGATAGTAAACACTACGAGTACATTAACTACTGGCTGAATAAGAAAAAAAAAGTAGCGAATGGAAATGTATTATATGAAAAAATATTAAGTGGTGACAAGTCCCTGAATATATTATATAACTCCGTTAGTCCATTAAATGATGAATATCAAAGTAAATTTCATCATCTTTCTGATGAGGTAGTTAGAAAGATTGATATACTAAATGAATTGAATGAACAATACCTTTTTTTTATAACAAAAAAGAAAATTGGTGAAACTTTTCACACTGATTTGTGTGATTATCTTAGAAAATTTGCTAATAAATATAATGAAGAAGTTCGAAAATGTTTTAATAATTTTGATAATAAATACTGCAAGGAGTTAATAGAATTTAAAATTAGATATAACAAATATGCTAATTATATAAAAACATGTGATAACATAAATCCCTTAACTTCGATACCAGGAGCACAAGACTATGAATTAGCTGCATTGAAAAAATATTCACTTATTGAAGATGATTCATCTAATTCCGTAGTCAATATTTTAATTAACGTCGCTAAGGTTTTGGGAGGAGTTGCTGTGTTATTTCTTATAGTTAAGGTTAATAAAAATGTCTTTTAAAAGTGCAAAATTTATTGTACATTCTTTTTATAAAAACTTTCTCCTGAAATAATTAGATCTATAAATGAATGTACTTTATATGTATATATATATATATATATATATATATATATATATATATATATAAACATTTTTTCCTGATATTAGTATGCCCCCTTAAAATCATTGCGAGGAAGTCGAAAGAGAAAGAAGAAAAAGGATTATGATCATATTAGTAAAGATAAATCATATCAAGGTCGTTCACGAGGGGAGGAATCATACGGGGGTGGTTCATACGGGGGTGGTTCATACGGGCATGGATCGTACGGGATCGAATCATACATGGATGACTCATATGGCAATGGCTCGTACGGTGATAATTCATACGGTTATGCATCACACGGATATGAATCATACGGATATAAATCATACGGGGATGGGATAAACAGAGATGGGTCATACCGAAATAGATCGTACCAAGATAGATCGTACCAAGATAGATCGTACCAAGATAGATCGAACCAAAATGATTCATATTATTATGAAGAAGAAGATCCAAGAGAATATAATAGGCGATATAACATTCAGTACCGTTCAGCAGGAGAGTATGATTATTGATATGATAAAGAATAAAAGCGTCTCTTCGCAAAGTAATATAGAGAGATATTAAAATTAATGCATGATTATAATAAAAAACAAAATAATTATAGAAATGTGAGATTGCAATTTATTAATGAGATTAACTCAACAATAATGATTCATCTATATTTAAATGTGTTGTAAAAATTGTAGAAGTTTTCCCTATGAAAACGTTATAATGAAGAGATTTATGGGGAATACAAAATAAGCGTACAGTATAAAAATACATGCACTTTATAGCAAGGAAAAGTGATGATAATTGTGTTGACAAATTTTTGAATATTACACACATCAAATTTTATTGTAAAGTCAAGATGTGTGTAAAAATGTAAGATTATATTTATTGTACGAAGTTTATTTTATTTATATACCAATATGAAAGAACGGCGGAAATGTTCAACAAATTATAGCATGCTATAAGATTAAGGATTTCACGGAAAAATTATAAGATAGAAAAAAGTTATTTATGATTAGGTAATGGAAAACAAATAACCAGATATAATGCACAATTGAGGGTGTTTTAGTGGGATAATTAATATGTTCAATATTAATAAATATTTTATTTTTTTTACTAATTTCAAAATATTTGTCCTAAATTTTACTATTAGGGAAAATAGTTTAGATAGAAGGGAAACAAAAGTTACAATAACATGTATTTACTTTGATTTATTAATAGTTTCACTGCTTAATAATTATTTTACAAAATATTAAAACAAATACATAAAATTTGTATTACTTTAGTTATAAGAATCACAATATACTGGAATGGTTTTTATGTAATATAATAAATATTAATATTTTGGTGAAAAACCTTTGGACAAGGAACAATGATTACGGGAAGTTATATAAAAATGGTTGATGGATATTAATTATATTATACTTTAAAAGGACAAGCGGGTGTAGAACATTTTGTCTTGATTGATTCTTTAGAAAAAAAAAAAAAAAAAAAAAAAAACAGAAATATTGACAAAATAATATAATTTAAGTAAATGTTTTTTTCCAGGCATAATAATAGTATATATGATACAATATCGTTAAATTATATTAATTAATCAGAATTTTTTGTACATAATTTAATTTATCTGCATGTGACATTTATCCTGAGAATATTAAAAAATTCTTATAAATATGCCAGTGGGGAAATTACATGAAAATATATATAATAAGTTTCTGTAAGATATCTGATTAAATAATAGTTATTTTTCAAATATATATATGCTAAGGGGAATAATAAAATGTGGCATATGCTAATAAATGATAACATATACGTAAAACTATTTTTTTGTGTATGAATACAACCGCTAATTAGGATGAGTAAAATTTTTTAATAACTATATTAAGACAAGAAATAATATAAAAAAATGACATAACAGTGCTATTTTTAGGCAAAATATAAATAAAATTTCATACATGCAATGATATAGAAATTGCAATAATAAAAATAAATTGTTATACATGAAAACTATGTTAGTAAACTAGTAATTTATCTCAATATACTTGTAGATATGGTGATATAATTTCTTATGAAATTAATACATTTTTAAGTACACTAATTGGGAAATTAATAAGTACACATGAAGGAAAACACATCATTTATTAATATTTATTATGCTTCACAAAGATGAAGTTCAATATTTTAGAAGCAGAACACAGCACAACACATTAATTTTGTTGATATAACAGGCATAGCTTTGATCACCAGATGATTAGCATAATTAAATAAAAAAACAGAACAATTCATAAAATTTACATGTATTCTTAGAAAAGTAATTTTTATAATTTACTGATTTTTTGATAAATTCTATTTTTAAGCATTATACAATAAAGCTGCTTAATTTTTCTGTTATATATGTGTGTAAATATTTAATATATTAAATATTGTATTTTCATTTCTCCCCCATAAATTTTGTTATTGTTTTTGTGAATAATTTGCGTGTTATGTAATTAGTAAGGTAGCAACCTAATGATGTAGCTATGGGTGTGCCTACAAATTTACTTCCTTAATTTAATTTTTAATGTTGATTTATATATGATATTCAGTAAATAAATTATAATACATTCTTTTTACATGTATACTTGTTAATATTGACGTGCTTTAAAAATAATTAAATTTGATTATTACTATTGATTATTTTATTTTACTTTACTTTGCTTTCCTTTATTTTATTTTTCGTCTTTACTTTTTCTTTTAACAACTGAATGTGAAACACTGTTTATATCATGTAAGATTATAGAGTGACAATTTGCAAATATAAATTATCTTTGTATGTTAACAAATCATGGTTCATGGTTTTATATCTAGTAGATCATTTTTTAGCACGTAGCACACAATTACTATAGTACCATCTAATAAATATTTACAATTTTTAAAACTTGTAATTATATTTATTGTATTTTTTAAAATTATTAATATACACAATAACAATAAAAAAAAAAAAAAGGAAGCTGAAAATAATTTGAACTTACATTTATGATTACTTCATTTGATGTAAAAATCTCATTTAAAAAAATGAACAATATTTTGTCAATAAAAAAAGGAACAAAAAATTGTGTAAAAAGAGCAAACAGAAGCATTAAATATATGTGTATATATAACAATAAAAATTTTTGAACATATATGCAGAAAAAAAAGAAAAAATAGAGTAAAACAAAATGTAGAAATATTAAAGAACATGCATAATTCTCATATCTATAGAACTTTTTCGTTTTCAAATAATATGAAATATCTGAATATACGAACAAATAATTATGGATAAATATATGCACATGCATTTCTAAAATTCACGAATAGATTGCAACATCCTTGTATAAACATAATGAGGAATTAACAAAAAACTAGAACAAAGAAATTACAAAATTAAATTATGGATTTTGAAAATGAAATTCGCAAAAATGAAATAAAATAAAATCAGAACTTTAATAATAATATTTTCATAAATGGTTCTTATGATTTATTCATTTTCAAAACAAAGGATTCAACATAATTTAATCTATTAATTCTTAATGTTCAACACCCACAAGAATGAATAAATAAATAAACTAAAGATGTTGTATTAAAGAAAAAAAAAAAAAAAAAAGAAATAACTACATGTAAATAAAAAAATCATAGTATGTAAAAATAATCGTATAATAAAGCAAATAAAAATATGAAAATATCAATTGGAGATTCTTATAAATAGAATTGGGGTGGCAACACTTATAAATTTTTTTATGTGTAAAATAATAGCACCTCCAAATTTAGTATATCCACTAATAATTTAAGTATGAAATCCTTATACCCATTAAATAAGGTACTATTAAAAAAAAAAATTTAAATCCAAAAAAGGTGTTCAACAAGAATTGATTTATTCTGAAGCAAACATGTAACTAATTAATGATTAACCATTTTTTAATGCAAATAAATTAATTTGATTAATAGCTATCCTAGGTTAATAAGAAAATTTAAAAAGCAAACCTGTAAAACAGAAGCACTTTTAACTATTTTTTTAAAATTATCCCTCATTTTACAATGGTTTTATGAGGCATTACAAATTTTTTCTTTATGTAAAAGTTTTTTATTTTCAGTTACAGGTTCATAAATAGCTTCGCACTTTACACATTTAACAAAATTAATTTTTTTTTTTTTTTTTTTAAGGTGTAATTTATTAAAAACTATTTCAGAGAAATTACGTGATTTTAGGTCCCTTATACGCACACACAGCATTTTCACTAATTTATAGAAATAGAAATGAAAAATTCATATTTTTTCCATTGATCTATGTTTTACATAGAGTACCTTTTTTTTTTTTTTCTCTTTTTTGTATGTGTGTACTTCATTTAATTCCTTTATACTTTTCTCACTCAACATCTGTGTGTTGGTTGTACTGAATCTTGTTACATCAGGAGAATTCTGTTGTAAGAAATAAAAAAAAAAAAAAAAAAATTCTCTACAGTTTTGTTATAGCATATTATTTAAATTTTTATTATTCAAATACAAGAATGAGTTATTAAATTTCATATTAAGATTTATAATAGTAATATTATATAATGTTACTTTTTTAAATATTATTTATTTTATTTTTTTTCATTAAATTTTTTAGAACCTCATGATTTTTGCATTATAACCTTAAAATAATGAAATCATTTATGTTATACTTACAAAAAGTTTATGCACATTAGATGTAGATGAAACTATATATCAGTGCAAATTAGTTCGTACTAGAACCTTATAATTACATATTTAATTAGGGAATTCTTGTGTTAAAAAATCACAATGTAGAATTGCTGACTAATAAAAAATAAATACTGCATTTTCCCCACGTCATATAAGGAAAAAGATGCTTTGGAAAATTTTATATAATATTTTATTTGCTCTTTTAGGTAAAATAAAATTAAAAAAAATATATAAAAGTATACGTAATTGTATATATGCGAGTGCATATAATAATTCCTTGAGCACTTGTACATGTACACATGTTTATCCTCTTTAGATTATTTTAATAATAACATGTTAATTTATTCATTATAACACATAATAATTTTACTTATACATCTATATATTTACTTTAGTGTCATGTATAGATAATAATGGAAGAAAAACGAACAGACCTAGGAAGGAATTAAAGTTATCAACATTACATGAAAATTTAATTCGAAGCAACCAATTTCAACAGGATAATGGAGAAAAGGCATGTAGTAAAAATGATGATAATAACAAAATTAATGCTGAAGATGATAAAAAATTGTATTCCTATGATAGTACATCTTTTGGGCCGTTAGAAAATGACATCACTGCAAAAAAATCATCATATTACTCATACATAAAAGGAGACAACACATATACACGTAATACAAATAAGAGGTTAAATATGAATGAAAAATTTAATTCTGTTTCAAACGCATTTATCCAAAATAATAGAACAAGAAATGCTCAAACTCAAAGTACAGCAAGAAATTCCTTAGAATATGTAAATAAAAGTGCTTATTCAAGAAAATTGCCTTCCCCAAGAAGTAGGACAATATCCTATACAACAGACAACATAGATTACATTGATGTGATAGATGGGTCTGATTATTATTTAATTTCTCAGTTAAGACCACATTATGCTTATATACACTTTTTTGATGAATTTAAACGTATATCATCACATAATGGGGAACATAAACGTAGGTATGACAATTTGCATAAAACCAAAATAGATCCCATAATAAAAAGCATATCTAATGCAATAAACGGTTGTAAACGAGAAAAAGATGAACTGAAGCGCTTAATAAATATTTTAGAAAGTCCTCAGAAGTTAAGAGAGCTAAAAGAAACATATGCTGAAAAATTTCGTGAGTACGAAATTAGAAATCAAAAATTTCGCCAATGCTTATTAGATAAAAATAGAAATAACTCTCTTGAAATAGCAAAAATAAAAAATGAAGTTTCTGTAATGTTAAATAATGTGGTACGCAATAATTGGCATAGGAAGGAAGGGTACACTGAAATTATTAAAATATATTTATTAGGTTTAAAAGCTATATCTTACAATGATCATAGCAACTTTATAAATCGGTATAAACACTCTTATAATAATGGGATTAATATAATAAAAAAAAGTGAAAACAAAATAGATGACAATTTTATTATAAGTTCGATAAAATTTACTCAAGAGGAGATAAAATACATTGTAAACAGATTTGATTATCATTTATCAAAAGTGAAACAAACAAAAGATTATATTACAGGACATTCCGAGGTATCTAAATTAAAATTAGATGCTTATCATTACCTTGAACAGTACTATTTTTCTGTAGCTAGTAACTATGCCATATTTAAGCTTAGTACAGACAGTCTGAAAATGTTGTCTACTAGCTTAATACATAAAGAAAGAATAATTAACAACTTGTTTGATGAATTCGTTAGTGAATTAGAAAAAAAAGTAGCTAAACATATAGATTCACAATATTTCATTAAAAACAGTGATAATATTATATTAAAATCTAACGAAATATTAAAATATAGAAAAGCTGTATATCATAAAACCGAAGAAACAATAGAAAAAATGAAAGTGTATAATAATTTGGAAATTAAGAAAGTTAAAAATGATTGTGATACTAAAATGGCTCATTTTAAAACATATCTAACTTATATAGAATCACATATCTTAGCTATTAAAACATCACGTGATTACAATTTGTCAGAAAAAAATTCCGTTTTAAACAAAAAGAAAGCTATACCATCTAATCTTAGTTCTCTAGAGAAAGCAGAGAAATTATTTGAAATAATAGATAAAATAAGATATAGTGAAATTTCTGTATCTGATAGTTTTGAAAATATCAAGAATAATTATAAAGAAATCGAAAAAATAAATACTGAAATGCATGCATTAATAGGGTCCATTAACGATCAAATGAAAAATTTAGAAAATTTAACCAAAAAGGAAGATGCAATTAGAGATCTCAAAGAACATATAAAAGAAAAAATGGAATACATAAAACAAATAAAAGAAAAAATAAAAGAAATAATTTCTTTAAATAATGATGCAGACAGAAAATTCCTAGAAGTTGATAAATTAGTTAATGCGGCACTATTTCAAAAAGACGAATTTGAAAAAAAGAAAGTTCAGTTGGAACATGCAACAAAGGAAATAATTACGAAATTTTACAAAGGAGATTTGCAACTAATTGTAGAAGACATGACAAATTTTTTAAGTGATGAAGAAAATTTTAATGACAAGACAAGCACTAAAGAGGAAGTTGAAGATGTGCTAACGAAAACAAATGAAAAACGCAAAATACTCGAAGATATGAAATGCGATAATATTTCCCAAATATTACATGGTTTAAAAGAAGAATTAGCAAAAGTTATCTCCTTCAAAGATGAAATTGCAAATAAGCAGTTTGAAAATATGCTTTCAGAAATGTCAAGAATGTCAGCTGAATTAACAAAAGAGTATGATAATTTTAAAATCAGGTTTTCAGATTATGAAAGGGAGAAACGAAAATTACAGAACTATAAAGATCATATAATTATAAGAATGAAGAAGATGGCCAAAAAGGAACTGGTAAATGATGAAGATTCATTGGAAGAACAAAATAAATATAGCAACTTTGTCCAAATTAAGGAAATTATTTTTAAAAAAGAAACTGAAATTACTAGTGATACTAGTAAATTACATGATAAAATAAGAATTGTTAAAAGTAAACTACAGAAATATAAAGATTTAACTCAAATGTTTGAAATACATACGAAGAGAAAAGATTTAGATATGAAATCAGGGTTCGAAAAAATTGAATCCGATATTAATGAACTAAAACTAAGTGAATTTGAAGTTAAATTTAATGTTTCCAAGGATAACGTTATCAATACTATAAAAGAAATTGAAAACATAAACAAAAATATAGACGCTATTAAAACTTTAAATGCTTCGGAAAAAAATTCTATTATTAATAAAAAATCTATGGAAAAATTAATAGAGAATAAGAACAATCTAAAAGGAAAAATTGATAATCATACTGAAAAAATAAATAAGGATAAATTAATAGAACAAAGTAAAAAGACAATTTTTTTAAACAGTTTAGATAGAGAAAAAACTATTATAGAAGAACGATTAAATGATACTAATATCAAAGAGTTAAATGTAAAAATAGATAAAATGTTAAAATATTGCCATGAATCGAGGGAAAAAATTAAGGACAATAATGGAAATCATTCAGAGGAACTCGATGAACAAGAAATTGATTGGGAAAATCTCAAAGGAAAAATAGACGCATTAAGTGGTAGTTACTTAGCGTTAGATAGAAATATAGATGACATAATAAATAATCAGTATGAAGAAATTATAATATTAATTGATAAACTAATAGTAGTTAAGGGAAATGGTATTGATATTAAAACTCAGGGGCTTATACGTAATATAGAAAAAATGAAAACGAGGTTGTCTTCTATTGATAGTAATGAAGATATTAAAAAATACGAAAGTAGTATAAAAGAAGGACTGGGTAAATTAAAAGCAAAGTCTCATGAAATACTAAAAAAAATTGAGGATAATCATGGAAAATTAACTAGCATTAAAACAAAAGCAAGTGAGTGTGTTGCAAAATCAAATGAAGTAAAAAATAAACAGATTGAATCAAATAAAATAAAAAATAAACAAAATGAATTACGCGAAGAGATGGATAAGCACAAAATATACAGTAAAAATAAGGATGAGCTAGATGAAATTAATAAAAAACTTACAGAGGAATCCGAAAATTTGGATACTATAGAAAGATTAGACACTGCTTCAAAGGAAATAGACAATGTTGAAATGGAATATGATAAACTATTAGTTAATCATATTGTTCACATGATTGATAATGAGAAAACAAAAGCTACCAATCTCATGAATGAAACTAAATCTTATGTAGAAAAAATAGAGAGCGCAAGAAATCAATTGTTCGGTGAAACACAGAAAAATACAACTGAAATTGAATGTAAAGTATATGAGCAAGCATGTATAGATAACATTAGAAAAATAGGGGAAACTCTTAAAAAAGCTGAAGAAAAAAAAGGGGAATCAGAAAAAGCTGACAAAATGGAAAATGTGAAAAATATAAAAGGAGAAGTTAATAAATATTTGAAAGAAGCTATAGACGATTACAACTCTATGCAAAAGGCATTAGAAGATATTAAAGATGTGCATAATTTATTAATGTCAACTAGTGCTAAAAACATTGCTAATGAAATATCTAAGAATGCTAATGCTGTGAATGAATTTAGAGAAAAGGGAAAGAGCGAACTTGAGAAAATGAGAAGTATAATAGATGCAATAGAAAAAAAATTAGAGGAAGCAGGAGGTATTAAAAGACAAATTCATATAAACTCAGATGATAATAAGATAGACAATCAATTAAAACAAATTAATGAAATATATAAAGAAATTACAAATAGGGAGGATGAAATTGATGAAATTTTAAGAAATATAAAAGAGTATAGGGATAATGCTTTATCAGAAGTTCGTAAAGCAGAAAGGGGGAAAATTAAAATTGCTTATTTGGAAAAAAATAAAGAAAGTCAAGAGAAAAATAATGTAGACATGAAAGAAGTAGATAAGAATATTGTAAATTGTAAATTATATGAAGAAGAAGTTCTTAGTCATATGGAAGACGCCCAAGGAGAATATGAATTATATTTAAAACACAAAAGTGAAATTTCTGGTACTTTAAACGAATCTGAAATTTTAGTAGTAGAAACAAAATCAGAAAAAAGAAAAAATGATGCTAAGAATATAATGGATGATATTGAAAAAGAATATAATGAGATTAAAATAGAACTCCAAGAATCCCTAGAAAAATTGAAGGAATTGGCATCAAAGCACACTGTTAGTGTAGTTGAAAATTCTTTTCAAAACAAGACATCAACGGATGCAAATGTATTTATAGAATATAACTTAATAAAAGTGAAACAAAATTTATCAAGCATAAGTAATATAAAACAAGAAGTGAATGCTCTTTATACTAGGGCAAAAGATTCATATGACATAATATCAAAAAATTCGCCCTTAGAGGGAAATAACAAGCTTCAAAATGTGGAAAGGGAAGCATCAGAATATTTAAAATATATAGAAAAAATTAAAGGAAAAAATCAGCTAATAAAGGAAAAACGCAGAAATTTAAAAGAAATTATTTCAGATAATAAAAATATCGAAGAAGAGCTGAAAAAACATAGCAAACTTTTTGAACTTGGTCTTTTGGACAAGATTAAAGACATAGCTGAAAATAGAAAAGTATACATGGATTCAACAGATAAACTTTTAAGCTCATCAATTAATCAAATTACTACTAACTTTAATGGATTCGATGTAAAAGTATATAAGATTGGAAGCAAATTAAATGATTATAAAAGAAAAATAAGTGAGTTCCTTACTGAGTTCGCTAATCATTACGAATTAATTAAGAGCAAAGTTAAAAATTCTTTGGACAGTTCAGTAGACTTTGATGGTGCAAAAAAATTGAGAGAAGAAGTGCAAGAATTAGAAAAAAACCTTGAAAGAATAGAAGAAAAAACAAAGAAATATTTGAGCAACATAAAAAAAATCGAATGCTTTAGATTAATACATAAAATGAAGGAATATATGAATGAAATAAATAAAAAGTGCAAACAAGAGTATGAAAAAGTAAACGAAGACCATCTTGTCATTCAGCAAATTATTGGAGATTTTAAAAATTTAAACGACGAAAAAAACTCATCAGCAAAGTTAAAACAAGCAGGAGCTAAGATTGAGGAAGTTAAAAAAAGAACAAGTCATTATTTACACAAAAACGAGGCACATAATGTGATTGAATATATGGTTAAAGCATCCAAAATGATAGGAATTACAGTTACAACAGGAATACATCCAGCAGAATTAAACGCTAAGGCCCAATTGAAAAATAATGAAGAATTGCAATTTGAACCAAGAACTGCGGTAATAGTAGAAAATGAAAATTTCTCAGAAAATAAAGACGTATTGGACGTTCATAAAAACATGAAAGATGTGTATAAAATCGCTCTTGATATATATAAATATTCATATGACATAATCAAAAAGCAAGAGGAATGTGACAAATTGGTGAAAATGGGAGGAGACAAATATCATAATATTAAATTAATGAACGAATTAAAAGGCATTCTAGAAAACGTTGATGGTATGAAAAACATAATTACAACTAAAATTAAAGAAGCTTTTAACAAATTAAGCGAGTTAAATAAAATAACATGTAATGATGAAAATTGTGAGAATATTTTAGAAAAAGCGAATTCCGAAGAATTAAAGAATCTAATAGATAGTTTTAATGAAGAAAAAAAGACGAGCGTAGTCGAGTCAAAATTGAAGGAATGCAAGAACAAATTTGAGAGTCAATTAGAATTATTAAATGTTTTGGGAAAATCAGTAGACATATTAAGTTCAAACGAAATGCATCATAGAAACATAGAAGAAAAAGAATCATCTGTTCATTTAATTTCATCAAATTTGAAAGATATAGAAAAAGAAATTACTGATATTAATTCTTCTTTTGATGAATTGTTAAATAAAGGGAAAAAATGCGAAAAGTTTAAGTACAGTTCAATAAAAGATAATCTTAACACGAAAATAAATAATTGTTCCATATTTATTGATGAAAAAAAGCAAAATGTTGCAGAATATTTAACGTACATACAAAGTAATTATAGCTCTATATTTCAAGACATTGATACATTGAATTATAAACTTGATGGGAAACGAATAAGTAAGTATGGTGTAAAGGGGACCGAAGAGGCAAATAAAATTTCCACACAGTTAACTGCTGCAGTTAATGAATATGATGGGATAATTAATATTATAAGAAATGAATTTATAGATATTAACGAGCAAATCGACGTAGCTACTTTAGAAAATAGTGTAAAAAAATTAAAGGATAATTATGACAGCTTATGTAAAAAAAAAGATTCCATTAAAGAGTTTCATGACAAAATTAATTTAATTAAATTGAAAGAAATAAATGCATGTTCTGATAAGTACATTGACATAGCTAAAGAGTTTACAGATGCCGTAGATCATCAAAGAAAAAGATTATTAGAACTGCAAAATAGACAAAATGCACTTAAACATAATATAACAGAAAATGAAAATGAATTAATTAGTCTTGACAGCTCGTTTACCCTTGTATCTATTAAAACATTCGATTTAATGTATGATAATATTAAGTATAAGATAAATGAATTGAATAAATTAGAAGAATCTAATATTAATGAACTTGAAAAGGTTAAAACATATGAGGAAAGTGTTTCGTATTTATTAACCAAAAAGGATACTTTACTGGATGATATCAATAATTATGAAAAAAGAGACAAATTGAAAAATGAAAATAATGAAATAACAAATGAGGTAAACAGAAATATAACAACAACTAAGGAAAAAATAAGAAATTTAGAGGAATACCTGTATAAATTATTAAAGAATATTAGAGATAGTGAGAAGTTATACACAACTAATAACACAAAGAGTTTCACATCTGCCATTTTGGAAAAAGCAGATAACATGAGGGAAAATTTTACAAAAAATTTTCCGGAAAACGAAAAAAAATTTCAAATAGAAAACAATTACAAAGAAATTAAGGGTATTGTTGATGAGATCAATAAGAACCCAGAAATAAACGTATTTATTGAAAATATGACTAAGTATATTCAAGATGGATTTACAAGTGTCAAAGGTTCAGAAGATGCTCAAAAAATAAAAAAAGTAAAAGATGATATTATAGATAATTATACAAAAGTAAAAAGTAAATTATCCGAATTTAATAATGCCTTAGATATGATTAAATTGAAGAAAAATGAGATGAATACGTTGTTTAGTTCATTGTTAAAAGAGAACAGAGATAACAATAAATATGTTGAATTTTATATACTTGAGGTAGACAAAATAACTAAACAAATGGAAGAAAGCATTTCTAAAATGTTAAGTTTAATTAACTTTACTGAAAATAATATTAAACTGATAGAAGAAAAATTATATAAAATATTAAGCTTACCGGTTAATGATAGATCAGATAGTACTAAAAATGATTTGTTAAATGATTCCAAGGAACAAGAAATTAATAGAGCTACAACAAAAACGCAGAAATTAGCTGAAAAAGAGAGATATTCAGATACAGGTGATATATATGGTATTAATACCATGAATAGTCAAAATGGGGCGAATCAAAATGGAAATGAAGAATATCAAAATAGGGGTCGTTATAATCCTGGAGGAGAAAATACAAGAATTCTTTTTGCAGGGGGAGTTATTTTGGGTTTATCTGTTTGTTATGGAATTTCTCTTATTACAAACAAACGTAATAATGAGGAAATGAAGGAGTCAGATTCCTTCGATGAAGGGTTTGAGGGTAGTGATACGTATAATATGGACGATAAGGAAGAAGCCATCGACGTTTATTTTGATGATGGTTATGATTCTGAATAGAAAATATACATAATTTAAAAAATATAATAATTATGAACACGCCGCTGATCAATTTTTTATACAAAATAATAGATTCAAATACAATTACAAAAAAAATAATTTCACAAACAACAATAACCCTCCAATATTAAGCACTTCAATAGTATTATGTAGAAATTATAAATTATAAGAATATGTTTTATTTGATATATTTCATAGAAATTTTTTTATAAGAGAAACACATCTTCGTAATTATGTTTTCATAATTATTTGTTATGTAAGTATATTTTAAAGAGGCACACAAAACAAATTGTTATTATAGAAAAATTCCCTTTTACAAAATAAAAGAAGTACGTATTATCATTATTAAATTTCATTGTAATAATATATGACTTGTAATTATCAAATATATTGAATGATCAAAGAAGTGTTTCGTCAAGGAAAAAAAATTCATATGTGTTTCCTAACAAATGGCACTTCTAAACATGGATGAATTTCATGAATTTACAAAAGAGTGAAAAATCATTAAATTAAATATCCTCTTTTTTCTTTTTTATACTGTAAAAATAAATGTAAAAAAATAAGAATGTTACATTTATATTGGTATATTTTATATAAAAGATGTTTTCTTTGGCATAATAATTAATGTGAGTTAGACATTTTCCATGTATCTTTTTCTATCATTTCGGTGAACAATAATCATTGTTCATATTAAACGAATTCCAATACTTATTAAAGAATAATAAAAATGTATACTGAATTTACAATAAAATATGAAATTACATTCGACACATGTATTATGATCTTTTTATTCTTTAGACAATAATGTCTTTGAAAACTTTTTTTAATTTATTCTTTTGAATAAACTTTTTTTTTATTTTTATTTAAAAAAAAAAATACCAACCTATTTTAAAACTATTTATTTTCCAATTAATTTCCAAGGTATTGAACGTTTTATATAGAAAATATATAAAAGGTAAATAAGCCATGTTTCTTCATATATATATATGCCTTTTATCATTTTCAGTCTTTTTCTATGTACACATAGATTCAACATTTTTATTATGATAATTTCATTGAAAAATATGTTATTTTTACTATTTCATAACTCTTTCAATTTATAATGCTTTTTCAGCGCTTTAAATATATACATCATAAATGTATATTCTCCTACGAGGTTTATATATTAAGGAAATAGTTATATAAACATATATATATATGTGTGTGTATAACATAATGTATATTTGTCTTAAAATTTGATTTCGTTCAAAAATAATTCTATGATGATGGTGCCATAATAATGTTGCGTCTTTGCCAACATACTAATAAGACGTTAATATTATATATGGAATTATATTCAAAGTTATGCGATTTAATCACCCTCTCACTTGATTAAAATTTAATTTTTTTCTTTAATTTCAGTTTATACAGTAATACATATTTTATAGTTCAATTCTTTATGTTCATGCTTCTTGTTTTAGAAACATTTAATTTATTTTTAGAAAATAATGTGTTCGATATCATATATAGAATGTATAAATTAGGATAAAACAAAGATAGTAAACAATAAATGTTTAAGAAAAAATATTAAAAGGAATCTTACTACTAATTTTATTTCTGTTTTTTTATTCTAACTCTTGGGAATAACCATTACATAGTTTGTTATTACTAAAGGTAATAATGCTATTACATTGATTTTTATGAATTTCCCTAAAGAAGTAATAATTTTGCGAGGTCTCTTTTTTTTAATTTTAGGCAACCATTATTTCTGTAATTACTAATGTTGTAAAATATAAAAGATTAAAATCGAAGAAAGGAAGAATCAAATTTAAGGAGTATTGTGTCTTCTGCAAAGTTTTTGGAAAGCAACTGTATTATTACTTAAAGGAGGATGTATAGTTTTTTAAATAAAATCAATAATGATAAATTTGTCACACGCAGTATCTGTACATAAATTTTTAATAAATCGTCAAAATATATAACTTTTAATAGTTTTTTTCTATTTAATTTTTTGAATTTTTCATTCGTTTGTGTATTGTAAGTTCATTGTAAGCTAGATTTATAGATTAAAATTTATGCGTATTGCTTAGTGTTAATTTAAAGAATTATTTATAATTATTTATCATAACATAGAAAATAATTGCATTAAAGTATGAAATAAATAATAAATATATTAAAATATTTTTTATTAATTTTTTGGGAATTAGTAAATGAACATGGTTAAAAATAATTAATATATAAATTCTATGACTTTTCCTGATTGATGTGTTTCCTCGCAAAATTATATTATAAAAAAAATTATTTTTTTAATTATTTGGCATATTATATTTTGAATATGTAGGAGTGTACGTATGATATTCGTTTTATGTCATATATATGCATGAGTCCTTTTTTATTTGAGGATAATAAAACAAGTATATATGATTTTGAAAAACATTAGCTTAGAAAAATTCATTGTATTACAAAAATTAATGTAAGTTACTGGACGTTTTGTTAACAAATTTATTACTCTTATTAATATTATAAAATATACGTATTTAAAGAAATAGTTTTATTTCCTATTATAAATTTTACATTATAATGTGTCTGTTTCTACAATTTATAGATTCTGCTTATAGTATAATTATGTTCCCCTGTGTTAATAATCAGTTATGTCTTTATTTAGTTAATATTGCATAAATTCCCTTCAATTAATACGATTAAAAGTATTAATACATTAATTTCATATATGTATATATATATTTAAATATTGTGTTTTTAATATATAATCTAAGTAGTGTACGAATGTACAGTTTAAAAAAAAAAAAAAATACCTAAATATTTCTGCAATTTATTTGGAATTTTAATGATTATTTATTTTACATAAAATCAAATTAAATATACTTGTTGCATGAATCGAAATAGGTGACGCATTTTCTACAATCATTTCTAAATAAAAAGATTTTGCAGAAATTCTGAGGGGTACTCATGTAAATAGAATAAAAAGAAAGTGAAAAACAATTATACTTATACAAGCTTTATTTATTGAAATATTGATGGACATTATTTTGTTTATTAGTATTAAATTGTTTATATATTTGATGTACTATAAGCACATGGTGGAGCATGACTTCACAAAATATTTTATTCAAGGAAATATATATATCATCTTTGTGATATTACGTATGACATGCAAAAAGTAGGAACAAAAATAATTTAATTATCTACGTCTTTTTAATTATAAATAATTCATTTTTATTCACATTACCGTTCATTATTAAAATATCACCCGTGCACTATGTATGATGAGTAACATGATAATTATTATTAAACATGTATTTTTATTTTTTTTTGTAGCAAGTTCATTTTATCTTTATTTTTGCGAATTATATGAATATGAATTTATGTGTATAATTCGTTAAAGCTTATGTTTTAACGATTTCTTCGCATTATATATATAATAGGCTGAGGTTCATTTTTTTTAGTTTTATAGTCCATATTCATTTTCTCTAATACTTTTATTAGAATATAATTTTAAAAACTATATTTATATCTAATGGTATATAATATATCTTATTATGTTTCAATAAATAATTAATTAAAAATGGTGGTTTATATACATTAACATATTTTGATCATTACATAACACAAATATATTTGACATTTAATTATACTAAAAACTAAGACATTTTATATAGATTATGGGAATATTTAGGTATTTGCTATTATTTTTATAAAATAAAAAATATATCTGTAGTTATATATGCAGTGAGTATGATATAAGCATTATATAATTATATTTGTGAATATTATTTTTTTCTTGAATATTTCTATGATAATTAATAAAGCATTTGTGATTTGTGAGATGAAGAAAAATTTAAATAAATTTTTTATTTTTTAGAGGTTTTTTAAAATATGAAAAATATAAACTTCTTTTGAAATGTATCATCCATTTTATATGAGATGACGTAAATATTTTTATTTGATTTATGACAAAATAAAAACATAATTATAAAGAAATATATTATTTTTCTTATAGAAGAAAATGAATATAATATGTTTTATAAACAATAAAAGCATGATATTAGCACTTGTTTCATTTTAATATTCATTCGAAATTTTTTTTTTTTTAATTATTTGATTCCTCTAATATGTTTTTAATTTTAATTATTTATTATTATGATAATAATTGTTACAATTTTGAAACTATATATTGTGAGTATTAAATTATAAAGAATTTGTAATTTATTTTAATATATAGTAATGTAATAAAAAATAAAAATATAATGTAGCATTTTTATATAGATATATTTTTTGAAGAATGTGAGCGTATAATGAAAATTTTTAGTAAAAAATTAGGCACATATTTATGAATGAAGATAGTATTATAATTATATATTTTTTTCATACACACTTTAAATAACTGAGTATCGTTGTGAACAATTTATACTATAGTATAAAATTAACATATAAACTAATTTAAAATAAAGTTAATTTCCAAAAAATATCAGAAAAAATATATAAAAATAAAACTTAAGAGCACCAACAAAAAATAGATATGTTATTTAAATTTAACGTTTTATTATAAAGTCTAATGAAAGGTCTTAACTTATTTTAACATTTAAAGCTGTTTTATTATAAATTATTTCACAATTTATGTCGAATTGATGAGATTATTATCAATGTTTTTTTTTTTTTCACTGTTCTCACTAGTCTCTGTTTATTATTATTATTTACAGTTTCTAAAACAAAACAAGAACTATGTTCAACACTTCATCATATTGAAATTTGTAAATACTTTTGTGTATATCTGTTACTATTTTATACTTACAGGAATGAACTTATTTGAATGAACAATATAAAAGAGCAGTGCATTATTAAAACTGTGATGTAATTTTTTAATTTCTTATTAAGAACATTTTAAACGGTTCTCATGTGTGCATATATGATTTTTCATTTAGTTCTATTAATTCAATATAAATGTTGAATATGAAATACTATATTACATATTTCTAGTGTGACTATGTCAGAATTTTCTTTTA